GGAGGAGGAGACCACCTAGAGTCTAGACCAACCCCCTCCTCAAGCAGGAGACCCTTACAGAATCATAGAATAACAGAAGTGGAAGGGACCCTGGGGGTCATCTAGTCCAACCCCCTGCTCAAGCAGGAGACCCTTACAGAATCATGGAATGTTGGAAGGAACCTTGGAGGTCATCTACTCCAACCCCCCTGCTCGACCAGGAGACCCTTACAGAATCATAGAATAACAGAGGTGGAAGGGACCCTGAGGGTCATCTAGTCCAACCCCCCTGCTCAAGCAGGAGACCCTTACAGACTCATGGAATGTTGGAAGGGACCTTGGAGGTCATCTACTCCAACCCCCCTGCTCGACCAGGAGACCCTTACAGACTCATAGAATAACAGAAGTGGAAGGGACCCTGAGGGTCATCTAGTCCAACCCCCCTGCTCAAGCAGGAGACCCTTACAGACTCATGGAATGTTGGAAGGGACCTTGGAGGTCATCTACTCCAACCCCCCTGCTCGACCAGGAGACCCTTACAGACTCATAGAGTAACAGAAGTGGAAGGGACCCTGAGGGTCATCTAGTCCAACCCCCTGCTCGAGCAGGAGACCCTTACAGACTCATAGAATAACAGAGGTGGAAGGGACCCTGGGGGTCATCTAGTCCAACCCCCTGCTCGAGCAGGAGACCCTTACAGACTCATAGAATAACAGAGGTGGAAGGGACCCTGAAGGTCATCTAGTCCAACCCCCTGCTCGAGCAGGAGACCCTTACAGACTCATAGAATAACAGAGGTGGAAGGGACCCTGAGGGTCATCTAGTCCATCCCCCTGCTCGAGCAGGAGACCCTTATAGAATTACAAAATAATAAGAGTTTGAGGGGACCCTAGAGGTCATCTAGTCCAACCCCCTGCTCGAGCAGGAGACCCTTACAGAATCATAGAATAACAGAGGTGGAAGGGACCCTGGGGGTCATCTAGTCCAACCCCCTGCTGGAGCAGGAGAGCCTTACAGAAGAACAGAGCTGGAAGGGCCCCTGGAGGTCATCTAGTCCACCCCCCTGCTCCAGCTTCCGGCAGGAAGCTCTCGAGATGGGTTTTCGAATCGGTATGTGGGGAACGGTTGAGCCTCTTTCGTCCTAAACTGGTCAGAACTGGTCTGGAGTGGGAGAGAATGGCAGAAGGTCTGCTGGGACCCAAGAGGTTCTTTCTCCCTTTCTCCCTTCTCTCACCTTCGTTCCATGTCCTCCCTTTTTCTCTCTTCCTCTTCTCTCTTCTTTTGTTCCTTTCTCCTATCTTCTGTTTCACCCCCCTTTTTCCTTCTTTATTTATTTCTTTCTTTTTCTTTCTTTCTCCCTTCCTTCACTCTCTTCTTTCTTTCTCCCTTCCTTCTCTCTCTCTTTCCTTCCATTTCCTCCCTCTTTTTCCTCCTCTTTCTTTGTTCCTTCTTCCTTCAGTTTCATCCCCTTTTCCTTCCTTCCCTCCTTCCCTCCACTCACCTTTTTTCTCTCTTTCTTTTTTTCTCTTTCCGTCTTTCTTCTTTCCCTCTTTCCTGCAGTCTGTTTCCCTCTCTCCTTTTCTTCTTTCCTTCTCTGTGTTTCCTTCCCTCTCTCCTTCTTTTCTTTCTCCCTTTATTTTCTTCCCTCTACCTTTTTCTTTCTTTCTCTTCCTTCCTTCCTTTGTTTTTTCTTTCCCTCTTTCCTGCTGTCTTTCCCTCTCTCCTTTTCTTACTTTCTTCTCTCTCTCCTTCCTTTCTTTTCTTTCCCCCATCTATTTTCCTCCCTAGCTTCCCTCCCACTTTTTTCTTTCTATCTCTTTTCCTTCCTTCCTTCCTTCCTTCCTTCCTTCCTTGTTTTTTCTCTTTCCCTTTTTTCTGGTCTCTATTCCATTCTATTCTATTCTATTCTATTCTATTCTGTATTATATTTTCTACTATTCTATTCTGTATTCTATTCTATATTACATTTTCTATTCTATTCTATATTCTATTTTCTATTCTATTCTGTATTATATGTTCTGTTCTATTCTAATTCTATATTCTATTCTATATTACATTTTCCATTCTGTATTCTCTATTCTATTCTATTCTGTATTCTGCATTCTATTCTGTATTATATGTTCTGTTCTATTCTATTCTGTTCTGTATTCTATTCTATGTTACATTTTCTATTCTATTCTATATTCTATTCTATATTACGTTTTCCATTCTGTATTCTCTATTCTATTCTATTCTGTATTCTGCATTCTATTCTGTATTATATGTTCTGTTCTATTCTGTTCTGTATTCTATTCTATATTACATTTTCTATTCTATTCTATATTCTATTCTATATTACGTTTTCCATTCTGTATTCTCTATTCTATTCTGTATTCTGCATTCTATTCTGTATTATATGTTCTGTTCTATTCTGTTCTGTATTCTATTCTATATTACATTTTCTATTCTATTCTATATTCTATTCTATATTACGTTTTCCATTCTGTATTCTCTATTCTATTCTATTCTGTATTCTGCATTCTATTCTGTATTATATGTTCTGTTCTATTCTGTTCTGTATTCTATTCTATATTACATTTTCTATTCTATTCTATATTCTATTCTATATTACGTTTTCCATTCTGTATTCTCTATTCTATTCTATTCTGTATTCTGCATTCTATTCTGTATTATATGTTCTGTTCTATTCTGTTCTGTATTCTATTCTATATTACATTTTCTATTCTATTCTATATTCTATTCTATATTACGTTTTCCATTCTGTATTCTCTATTCTATTCTATTCTATTCTATTCTGTATTCTGCATTCTATTCTGTATTATATGTTCTGTTCTATTCTGTTCTGTATTCTATTCTATATTACATTTTCTATTCTATTCTATTCTATATTCTATTTCAGTGATGGTGAACCTTTTAGAGACCGAGTGCCCAAAATTGCAACCCAAAACCCACTCATGCATCATCGAGCGCCGGGTGGGCGTGGCCCATTGGGTGGGTGTGGCTGCGGTGGTCACGGCAGACTGGGTGGGACTAAAAAGTTCAATCCATCAATTCCAACTTTGCAAAATCTTTCCTCCCCCCCCCCCCGGGAGAAGTTGAAATTGACCGATTGATTGAACCTTTTTTTTTTTTTTTTTTTGCACACAGCCTAAAGTAAAAAGGGTTTACAAAACCCAGCTGAAGGCCTAGGACGGGGGCGACAGCGCGCATGCCCACAGAACGGGCTCTGAGTGCCGCCTCTGGCACCCGTGCCACAGGTTCCCCGCCACTGATCTATTCTATATTACATTTTCCATTCTATTCTGTATTCCGTATTCTATTCTATTCTATATTCTATTCTATATTCTATTTTATATTATATTTTCTATTCTATTCCGTATTCTGTATTCTATTTTGTAAGATACTTTCTGTTCTATTCTGTTCTGTATTCTATTCTATATTACATTTTCTATTCTATTCTATTCTATATTCTATTCTATATTATATTTTCTATTCTATTCTGTATTCTCCATTCTGTTATATTCTATTCTATTCTATTCTATTTTGTATTCCGTATTCTGTGTTCTATAGTGTATATTCTATTGTCTCTCTTGTTGTTCTTCTGTCTCTTTTTAGCACTCTCTATCGTTCTCTTTCTTTGTTCTTTCTTTTGTCTCGTTCTATCTCTTCCGCTCTGTTTCTCTCTTTGTTCTTCTCTTTCTGTCTGTTTTGGTCCATCTCTCTTTCTCTCTGTCGTTCTCTTTCTTGTCCTCCATATCTCTCTCTCTCTCTCCCTCTCTCTCTCTCTCTCTCTCTGTGTGTCTCCATCTTTTCTCTCCCTTTCTCTCTCTCTTTCTCATTCTCTCTCCATCTTTCTCTCTTTCCATCTCTCTCTCTCTCTGTCTCCATCTTTTCTCTCTCTTTCTCATTCTCTCTCCATCTTTCTCTCTTTCCATCTCTCTCTCTCTCTCTCTGTCTCCATCTTTTCTCTCCCTTTCTCTCTCTTTCTCATTCTCTCTCCATCTTTCTCTCTTTCCATCTCTCTCTCTCTCTGTCTCCATCTTTTCTCTCTCTTTCTCATTCTCTCTCCATCTTTCTCTCTTTCCATCTCTCTCTCTCTCTCTCTCTGTCTCCATCTTTTCTCTCTCTTTCTCATTCTCTCTCCATCTTTCTCTCTTTCCATCCCTCTCTCTCTCTCTGTCTCCATCTTTTCTCTCTCTTTCTCATTCTCTCTCCATCTTTCTCTCTTTCCATCTCTCTCTCTCTCTGTGTCTCCATCTTTTCTCTCCCTTTCTCTCTCTCTTTCTCATTCTCTCTCCATCTTTCTCTCTTTCCATCTCTCTCTCTCTCTGTCTCCATCTTTTCTCTCTCTTTCTCATTCTCTCCATCTTTCTCTCCATCTCTCTCTCTCTCTCTCTCTCCATGTTTTCTCTCCCTTTCTCTCTCTCTTTCTCATTCTCTCTCCATCTTTCTCTCTTTCCATCTCTCTCTCTCTCTCTCTGTCTCCATCTTTTCTCTCTCTTTCTCATTCTCTCTCCATCTTTCTCTCTTTCCATCTCTCTCTCTCTCTCTCTGTCTCCATCTTTTCTCTCCCTTTCTCTCTCTCTTTCTCATTCTCTCTCCATCTTTCTCTCTTTCCATCTCTCTCTCTCTCTCTGTCTCCATCTTTTCTCTCTCTTTCTCATTCTCTCCATCTTTCTGTTTCCATCTTTTCTCTCCCTTTCTCTCTCTCTTTCTCATTCTCTCTCTCTCTTTCCATATCTCTCTCTCTCTCTCTCTCTCTCTCTGTCTTCATCTTTTCTCTCCCTTTCTTTCTCATTCTCTCTCTCTCTCTCTCTCTCACTCTTTCAACCCTGTGAACCCCTGGACAGCCAGCTCAGCACGGCGTTAGCCCCTGCCACCCCTTTAAGCTGACTGAGTTTCAATGCCCTCCCACCCTCTGAAGCGGCTTAAAATCCTTCCGTGTCTCTCTTCCCGGGCGTTGCGTTTGACTTCTCCTTCTTCCCCCCTCCACCCTCTTTTTCTCTCTCTCCCCCCCCCAGATGGCTCCGGAAGCATCTCCTCCGCCTCCTCCACGCCGAGCGGGGACGTCCACCCCGCCGGGCCGATGTCTCTGGCCGTGACGCCTGACTCTTCCACCGACGTGTCGGCCTTCGTGCCGGCAAAGAAGGAAGACCGGCCCCAGCCCGAGGGGGCCAGTTGCGACGCCACTGCCGGCAACACGGCGGCCGGCGCGGGGACCCTGACCGAATGTGGCCAGAGGATGACGGAGCAGGCTCCCAAATCCGGCAGGACCCGGCCGCAAAGTCTTGGCCCCTCTCCTCCGGGGACGGATCCCCTGGACACGCGCATCGTGATGGGCGAGGAGACCCACGGCCTGGGGGCGGCGGAACAGGACGCTCCCGGGGCCATGCCCGGCGAGGAGGCGAGCGACGTGGTGCAGCACGAAGGATCGGTGGCTCCGGCGGCGTGCCAGGGTGCGCCTCTCTCTCCCGTCGCAAGAGACTTCGCTAACCGCCATCCCTACGTCTCCGTGGCTCCGAAGGCCCAGGAGACAGCGGCGGCGGGAGTGTCTCCTCTCTCTCAGGATGAGCCAATGGCTGACGTGCCTTCCCCAACGCCCACACTGGCCAAAGACCTTGCCAAGGCCCCCTGTAGCCTCGACGCCGAGCTGTACGTCACGGCTCCCTCCACCCCGATCCGGACGGTCTTCCCCTCTCTCAAGCAGGCCCCGTTCCCGAAAGACAGCCTGAGCGAGGAGCAGAACGACGTCGACAGCGAAGGCCTCGGCTCGCCGCCCACCTCGCCCTCGGGCTCCTACATCACCGCCGAAGGAGGCAGTTGGACGTCGTCGGGCACCGCTAGCTCGTCGCCGTCCTGCTCGCCAAATCTCCTAGCCGAGGCGGAAGCCGTCGCGCCCACCGCCGCTGCCGAGGAGGCCTCGCCGGAGCTGCACCTTCGCGAAGGGGAAGTCAAGCTCTCCGGCGGGACCTGCCCGCTCCTTGGGTACGAGGGCGTTTTCCGAGGGCTGTCCTTCATGCCCTACCCGGTGGAGGAAGACGAGGGGGTTCCATTGGAGGAAGAAGGCTGGCTCGGCCCAAGCGCGCTCCCGCCGAAAGCAGAGCATCTCGCGTGGGACCCCAACGGCGACGATTCCGAGGATGACGCCGACCTCAGCCCCAGCCCTTTGGAGGACAGCGAGCGCGCGTCGCCTTTGTACGACGCAGAAGTCGGAGGTTTTGCCCAAAGAGGGTCCGGAGCGTGCCCCTTAGCTCGTCCTCTTACTGCCGTCTCGGGCCCGCCTCCTGAGCTTGGCGGTGTGTTGGGAGCCGAGGAGTCCTCGCGGGAGCTGGACCTTCGCGAAGGGGAAGCCAAGGTCTCCGGCGGGACCTGCCCGCTCCTTGGGTACGAGGGCGTTTTCCGAGGGCTGTCCTTCATGCCCTACCCGGTGGAGGAAGACGAGGGGGTTCCATTGGAGGAAGAAGGCTGGCTCGGCCAAAGCGCGCTCCCGCCGAAAGCGGAGCATCTCGCGTGGGACCCCAACGGCGACGATTCCGAGGATGACGCCGACCTCAGCCCCAGCCCTTTGGAGGACAGTGAGCACGCGTCGCCTTTGTACGACGCAGATGTCGGAGATTTTGCCCAAAGAGGGTCTGGAGCGTGCCCCTTTGCTCGTCCTCTTACTGCCATCTCGGGCCTTCCTTCTGAGCTGTTGGGAGTGGGCCCCGCCGAGGCGGGTGAACCTGCTGGCCTTCGCAGGCAGCCACCTGCGTCTCCTCTGGACGGTACGGAGACCGCCGAGAGCGATCAGATGATTCCCGCTGTGTTTCTTCCCTTCCGGGGTAGCCTGCTTTTTGAGGCGGTGTCCATGGAGATCACGCTGTTCCCGCAGGGAGAAGTGGTGGAGAACGACGCCCTGTACGGGGCAGAAGAGGACGACAGCACCTCCGTGTCCTTCCTGCATTCTCTCTCGGAAACGTCCCTCGACGAAGGCGTGGATGAGACCTTCGCCTATCCGGACGACACCTCGCCGTCCTCCGACTTGGCTTCCGAGGAGGGCGAGGACGAGAAGCGGCCGTACAGCGTTGAGCCGCACACTGGGGTCACCGAAAGAGTCGAGGCCAAAGAAGAAGACCTGGGGAGGGGGCCGTCTCACCCGGAGAGCGAGAGCGAGATGGAGGTGTCCTCCGAGGCGTACGACGGGGATGAGGATACCGTTCGGGGAGCCGGTGAAGAACCCCCGCCGAGCACGGGAGAGGCCGAGGAGAAGAGCATGCCTCAAGAGGACGAGTGGACGCAGGAGGAGGACCCGAGGACACCTCCAACATCCTTTAGGCCAGAAAGCCGAGGTAGTACCTCCTCAAGGAACAGTTGTGTTTCTCCTCTGGGTCCAGGAGACGAGTCCCTGCTGGAGCCGACGTCTGAAGACTCGGCTTCCCCAACTCAGGATGAAACGGAAGACGCGTCCCTCAAGGAGCTGGTCCCCGCCCACCTCTCTCTGACACATCTGCCTCCCCCAGATGTCCAGTCAACCCAGCTGGCATTGGGAGGGGTGGCCGAGTGTGGGGAGTGTCTGATTGCGTGCTTCGACACCGACGACGAGTTGGACAACCAGCCTCCGTTGACCCCCGAGGACTCTCCGTCGCTGGCTCCCTTCGCCGGAGAATGGGTGGGCCAGGTTTCCGCTGCGTCGGTCATCTCCCTGGGATGGCACCACCCAGCGTGCCCAGTGGAGTTGGAAGAACTGGAGGCGGTGGACCACAATGACCCCTCCAGCCTGGACATGGGGGCGCGGCTGGAAGAGTCCGAGAAACGGCTGCTGGAGCTCTTGGATCAAGACGGTGCCGCCGGCAGGAGCTCTGAGGACCTGGAGCAGGCGGATGGAGCGACGTTGGAGGCTTCTTCCGAGAAGGAACCGCCCTTTGCGTCCTTCCTTCTTGAATCTAAGGTGGCCCTTTTAGAGCAACCCGAAGTCAGCCGAGCGGACGCCGAGACAACCCAGGACAGCCTCCTGGTCTGTCTGGAGTCGGAAGACGAGCTGGAAGAAGCTTCCTCTCTTGACCAGCTCAACAACACCGAGGAGCGGGCGATGGCGGCGTTCTCCGAGGCGAAATCTGACTCTCTCCTGGCGTTGAGCCACACGCCGGAGAACGTCCTCGTGGAAGACAACGGGGTCCTTCTAGATGCCTCGGGACCCGTGCCTCCAGAATCTCCTCTGGACGTTGAGGAAGCGGCCGAATTGCAGAACTGGAGTCTGTGCGGAACCCAGAGTAGCTCAATAGATCCAGAGATAGAGGACTACACCGGACACTCTTCCAGTGAAGAAGTGGTGGTAGATGACATCGCCGCTCCTAACCTTTCGGAACTCTGCTTGGAGACGGGCGAAACCGAAACGCTCAATGGGAGGGAGACTCGGGATGGTGAGCGTTACCTCACGCCAGCACAGGTAGAAACCGGCAGCCATTCTGGCGAAGCTCGGGATGGTGAGCGTTATCTCACGCCAGCACAGGTAGAAACGGGCAGCCATGCTGGCGACGTTTCAGAAGAAGACCCCGAGAAGGTCGAGGAACCATTGGATCTGTCCAGAGAAGAGTTGGTTGACGCCGAGGAGAACCCACCGAACGTGGTGGGAGTGGTAGAGGAGCCCGAGCGAGGGTTATACGAGGAGGGTCACGCTGGCCCAAACTGGGGAACGCCGTTGGAAGAAGATGCATCCGAACCCGAGAGTGAGGAAGGCAGCAATGCGGACGTCGGGGCTGAAATCCCACCAGCGGAAGACCTCCAGGCGGACTCCAGTTGCTTCTCAGCAGACGCCGTGCCGCAGTTAGAATCGGAAGGCTCGGCGACCGAGCAAGGAGACGCTCACAATTTAGCAAGTCAGAGAGACAGTAACATGAACGTACTATGGGACAACGAAGCGGAGGCCATCTTGAGCAGTACAGACCCTACTGGCGCTCCGGACGTGTTTGCAACCTCCGAGGAAACCACGGGTCCCCGAGAAGAGGTTGGTGAAACCATTGAGCAAGTTGACTCGGAAGAGAGAGAAGAGCCCGTTGAACGTCCGCAAGTGGAGAACGCGCCGACTCCAGAACTTCGCGGCGCCGAGGTGACTCTTCAGCAAGGAACCCAAGCTCTGAAGGACGGAGAAGGGGCAGAATCGGTTGAGTCTCCACACGATGTGGGTGATGGCCGTCTTTTGGACACCAAGACTGGGATGGTTGAGGCCGTCCCAGGCGTTTTTCCAGTAGAACACGTCGACCAAACGCTCTCCGGGACCAGCGATGATGTTCTTCTACGTGAGGAACACCCAGAGGTTCAGAAGAAGACTTTTGCTGAAGCCCTCATTCAGGGTCTCCTTCCTATTTTGGAAACTCGGCACCCTCGGCTGGAAGGAGAGGCGGACGCTCCCCTGTTTTCTCCGGACACATTGGAGGGGTCTTACTCTCACCTGGAGTCCAGCTTCTTGACGGCTCCTGAGGAGGTCTCCAATGAAACCACCCTCTTGGCTCCTTCAGATTCTGGAAGAGAAGAGTTTGTGACCCCCAATCAAACGTGGGGGAGTCCAAATGTGCTTGTGGAGGAGAGTCCTTCTCCACAAGACCTGGAGGCGGTGACGGCAGAGTTGGAGAATCTGATGGTTGAGGTGGAGAACGTTGACTCCGAAGGCCTGGAGACTCCACCACATGGTTCTCCCCAGCAGAGCATGGCTGTGTGTCTGCATTATAATGTCCTTGCCCAGACCCCTGTGGTCACCTCCCGGCCTGCCGCCAAGCCAAGGGATGCGTCTCCGGAACTTCGGCGTCATCAACAGATCTTCTTAGCTTCTGAAGACGAGATATATTTGAGCGATTTTCATGAAACTCAGGATAGACACGTCGAGGTGGAGCAGGCTGAAGCTGACGAGGATCTGACCACAGCTGGTCCCGAAACTTCCACCCCCACCGTCCCTAACCAGCGTCAACCAACCGGTGCCTTGTTTCAAACCGATGGTGGATCCACGCTATCTCCTCGGGCTCTTGAAGACCATCAACAGGTCAGCAGTATGCTGCAAGGCTCTTTCGGAAACCTGGAGGAGCGACGCGTGGAGGCCGCGCATCTCATCAGTAGCCTTCTGGTAGCGGAAGCGCAGCATCTTCTCGGCAGCCTGAAAGAGAACGTCCTGGAGAGCTTCTGTGGAGACCACCTAGAAGAAGCGGTGGAAGCGAAACGTTCTGAAGAACTCGAAGGCGCGAGGACGCTCGGGCAGGAAGTGGCGGAGGATCGCGAACTAAGCGCCGGGCCGTCTTGCGAGGAAGCCAAAGCTGAAGACCAAGCAGAGGTGGCGGCAGAGGGTGGAACGGGAGAAGTCCTCCCCGTATCGGAAGCGACCCACGGGGAGGACGCTCTACTGCAAGGTTCTTCCCCCAACAAAGCCACCCAACTTGACGTGGAAGACGTCGCCTCTGCCTCGGAGGAAGAGGCGGCGGACGTCAGGGATGGGAGCCCACCTCAAAGTTCTCCAGAAGATCTCCGAAGGCCAGAAGCCAGTCGGATGGCCGACGAGAAGATCACGGAAGCGTTGGAGGGGGTGGACCAGGAGGATTCCTCTTCTGAAGAGGCCTCGTCGTCTCGGGATTCTCCCGTTCCTCCGGCTTCCCCTTCCGGTGGAACCTCGTCGCCAGAGACACGTGGTGGTCCCTCAAAACGACCCTCGTCCCCTGCCCTGGAGGAGGCTCGCGTCGCCCCGCCTCCTGCTCCGACGTCGCAGTTCCCAGAAGTGCCTCCTGTTTTCTCCTTGATTCTCCCACCGTCACCTCCTTCCGAGGGTCCCGCCCAAGGCCCGTCAGCTACCTCGCGACTCGCTCCTTCGACCGCCGGTCCTTGTGCGGAACACACGCCTGCCAAAGAGACGTTCCTGCGAGACGCCCCCAAACTTCCGGTGGAAGGTAAGAGCGTTCTCTGTCGTTGTTGTTTTTTCTTCCCGTACAGGTCATCCTCGACTTTCGTTTAACGACCGCAGCAGTGGCTTAACGACCGCAACGGATACAGCAGTGGCTTAATGACCGCAGCAGTGGAGGAGGGAGGGGAAGGAAGAAAGATGGAAGGAATGGAGGAAGGACTGTGGGGTCCTTGGTGCTCTCTGAGCTGGGTGGTTTCCTGGCAGACGTCTCGTGACCCCACTAGGGAACGTCATCAGGTCTAGAAGGAAGGGAGGGAGGAGGAAGTGGACCATAGGGTCTTCGGTGCTCTCTGAGCTGGGTGGTTTCCTTGCAGATGTTGCAGGACCCAACTAGGGAACGTCATCAGTGGCTGGAAGGAAGTCGGCTTTGCTCTCCGTTTGTGTGTTGTTTCTTCCAGCCCTGATGACGTTCCCTAGTTGGGTCGTGAAACGTCTGCAAGGAAAACCACCCAGCTCAGAAAGCGCCAAGGGCTCCAGAAAAAGGAGAAACCCAGAGAAGCGTGGATGAACGCCAGGCAAACAACCAATCCGAACACAAGACCCAGAAGCCGTTTACACAGGATCACAGAGTTGGAAGGGACCTTGGAGGTCATCTAGTCCAGCCCCCTGCTCAAGCAGGAGACCCTTACAGAATGACAAGAGTTGGAAGGGACCTTGGAGGCCATCTAGTCCAGCCCCCTGCTCAAGCAGGAGACCCTTACAGAGTTACGGAATAACGAAGAGTTGGAAGGGACCTTGGAGGTCATCTAGTCTACCCTATTACCATTCCAGACAAAAGCTGGTCCAATTTCTTTTTTAAAGGGGACTTTAAACCACACTCCCTTCAACATTGCCAGTGCAAGTAACCCTATATAAAAAGGGAGCAATCCCCACACTCCCTCACACCGATGCCGTTCCCTAGTTGGGTCACGAAACGTCTGCAAGGAAACAGCCACACTCAGAGAGCACCAAGGACCCCCCAGTCCTTCCTCCTCTTCCTCTTTCCTTCCTTCCTTCCTTCCTTCCTTCCTTCCTTCCTTCCTTCCTTCCTCCTCCTCCTCCTCCAACTGATGACGTTCCCTAGTTCGGTCACGAGACGTCTGCAAGGAAACCACCCAGTGCAGAGAGCACCCAGGACCCCCCAGTCCTTCCTCCTCCTCCTCCTCCTCCTCCTCCTCCCCCCCTCCTCCCCCCCTTCTAGAACTGATGACGTTCCCTAGTTGGCTCACGAGACGTCTGCAAGGAATCCACCCAGCCCAGAGAGCACCAGCCCCCCCCCAAAGCACGATAAGATTGCCTGTGGATAAGACAACCGACATTTCGATGGGTGGCCCCATCCCCCAAAATTGGGGGAATGCCCACCAATGGAGAAAAAAGGGGAAGCTCTGAAGCCCCACCCACCCCCCCCTCTCTGAACTTCCTCCTTTTTCCTCCCCTCCCCCCAGCCCTCCAGACCGACAGCTCTCCGATGCCCGGCCACCCTCCCCAACTTCCCGGCGCCAAAGATGCCCGTGGGCGGAACCCGTTGCCCGGCCACCGAGATTCCCGCGCCAAGTATTTGGGCACGGCGCGGGAGAAGCGAGGCTCCCGGGGCTCCTTCCCGCCGGCGTCGAGTTCGAGCGAGGAGAGGGAGCTGGAGACGCTCCGCGAGGCGGGCATGATGCTGTTGGACGAGAAGACGGCCCTGGTGGGGAAGCGGGTCCAGGACGTCAACCACGAAGGTGACAACGCCACGGCGGTTGGGCGGGAAAAGGGCGCGGCGCGCGTTTCTCTCAGCGGGGCGCTTCCCCGTGGCTGGTGGAATGAAGCCGTAGGTTACCTGGGCAGGGAGGTGGACTAGAAGACCTCCACGGTCCCTTCCAAGTCTAGGATTTATGAACCTTGGGTCCTTTAGGGAGGTCCATCAGGGTGGGTGGAAGGTTGGATTAGATCCCGGGTCGGCAACCTGCGGCTCCGAAGTCACATGTGGCTCTTTGGATCTTCTTCTGCAGCTCCCAGCCTCCTCTGCCATTTTCAGAGAGAGAGAGAGAGAGACAGAAAGAGACGCTTGCGCTTCCCTTTTCTGTCTCTCTCTCTGTCTCTCTCTCTCTCCCTCTCCCTCCCTCTCTCCCTCTCCCTCTCTCTCTCTCTCTCTCTCTCTCTCTCTCTAAAAGAGAGTGGCCTCACGGAGTTCTCAGACGAGCTGACAAGCTTATTGGGTGGGGCTCCTGCCTTGGCTGCGTCTCTGCAGGAAGCAGGAAAGGGCAGGAGAGATAAGAATGGGTGTCAGCTTGTTGGAGAACAGCTTGAAGTCAGCTGGCCAGGTGAGCAGAAGAGAGGGAGAGAGGGGGGGAGAGAGAAAGAGAGAGAGAGAGAGAAAGAGGGGCAGAGAAAGAGAGAGAAAGAGAGGGGGGAGAGAGGGAGATGAAAGAGAAAGAGAGAGGGAGAGAAAGAGAGGGGGAGGGGGAACGAAAGAGGGAGAGAAGGAGAGAGAAAAAGAGAGAGAAAAAGAGGGAGAGGAGAGGAGAGGGGGGAAAGAGAAAGAGAGAGAGGAAAGAGGGGGGAGAGAAAAGAGAGGGAGAGGAAGGAGTGAAAGAGGGAGAGAAGGAGAGAGGAAAGAGAAGAAAAAGAAAGAAAGAGAAAAAAGAAAGAGGGAGAGGAAAGAGAAAGAAAGAAAGAAAGAAAGAAAGAAAGAAAGAAAGAAAGAAAGAAAGAAAGAAAGAACTAACTTATGCACAGCAGCCTCTTATTTCTTTTCAATTAAACTCTTTAATCAAGGTCTTTTCCCCTGGCGCACGCGCGCGCCAGTTTTGTGACTTCCAGTGTTTTCTCTGGGAAATGGGTCCAAGTGGCTCTTTGAGTGTTTAAGATTGCAGATTCCTGGACTAGAAGACCTCCATGGTCCCGTCCAGCTCTAGGATTTATGAACCTTGGGTCCTTTAGGGATGTCCACCAGGATGGGTGGAAGGTTGGAGTAGAAGATCTCCATGGCTCCTTCCAACCATAGGATTTATGAAGCTTGGTGGGTGCTTCAGGGATGTCCACCAGGATGGGTGGAAGGTTGGAGTAGAAGATCTCCATGGCTCCATCCAAACCTAGGATTTATGAAGCTTGGTGGGTCCTTCAGGGATGTCCACCAGGATGGGTGGAAGATTGGAGACCTCCATGGTCCCTTCCAACCTTAGGATTTATGAAGCTTGGTGGGTGCTTCAGGGACGTCTATCAAGATGGGTGGAAGGTTGGACTAGAAGATCTCCACGGTCCATTCCAACTCTAGGATTTATGAAGCTTGGTGGATCCTTCAGGGACCTCCACCAGGATGGGTGGAAGGTTGGAGTAGGAGATCACCACGGTCCATTCCAGCTTTAGGATTTATGAAGTTTGGTGGGTGCTTCAGGTATATCTACCAGGATAGGTGGAAGGTTGGACTAGAGGACCTCCATGGTTCTTTCCACCCATGGATTTTATGGTGGGGCCTTCAGGGACGTCCACCAGGATGGGTGGAAGGTTGGACTAGAAGACCTCCATGGTCCCGTCCAACTCTATGATTTATGAACCTTGGGTCCTTCAGGGATGTCCAACAGGATGGGTGAAGGTTGGACTAGAACACCTCCATGGCTCCTTCCAACCCTAGGGTTTATGAACCTTGGTGGGTCATTCAGGGATGTCCACCAGGATGGTGGAAAGTTGGATTACAAGACATGGGACAAGGATTCCATGATCTTTGGTGGGTCCTTCAGGGATATCCACCAGGATGGGTGGAAGATTGGAGACCTCCATGGTCCCTTCCAGCCCTAGGATTTATGAACCTTGGTGGGTGCTTCAGGGACGTCTAGCAAGATGGGTGGAAGGTTGGACTAGAAGATCTCCATGGTCCATTCCAACTCTAGGATTTATGAAGCTTGGTGGGTCCTTCAGGGACGTCCACCAGGATGGGTGGAAGGATGGACTAGAAGATCTCCATGGCTCCTTCCAAACCTAGGATTTATGAAGCTTGGTGGGTCCTTCAGGGATGTCCACCAGGATGGGTGGAAAGTTGGATTACAAGACATCCATGGTTCCTTCTAGGACAAGGATTCCGTGATCTTTGTTGGGTCCTTCAGGGATATCCACCAGGATTTATGAATCTTGGTGGGTCCTTCAGGGACGTCCACCAGGATGGGTGGAAGGTTAGAGTAGAAGACCCCCGTGGTTCCTTCCAACTCTAGGATTTATGAACCTTGGTGGGCCCTTCATGGACGTCCACCAGGATGGTTGGAAGGTTGGAGTAGAAGATCCATGGAGATCCATTCCAACTCTAGGATTTATGAAGCTTGGTGGGTGCTTCAGGGATGTCCGCCAGGATGGGTGGAAAGTTGGATTAGAAGGCATCCATGGTTCCTTCCAGGACAAGGATTCCATGATCTTTGGTGGGTCCTTCAGGGATGTCCACTGGGATCGGTGGACAGTTGGATTGGAAGATCTCCAAGCTCCCTTCCTTGCTGGATCTTTCCTGTATGTCCACCAGGAGTTGGAAGGGGCCTCCGAGGTCATCTAATCCCACCCCCTGCTCAAGCAGGAGACCCTTACAGGCATCACAGAATGACAATTGGAAGGGACCTCGGAGAGCATCTAGTCAAGCCCCCCAGATAAATCTTCCACTTACAACAGTTCGCTTTATTGACCGTTCTAAGTTACAACGGCATTGGAAAAAAGAGACTTAATGTCCTCAACGTACGACCGCAAGCCAGCCCAACGGTTCTGTCGTTCGGTGAGATTTTGTTTCTTTTTTCCTCCCCAGGATCTTCCAACGATTCGGAAAGCAATGAAGGATCCTTGCCGGAATTGGAAGAGCCGAACGTTCCAGTACCACGGACAGCTCCCACGGCGCAGGTGCGGTCCTTGAAGATGGGGGGGGGCGGACTTCAATTCCCCGAATTCCTCAGTCAGTTGCCCGTGGGCTGGGCTGAGAGAGAAGGCTGGGTGAGTTCCAGTCCCGCTGCTGTTCCTGCGTCAGGCGGGACTAGAACTCACCGTCGCCTGGTGATAGGCCCAAAGTCATCCGGTTGGCTTTTGCGCTTAAGGCGGGACTAGAACTCACCGTCGCCTGGTGATGGGCCCAAAGTCATCCGGTTGGCTTTTGCGCTTAAGGCGGGACTAGAACTCACCGTCGCCTGGTGATGGGCCTAAAGTCATCCGGTTGGCTTTTGCGCTTAAGGTGGGACTAGAACTCACCGTCGCCTGGTGATTGGCCCAAAGTCATCTGGTTGGCTTGTGTGCTTAAGGTGGGACTAGAACTCACCGTCGCCTGGTGATTGGGCCAAAGTCATCCAGTTGGCTTTTGTGCTTCAGGTGGGACTAGAACTCACCGTCGCCTGGTGATTGGACCCACTTGGCTTTCATTAATAAGGCGGGACTAGAACTCATTTCTCCTGATGATTGGCCCAAAGTCACCCAACGTGCTTTTGTGCCTAAAGTGGGACTAGAACTCACAATCTCCTGGTGATTGGCCCAAAATCCCTCATCCTGCCTTCTTGTCTAAGGCGGAACTAGAACTCACCATCTCCTGGTGATTGGCCCAGAGTCACCCAGCCCACTTTCCTACTTAAGGTGGAACTAGAACTCCCAAACTATTGGTGATTGGCCCATAGTCACCCAACCCATTTTTCTGCTTAAGGTGGAACTAGAACTCCCAAACTATTGGTGATTGGCCCAAAGTCACCCAGCCCACTTTCCTATTTAAGGTGGAACTAGAACTCCCAGACTATTGGTGATTGGCCCAAAGTCACCCAGCCCACTTTCCTATTTAAGGTGGAACTAGAACTCCCAGACTATTGGTGATTGGCCCAAAGTCACCCAGCCCATTTTTCTGCTTAAGGTGGAACTAGAACTCCCAAATTATTGATGATTGGCCCAAAGTCACCCATCCCACTTTCCTATTTAAGGTGGAACTAGAACTCCCAGACTATTGGTGATTGGCCCAAAGTCATCCAGCCCATTTTCCTGCTTAAGGTGGAACTAGAACTCCCAAACTATTGGTGATTGACCCAAAGTCACCCAGCCCACTTTCCTACTTAAGGTGGAACTAGAACTCCCAAATTATTGGTGATTGGCCCAAATTCACCCAGCCCACTTTCCTACTTAAGGTGGAACTAGAACTCCCAAACTATTGGTGATTGGCCCATAGTCACCCAGTCCAATTTCTTGCCTAAGGTGGAACTAGAACTCCCAGACTATTGGTGATTGGCCCAAAGTCACCCAGCCCATTTTCCTGCTTAAGGTGGAACTAGAACTCCCAAACTATTGGTGATTGGCCCATAGTCACCCAGTCCACTTTCTCGCCTAAGGTGGAACTAGAACTCCCAGACTATTGGTGATTGGCCCAAAGTCCCCCACTCCACTTTCTCGCCTAAGGTGGAACTAGAACTCCCAAGCTATTGATGATTGGCTCATAGTCACCCAGCCCACTTTCCTGCTTAAGGTGGAACTAGAACTCCCAAATTATTGGTGATTGGCCCAAAGTCACCCAGTCCAGTTTTTTACTTAAGGTGGAACTAGAACTCCCAAACTATTGGTGATTGGCCCAAAGTCACCCAGTTCACTTTCCTACTTAAGGTGGAACTAGAACTCCCAGACTATCGGGGATTGGCCCAAAGTCTCCCATCCAGCCTTCCCATCTAACGTGGGACTAGAACTCACCATCTCCTGCCGATTGGCCCAAGGTCACCCACTCGGCTTTCAGAACTGAAAGGCGAAACTAGAACTCCCGGTCTCCCACTTAAGTCTTATTCACCGTTGCATTCTTTCCATCGGACCGCCCTCAAAATCCTTTCCCTCGCTTAAAAAGAAAAAAAAGTAAAATAAATTTAATTAGAAGAATAATTCCCAGCTCTTGAAGGACCGAGGGGCAAGCGGCGATAACGCAGGCCTCGCCGTGAGGTGCTGAGTTCGAATTCTTTCCTGCCCGTCTGTCGTTGCAAACGTTTCCTCCCCCCGGCTTGAATCTCTCTCTCTTTTTTTTTGTAAATTATAAACTCTTTGCGCCAAACGGCCAGCCCCCCCCCCCACAAGTGCAAAAAAAAGGAGGGGGCGTTGATTTGAGGATGCACACTCACACACACACACACCCACCCAGACACACACACACACACACACACACACACACAAATGGACCTCTTAAAAATGAAATTTGGACCTCCACCGGGGCCAGCTAAAATGCCTTTCCAGGAAATAAAGAGAACAGATGCGCCTTTGCGGAGAGTGTGACATGCAGCTCGGACTAGAAAAGAGATCCACTTAGTAGTAAATGGATGAGTAAATGGATTTGTGTTTTTTTGTTTTTGTTTTTTTTTGCAGAGTCAGCTCACCCACTCCCTGGGGACCGGCGAAGAGTCCATTAGCAAGGCCAAGCAAAGCCGGAGCGAGAAGAAAGCACGGAAGGTAAATGGGAAGGATTTTAATCCATCCTTCCTTCCTTCCTTCCCTCCCTCCCTCCCTTCCTTCGTTCCTTCCTTCCTTCCTTCCTTCCATCTCTCCTCCCCTCCTTCCTTCCCTCCCTCCCTCCCTCTCCTTCGTTTGTTCCTTCCTTCCTTCCATCTCTCCTCCCCTCCTTCCTTCCCTCCCTCCCTCCCTCTCCTTCTTTCATTCCTTCCTTCCTTCCATCTCTCCCCTCCTTCCTTCCCTCCCTCCCTCCCTCTCCTTCCTTCCTTCCTTCATTTGTTCCTTCCTTCCTTCCATCTCTCCTCCCCTCCTTCCTTCCTTCCCTCCCTCCCTCCTTCCCTTCCCTTCCCTCCCCCTCCTTCTTTCTTTCCTTCCGTTTGTTCCTTCCTTCCAACTCTCCCTTCTTCTGTTCTTCCCTCCCTCCCTCCCTCTCCTTCCTTTTTCCTTCCTTCCTTCCTTTCTTCCTCCCTCCCTCTTTCCCTTCCTTCTTCCTTCCTTCCTTTCCTCCCTCCCTCCTTCCCCTCCTCCCTCTCCCTTCCTTCCCTCCCTCTCTCCCTCTCCTTCCTTCCTTCCTTTCCTCCCTCCGCTTCCCTCCCTCTCCTTCCTTCCTTCCCTCCCTCCATCTCTCCCTCTCCTTTCTTCCTCCCTTTCCTCCTCCCTCCCTTCCTCCCTTCCTCCCTTCCCTCCATCTCTCTCTCTCCTTCCTTTCTTCCTTTCCTCCCTCCCTTCCCCTCCCTCTTCCTTCCCTCCCTCCCTCATTCCTTCATCCATCTCTCCTTCCTTCCTTCCTTCCTTCCCTCCCTCCCTCCCTCCCTCCCTCCCTTCCATTCTCACAAATCACTCAAGTCGGTGAATATATCCAACACCCACTTTCATCCTTAACGTGGAACTAGAACTCACCCACTCCTAGTGATTGGTCCAAAGTCACCCAGCTGGCATTCAACCCTAAGGGGGGGGGAAACTAGAACTCTCAAGTCTAGCCTTGGGTGGGTTGGCCTTCTCTGGTCCACCATGTCATTCTTGAAGAAGGCCCTACCTCAAGGTGGCATTCCGTGGAGCGAGACGTTGGTCTACAAGACCTCAAGGGAGGGTTGGTCTAGTCTAACCTTCTTGGGTTGGCCTTCTATGGTCTATCCCCATGTCTTGAAGAAGGCCCTACTTCAAGGTGGCATTCTGTGGAGCGAGACGTTGGTCTACAAGACCTCAAGGGAGGGATGGTCTAGTCTAACCTTCTTGGGTTGGCCTTCTATGGTCTATCCCCATGTCTTGAAGAAGGCCCTACCTCAAGGTGGCATTCCGTGGAGCGAGACGTTGGTCTACAAGACCTCAAGGGAGGGATGGTCTAGTCTAACCTTCTTGGGTTGGCCTTCTATGGTCTATCCCCATGTCTTGAAGAAGGCCCTACTTCAAGGTGGCATTCTGTGGAGCGAGACGTTGGTCTACAAGACCTCAAGGGAGGGTTGGCCTTCTATGGTCTATCCCCAGGTCTTGAAGAAGGCCCTACCTCAAGGTGGCATTCTGTGGAGCGAGACGTTGGTCTACAAGACCTCAAGGGAGGGATGGTCTAGTCTAACCTTCTTGGGTTGGCCTTCTATGGTCTATCCCCATGTCTTGAAGAAGGCCCTACTTCAAGGTGGCATTCTGTGGAGCGAGACGTTGGTCTACAAGACCTCAAGGGAGGGTTGGCCTTCTATGGTCTATCCCCAGGTCTTGAAGATGGCCCTACCTCAAGGTGGCATTCTGTGGAGCGAGACGTTGGTCTACAAGACCTCAAGGGAGGGTTGGTCTAGTCTAACCTTCTTGGGTTGGCCTTCTATGGTCTATCCCCAGGTCTTGAAGAAGGCCCTACTTCAAGGTGGCATTCTGTGGAGCGAGACGTTGGTCTACAAGACCTCAAGGGAGGGTTGGCCTTCTATGGTCTATCCCCAGGTCTTGAAGATGGCCCTACCTCAAGGTGGCATTCTGTGGAGCGAGACGTTGGTCTACAAGACCTCAAGGGAGGGTTGGTCTAGTCTAACCTTCTTGGGTTGGCCTTCTATGGTCTATCCCCAGGTCTTGAAGAAGACCCTACCTCAAGGTGGCATTCCGTGGAGCAAGGAGTTGGTCTACAGGACCTCACGGGAGGGTTAATGAAGTCTAGCCTTCTTGGGTTGGCCTTGTATGGTCCACCATGACTTGAAGGCGGCCCTACCTCAAGGTGGCATTCTGTGGAACGAGACGTTGGTCTACAGGACCTCAAGGGAGGGTTAATGAAGTCTAGCCTTCTTGGGTTGGCCTTGTATGGTCCACCATGACTTGAAGGCGGCCCTACCTCAAGGTGGCATTCCGTGGAGCGAGACGTTGGTCTAAAGACCTCAAGGGAGGGTTAATGAAGTCTAGCCTTCTTGGGTTGGCCTTGTATGGTCCACCATGACTTGAAGAAGGCCCTACCTCAAGGTGGCATTCCGTGGAGCGAGACATTGGTCTATAGGACCTCAAGGGAGGGTTAACGAAGTCTAGCCTTCTTGGGTTGGCCTTGTATGGTCCACCATGACTTGAAGGCGGCCCTACCTCAAGGTGGCATTCCGTGGAGCGAGACGTTGGTCTAAAGACCTCAAGGGAGGGTTAACGAAGTCTAGCCTTCTTGGGTTGGCCTTGTATGGTCCACCATGACTTGAAGGCGGCCCTACCTCAAGGTGGCATTCCGTGGAGCGAGACATTGGTCTACAGGACCTCAAGGGAGGGTTGGCCAAGTCTAGCCACCTTGGGTTGGTCTTCTTGAAGAAGACCCTACCTCAAAACTCAACACGTTCCTCCTCGTTCGTGATCTTCATCTGTTGGGTTGACCTCCCTGGCCCACCTTCCTTTCCTCCGTGGCTCCTCGGAGGGCGAGCCTGTGGCAGGATTGTGAGCGTGTGTTGTGTGTTTGTGTGGGTTCTTGGCTTCCAGGCCATGTCCAAGCTGGGCCTGCGCCAAATCCACGGCGTGACCAGGATCACCATCCGCAAATCCAAGAACATCTTGTTTGTCATCACCAAGCCGGATGTCTTCAAAAGCCCCGCCTCGGATATCTACATCGTCTTTGGAGAAGCCAAGGTGAGCCCAGGGAGAGGACCCAAGGGAGGACATGGCATCCTGGGGGCTGGGGGAGTCCGTGGGTGACAGGAGAGGGAGGGAGAGAGGGAAGGAAGGAAGGAAGGAAGGAGAGGAAGAGAAAGGAAGGGAGGCGAGGGAGGGCGGAAGAAGGAAGGAAGAAGGGAAAGAGAAGGAAGGAAGAAAAGAAGGAGAAGGTGGAAGAGAAGAAGGAAGGAAGAAGAGAAACGAGGAAGGGAGGCGAGAAGGAAGGAAGGAAGGAAGGAAGGAAGGAGAGGGAGGGCGGAAGAGAAGAAGGGAGAAGGGAAAGAGAAGGAAGGAAGGAGGGAGGGCAGAAGAGAAGGAAGGAGGAAGAAGAGAAACTAGGAAGGAAGGGGAGAAGGAAGGAGGGAGGGAGGGCGGAAGAGAAGAAGGGAAAGAGAAGGAAGGAAGGAGGGAGGGAGGGCGGAAGAGAAGAAGGGAAAGAGAAGGAAGGAAGGAAGGAGGGAGGGCGGAAGAGAAGAAGGGAAAGAGAAGGAAGGAAGGAGGGAGGGCGGAAGAGAAGAAGGGAAAGAGAAGGAAGGAAGGAAGGAGGGAGGGCGGAAGAGAAGAAGGGAAAGAGAAGGAAGGAAGGAAGGAGGGAGGGCGGAAGAGAAGAAGGAAGGAAGAAGGGAAAGAGAAGGAAGGCAGGAAGAAGAGAAACTAGGAAGGAAGTGAGAAGGAAGGAAGGAAGGAGAGGGAGGGCGGAAGAGAAGAAGGGAAAGAGAAGGAAGGAGGGAGGGCAGAAGAGAAGGAAGGAAGAATGGAAAGAGAAGGAAGGAAGAAGAGAAGGAAGGAAGAGGAGAAGGAAGGAGGGAGGGAGGGCGGAAGAGAAGGAAGGAAGGGAAAGAGAAGGAAGGAAGGAAGGGAGAGGGTGGAAGAGAAGAAGGAAGGAAGAAGAGAAATGGAAGGAAGGGGAGGAGGAAGGAAGGGAGGGGGAGGGTGGAAGAGAAGAAGGAAGGATTGATGAAGGAAGGAATGAAGAAAGGGAGGGTGGAAGAGAAGGAAGGAAGAAGGGAAAAATGAAGAATAAGGAAGGATGGAAGGGAGGGAGAGAAGGTGGAAGGTGGAAAGAAGGAAGGAAAGGCAGGGAGGGAGGGAAGAAAGCAAAAGGAAGGAAAGAATAATGAAGGGTAGCGAAAAGCAGAAGGGAATGCAAGAAGGAAAGGAAGGAAGGAAGGAAGGAAGGAAGGAAGGAAGGAGAGGGAGGGTGGAAGAGAAGAAGGGAAAGGGAAGGAAGGAAGGAAGGAAGGAAGGAAGGAAGGAAGGAAGGAAGGAAGGAGAGGGCAGACAAGAAGAAGGAAGGAAGAAGAGAAAGAGAAGAAAGGAAGGCGACGGATGGTGGAAGAAGGAAGGAAGAAGGGAAAAATAAGGAAGGAAGGAGAGAGAAAGGGAAGAGGGGAAGGAAGAAAAGCCAAAGGAAGGACAGAATAATGAAGGGAAGCGAAAAGGAGGCAAGAAAGAAAAGAAGGCGAGGGGAGGGAAGGAAAGAAGGAAGGAAGGAGAGAGGGAGTGAAAAAGGGAGGAAGGAGGGAGGGAGAGGGAAGGAGGGATGGGAGGAAGGAGGGACGTATGGAAGGGAGGAGAGTGAGAGAAGGAAGGAAGGAAGGAAGACGCTGCGACCGTCGTAAATGCAAAAGTCGGTTGCCGAGCGTCCGAATTTGGATCGCGTGACCACAGGGGATGCCGCGACGGTCGCTAAGCGTGAAAGCCGATTCCCTTTTCCCGGTGCCCTTGTAGCTTTGAACGGCCACTAAGCGAGTCGTCGTAAGTCGAGGACTCCCCGCATGGTGACACATCCTCGCTTTCATATCTGTCTTCTTCTCCTCTCTGGAGGAATCGGACTGAAAATGTGAGATTACGGGAGGTTGACGGGACCTGCCCCCTTTGTAGACCATGGAAGAACCTGGATTAAATCTTGGGAGGTCTTCTTCTTCTTCTTGGGGAGGTCTTCTCCTGGAAATGGGACTTGGGCCAGGTCTCCAGATCTGATAACGTTCCTCCACTTCGGTCTTCTCCAGATCGAAGACCTCTCTCAACAGGTCCACAAAGCCGCGGCGGAGAAGTTCAAAGTTCCGGTGGAGCACTCGCCCTTGATCACCGAAGCAGCCCCGGCCCTGACCATCAAGGAGGAGAGTGAGGAAGAGGAGGAGGTAAGGGAGGAGACCAAGGATGGTAACCTTCTCCAAGCGTCGTTGGAGACGGCGGTGGAAAGGGGGAAGGCCGAGATGGACGAGAACGTGGGAGGTCTTTGGGGTGTCCTCGTCAAGTCCCACCAAGGAGGTTAGGAGGCCCTCAAGTTCCATCTAGGAGGTCCGAGTCAAGTTCCAGCTAGGAGGTCCAAGCCAGGAGCTCCTCAAGTTCCACCAAGGAGCTCTTCAAGTTCCACCTAGGAGGTCCAAGTCAGGAGGTCCTCAAGTTCCACCTAGAAGGTCCAAGTCAGGAGACCCTCAAGTTCCACCCAGGAGGCCCTCAAGTTCCATCTAGGAGGTCCAAGTCAGGAAACCCTCAAGTTCCACCTAGGAGGCCCTCAAGTTCTACCTAGAAGGTCCAAATCAGTAGGTCCTCAAGTTCCACCTAGGTCCTTAAGTTCCACCTAGAAGGTCCAAGTCAGGAGACCCTCAAGTTCCACCAAGGAGCTCTTCAAATTCCACCTAGGAGGTCCAAGTCAGGAGACCCTCAAGTTCCACCTAGGAGCTCCTCAAGTTCCACTTAGAAGGTCCAAGTCAGGAGACCCTCAAGTTCCACCTAGGAGGCCCTCAAGTTCTACCTAGAAGATCCAAATCAGTAGGTCCTCAAGTTCCACCTAGGTCCTCAAGTTCCACCTAGGTCCTTAAGTTCCACCTAGGAGGTCCAAGTCAGGAGGTCCTCAAGTTCCACCTAGGAGCTCCTCAAGTTCCACCTAGGAGGTCCAAATCAGGAGCTCCTCAAGTTCCACCTAGGTCCTTAAGTTCCACCTAGGAGGTTCAAGTCAGGAGACCCTCAAGTTCCACCTAGGAGCTCCTCAAGTTCCACCTAGGAGGTCCAAATCAGGAGCTCCTCAAGTTCCACCTAGGTCCTTAAGTTCCACCTAGGAGGTCCAAGTCAGGAGACCCTCAAGTTCCACCTAGGAGCTCCTCAAGTTCCACCTAGGAGGTCCAAATCAGGAGCTCCTCAAGTTCCACCTAGAAGGTCCAAGTCAGGAGACCCTCAAGTTCCACCTAGGAGCTCCTCAAGTTCCACCTAGGAGGTCCAAATCAGGAGCTCCTCAAGTTCCACCTAGGTCCTTAAGTTCCACCTAGGAGGTCCAAGTCAGGAGACCCTCAAGTTCCACCTAGGAGCTTCTCAAGTTCCACCTAGGAGGGTCCGGTAGTCATAGAAGGACACAAAATGGCACCCTAGAGCGGAAGGGACCTTGGTTGAGGTCACCCAGCCCGACCCGCTTGTCCAAGACAGGAGACCTGCCATGAGCTTTGGGGTCCACCACAAGTCCACCTCATGGGACTCGGTCTCCTGATGGCTTCTCAAGGCCAGCTCCTTTCTGAAGATACGAACCCTGGACTTCAGGTTGGGGCCACCCCATAAAAGGTGGGAGAAGTGACCCCCCAACGTGGAGAAAGGTCTACTAGAACCTCACCCCGTTGCTACTCTCGTTGTTGTTAGGGTTGGTGGCAAAGTCAACCAGACGTTGGACGTTGGCCTTTTTTATCCGCTTACTGGAGTCCCTCCCGAGAATCTGTCAGGAGGTTGATGATGATCTTCTTCCTCTTCCTCTTCCTCCTCCTTCTCCCTTCCTCTTCCTCCTCCTCCTCCTGCTCCTCCTCCCTCGCCCTCTCTTCCTTCACCTCCTTTTTCCTTTTTCCTTCTTTTCTCCTTCCTTCATTCCTTCCTTTCCCCTACTCTTTCCTACTTTTCTTTTTCTTTTTCATTCATTCTTTCCTTTCTTTTTCTTTCTTTTCTTTTTTCCTCCCTCCCTCCTTCCCTCCCTCTTCCTTTCCTCCTTCTCTCCTTCTTTCTTCCTCCCTCCTCCGTCTTTTCTTTTTTCTTCCTTCTTCCTTCTCCCGCTTTTTTTCCTCCCTCCCTCCTTCCCTTCTTCCCTCTTCCTTCCTTCCTTTCCTCCTCCTTCTTTTTTTTCTCCCTCACTCCCTCCTGTCTTTCTTTTTGTTCCTTCCTTTCTTTTCTTTTTTCCTCCCTCCTTCCCTCCCTTTTTTTCTTTCCTTCCTTCTTTCTTATCCCTTCCCTTTCTTTGCTTTTCTCTTTTTTCCTCCCTCCTGCCCACTATTCTTCTCTCTTCCTTCTTTCCTTCCTTCCTTCTCTCCGTTCCTCCCTTCCTTTCTTTCACTCCTTCTCTCTTCTTTCTTTTTTCCTCCCTCCCTCCTTCCCTCCCTCTTCCTTCCTTCCCTCCTTCTCCTTTTTTTCCTCCCTCCCTCCCTCCTGTCTTTCTTTTTTTCTTTCTCCTTTTCTTTTCTTTTTTCCTCCCTTCCTCCTTCCGTCCCTTTTTTTTCCTTTCCTTCCTTCTTTCTTATCCCTTCCCTTTCTGTTTTTCTTTTTTTCCTCCCTCCTGCCCACCATTCTTCCCTCCCTTCTTTCCTTCCTTCCTTCTTTCCGTTCCTCCCTTCTTTTTTTTCTCCCTCCCTTTCTTTCTTTCTTTCTTTCTTTCTTTCTTTCTCTTTTTCTTTCTTTCTCTTTCTTCTTTCTTTCTCTTCCTTCCTTCCTTCTTTCTCTTTCTTTCTTTCTTTCTTTCTTTCTTTCTTTCTCCCTTTCTTTTTTTGTTTCTTCCTTCTTTCTTTTTTTCCTTCTTTCTTTTTCTTTTTCTTTTTCTTTCTTTCTCTTTCCTCCCTCCCTCCCTCTTTTGCCAGGTGGACGAAACGGGCCTGGAGGTGAGGGACATTGAGCTGGTGATGGCTCAGGCCAACGTCTCCCGCGCAAAAGCCGTCCGAGCCCTTCGGCACAACAACAACGATATCGTCAACGCCATCATGGTGAGTCTGGGCAGGGCCGCGAGGGACCGAGGGAGGGAGAGCCGCCGAGCCTCCGCGGTGGGGTGGAGCGTGGCCTGGATGCCCGGGGAGGAGGGTGGGAGGGGCTTCATTCCTGGAGATTAAGACAGAAAGGCGCCAAAGGTTAGATCATTCGGTGGAGAGGGAGAGAAATGGGGAAGCTGCTCCCGAGCGATTCCTCTGAGGGTTTCGACGGGGCGGCGGCTACCGACGGTCCTCCCCTCGCGACGGGTTCCCTTCGCGACCGCTCCAGGGTTACGACGGCACTGGAAGCAGGGACCCTGGGTCGGACTGAACGGCCCTTGCAGCATCCCGACGGAGGCGGGATCCTCTTTTTTCCCCCCGACGTCCTGACCGGCGACGTCGAGGGGATTCACTTCACGACCGTCTTACTCACTTCACAACTGCAGCGATTCACTTAACGGCCGGGACAAGGAAGGTCGTCCAAGGGGCCCAAGCTCAGGAAACTCACGTGTCTCGCTTAGCGACAGAAATTTGGGGCTCATTTGTGGTCGTATGTTGAGGAGAACCTGTATTAGAAGAGAGCGGGAGTAGAGTAGAATAGGGATAAGAGAGGAGAGGATCAGAATAGAATAGAACAGAACAACAGAACAGAACAGAATAGAAGGAATGAAGGATAGGATAGGATAGGATAGGATAGGATAGGATAGGATAGGAATGGCAGAATAGAATAGAAATAGAATAGAAATAGAATAGAAATAGAATAGAATAGAATAGAATATAGAAACAAGAATAGAATATATGGAATAGAATAGAACAGAACAGAATAGTTAAGAATAGAATATTTTAATAGAATAGAATAGAAAATAAGAATAGAATAGAATAGAATAGAGAATATAGGATATGGAATATAGAATAGGGGAAGGAGAGTAGAATAGAATAGAATAGAATAGAAGAATAGAATAGAATAGAATAGAATGTAGAATATAATATTTTAATAGAATAGAAGGAGAATAGAATAGAATAGAATAGAATAGAATAGAATAGAATAGAATAGAATAGAATAGAATAGAGAGAAAGTATGGAATGGAATGAATGGAAGAGAACAGAAGAGATAGAATGGAATAGAATAGAATAGAAAGAAAATATGGAATGGAATGAATGAAAGAAGAGAGAATAGAATAGAATAGAATAGAATAGAATAGAATAGAATAGAATAGAATAGAATAGAATAGAAGGAATGAAGAATAGAATGTAGAATATAGAAAATAATCTTTTAATAGAATAGAATATAGAATAGAATAGAATAGAATAGAATAGAATAGAATAGAATAGAATAGAATAGAATATAGAATGGAATGGAATGGAATATAGAATAGAATGCAGAATGGAAGGGCAGATTTGAGAGGAGGAGAAGGAGGAGGAAGGAAGGAAGGAAGGAAGGAAGGAAGGAAGGAAGGAAGGAAGGAAGGAAGGAAGGAAGGACGGACGGAAGGACGGACTGTGGGGTCCATGATGCTCTCTGAGCTGGGTGGTTTCCTTGCAGACGTTTCCTGACCCAACTAGGGAACATCATCAGTGTTGGGAGGGGGGATTGCGTAGAGGAGTAAGAGGAGCAGCAGCAGGAGGACTGTACGATTATGTGAATTTGCCCTCCTAGCACTGATGACATTCCCTAGTTGGGTCACGAGACGTCTGCAAGGAAACCACCCAGCTCAGAGTGCACCCGGGATCCCCCAGTCCTTCCTTCCTCCAACTCCTCCTCCTCCTCCTCCCTCCCTCCCAGCCCTGATGACGTCCCCTAGTTGGGTCACGAAAGACCCCCCCAGTCTTTCCTCCTCCCTCCTCTCTCCCAGACCTGATGACGTTACGTAGCTGGGTGGCGAAAGGTCGGCGAGATAAATACGCCTCACTTGACGCTTGTCTTCTTCCCGTTGTGTCTTCCAGGAGCTGACCATGTAGTGACCGGTGGGGGGACGCCCACCCACACACCCCCTCCGACACCGCCCCGCCAGGCTCTGTCCCCCCTCCCTCCCTCCCCCCCACTTCTGTATAGATGCCCACTCGCCCATAGCCAAGGCAGCCAGCTCTGCTTTCTTGGGACTTGCAAAGACTTTACTCCCGATTCTTCTACACCAAGGATGCTCTCGCTCAATAAACGGTATATTCACTCCCGCTTCAACCTCCCCCCGGCTCCGTCTCTGCTTGGGCCGGGCGTCTGATCCGCTTAGCGACCGGCCCCCGAGTAGCGACGAGGAAGAGGCTGCAAAGAAGTGACTTGGGGGCCGCCGTTCACTACTTAACGTCCCCCGTGACGGACGCGGGGAGAGCAATGGACGTACTTACGACCGTTGCTGTGGGCCCAGGGTCTTTTCCGACGTGAACCGGGTGACTCACGGAAGGACGAGGGAGGGGAGAAAGGACGTAAAACGGGGCCCAAACCCGCTCCCTAAATGACTCGCTTTATGACGGAGGTTTTGGGGGGGCTCGGTCGTGGTCGTAAAGCGAGGACCGCCTGCATTTGCTTGGGTCTTGGATGGGTCTCGAGGCGTTTGTCCTCTCGCCGGACCACGGAGTGGTGGTTTCCTGCGTCTGTTGGGCTACTGGCAGAATGACAAGTGTGGGGAGGGACCTCGGAGGTCATCTAGTCCGACCTCGGAGGTCATCTAGTCCAACCCCGTTCAAGCAGGAAACCCTGACAGAATGACGAGAGTTGGAAGGGACCTGGGAGGAGGAGAAGTTGAGTGGGGACGTTGAGGCTCTGTGAAGATGGTCATTTTCTTGCAGACGTCTCGTGACCCAACTAGGGAGCATCATCAGTGCTAGAAGGGAGGAAGGAGGAGGAGGAGGAGGAGGAAGAAAAAAAAGGACTGTGGGGTCCTTGATGCTCTAGGAGTCTAATATTCTTCTCGCAGACGTTTCAGGACCCTACCAGGTAATATCATCAGTGTCAGATCCCTGAGGCGGAATCGAATTCAGCCAGAATTTGGGATTCTTTTCCTCGCAGGCTTTAGCAGAAGTCGGAATGAATTTTCCTGGGGGGTGTGTGTGGGGGGGGAATGGGCAGGTTTAGGACTCGAATCCCCCGCGCGAAATCGGAACTCGTGCGAAACGTCAAGATCTTTTAGCCTTCAAAGCCTTTTTTCGATTCCACTTAGGTAACGCTAGGCTGCTCCTCACACAATTACACACTGTCGAATCGTCACACGCGAGCTGCACGTGGAGAGCTATTTTAAGCATTGTTTCTCTGCTGGGCAGCCGGGGATGCAATTTTGGGGAAGAACACGCCAACATAACAATTCAGGCAAGTCCTCAACTTGCAACCCTTCGTTTAGTGACCATTCTAATGGACAACGGCACGGATAACAATTTACGACCACCGCAGCACCTTTATGGTCACATGATTGAAATTCAGGCGCCTGGCAACCAACTCGTATTTATGACAGTCGCAGCGTCCTGGGGCCATGTGATTAAAATTGACATGCTTGGCCACTGATTCGTATTTATGACGGTCGCAGCATCCCGTGGTCACATGATTAAAATTGACACGCTTGGCCACTGATTTGTATCTGACGGTCGCAGCGTCACATGATTAAAATTGACACGCTTGGCCACTGACTCGTATTTATGACGGTCGCAGCGTCCCGTGGTCACACGATTAAAATTGACACGCTTGGCCACTGACTCGTATTTATGACGGTCACAGCGTCCCGTGGTCACACGATTAAAATTGACACGCTTGGCTACTGACTCGTATTGATCACGGTCACAGCTTCCCGGGGTGACGTGATTAAAATTCAGACGCTTGGCAACCGACTCGTATTTATGACGGTCCCACAGCATCCTGGTGTCCCGTAATTACAATTCAGACGCTTGACCACCGACTCGTGTTTATGCCGGTCGCAGCATCCTGGGTTCAGGTGATTAAAATTGACACGCTTGGCCACTGACTCGTATTTATGACGGTCGCAGCGTCCCGTGGTCACACGATTAAAATTGACACGCTTGGCCACTGACTCGTATTTATGACGGTCGCAGCGTCCCGTGGTCACACGATTAAAATTGACACGCTTGGCCACTGACTCGTATTTATGACGGTCGCAGCGTCCCGTGGTCACATGATTAAAATTGACACGCTTGGCTACTGACTCGTATTGATCACGGTCACAGCTTCCCGGGGTGACGTGATTAAAATTCAGACGCTTGGCAACCGACTCGTATTTATGACGGTCCCACAGCATCCTGGTGTCCCGTAATTACAATTCAGACGCTTGACCACCGACTCGTGTTTATGCCGGTCGCAGCATCCTGGGTTCAGGTGATTAAAATTGACACGCTTGGCCACTGACTCGTATTTATGACGGTCGCAGCGTCCCGTGGTCACACGATTAAAATTGACACGCTTGGCCACTGACTCGTATTTATGACGGTCGCAGCGTCCCGTGGTCACACGATTAAAATTGACACGCTTGGCCACTGACTCGTATTTATGACGGTCGCAGCGTCCCGTGGTCACACGATTAAAATTGACACGCTTGGCTACTGACTCGTATTGATCACGGTCACAGCTTCCCGGGGTGACGTGATTAAAATTCAGACGCTTGGCAACCGACTCGTATTTATGACGGTCCCACAGCATCCTGGTGTCCCGTAATTACAATTCAGACGCTTGACCACCGACTCGTGTTTATGCCGGTCGCAGCATCCTGGGTTCAGGTGATTAAAATTGACACGCTTGGCCACTGACTCGTATTTATGACGGTCGCAGCGTCCCGTGGTCACACGATTAAAATTGACACGCTTGGCCACTGACTCGTATTTATGACGGTCGCAGCGTCCCGTGGTCACACGATTAAAATTGACACGCTTGGCTACTGACTCGTATTGATCACGGTCACAGCTTCCCGGGGTGACGTGATTAAAATTCAGACGCTTGGCAACCGACTCGTATTTATGACGGTCCCACAGCATCCTGGTGTCACGTAATTACAATTCAGACGCTTGACCACCGACTCGTGTTTATGACAGTCACAGCGTCCCGGGTTCAGGTGATTAAAATTGACACGCTTGGCCACTGACTCATATTTATGACGGTCGCAGCATCCCACGGTCACATTTCAAATTCAGACGCTTAGCAACCAACTCGTATTGATGACGTTCGCAGCATCCTAGTGCTCAAGCAGGAGACCCTATACCATTTCAGCCCAATCTCTTCTTTAAAACTTCCAGTGATGGCACACCCACAACTTCTGGAGCAGTGGTTCTCAACCTTTTTAATGCCGTGACCCCCCAACCGGTCGTAAGTCGAGGACTACTCAACCGGTCGTAAGTCGAGGACTACTCAACGGGTGCAGCACCGTTTGCAGAATGGGACTTTTGGCGGGCTCAGCAGGGCAGAGACAGCCTGGACAATTCCTATTGGCTTTGGAAAGCCAATAGAATGAGACTCTATTCAAGAGAGTCTCTTCTATTGGGTTTCCAAAGCCAATAGAATAAAAGGGAGGAGCACAGCTAAGGAAAAGGGGGAAAAAATGGCGGACTGCGTTGTTTGGCGACCCCCGTGAAATGGTGGTTCGACCCCAAATGGGGCCCCGACCCACAGGTTGAGAACCACAGTTCTCGAGGCAAGCCACCATTTGTGTTCCCCACCACACTCCCACCCCTCCGGTCCTCATTTTCCCAGACACGAAACTGACAAGGGTCCCGGTCAGTTTGCCCAGATGGAAAGCTAAGAAGCCCTCACGTCTTGGCTGTGGCTTCCCCAGCCAGCTTTTTATTTGAAACCGGTTTCTTTGGAAAAAAAACAAATCAAAACAAAAAAAAAAAAAAAACAGCAAGCCACCGATTTTTGGTGCGATTTAAAAAAAAAAAAAAAAGACACACGTGTCTGTCCATCTCCCGACGGGCTAAAAGAACATACATGTCAGTTTATAAGAAGCCAGGCGAGCTCTCGGTGGCCTGAAACACGCTTAGAAAAATAACTGTGCATTTATATGTATAATATATACAACACATGTACATATGTATATATATTGCCTCCGCTGCTTGAAAAAAAATAATAAACCAGGATTAAAAAAAGTCTCGTTCTTAAGTTGGATCGACCCCCAACTTGCCGAAGGACTGGGAGTCCTGGATGGAAGTCCACCATGAGACAGCCCCACCCCCAACCCACAATGCCCTGCTTGTTCCATGGGGCTTGGGCCTTCATTATGGTCCGGCCGCTTGGAACGGTCCGAATTTGGCTAAGATCGGGGAAGGTTTGGACACCACGTGGACGAGTAAAAGAGCTGTGACTTGTCTTGGAGCAGACCGTCAACCGGTTTCTCAACCGGGTTCTCCACCCTGAGATCACCCCACTTGTCCTTAGGGAATTCCAAGTTCAAAATCACGGCCAGATCCATCACTAGATCCGCCTGCTGGCGTTGACAGAAGGAGCTCCCATCCCACAACGGATGGAGCGCCGGAGCGACTCAACCGCTACCCTCCTTTGAAATATTAGAGGACAACTGCTTGGGATTTCAGTGGCGAGGGAACTCCAGGAACACGCATTCAGACATCCGTGTAAGAAAGGTCATGTGCAAAACTGGAGAGGCGGGAATGGGGGGAGGGGGTAGACCCTGGAGAAGCTTGTGCTGACCTTCCCGGGATTCATGGTTTCTCCACAACGGCAGTGGGTACCCAAGCTTGGGACGAACGGGACTCCGTGAGGAGCCTAAGGGAGGGAAGGCACGAGAAACGAGAGCGAGAAATAAAAGGGGAGGGGGGGACGGTGCGGTACAGAGAGGTCCGTGTCTCGTAGCGTACTCGCCCCAATCAGGATGAATGGGAGCCTTGGGGAGAGGAAGTCTGGGAAACAAGAGTGAGAAATAAAATGGGGTCCGGCGCGGGACAGAGAGGTCCACGTCTCTCGGCGTCCTTGCCCGGATCAGGACGAATCTTGATCCAAGCTGCACCCCAACGCTTCGATGTCGTTGCTGATGTCGGAGATCATCCGATCCCACTCGTCCCCCTCCGACGGCACCGACTGGTCATCCGAACTGCCGGCGGCGCCGTTGCCGTTGGCGGTGGAGTTGGAGATGGTTCTCACCGTCCAGCGGTATCGGCCAAAACTATCCGTGATGATCCCCCGTCCGTCTTTCACGCCGATGGTCTCTAGGAAGTTCTCAAAGTATTGGCTGTCCTTCTCCGGGATGAAGGGACGGAGACCTCGGAGAGGGAGGAAGAAGAGGGAAAGGAACTCAGTGGAGAAGGCCTTTCAAAGGCCGGGATTCGAACGCAGGACCCTCTCCCCCCCCCAAACCAATAGACAGAAAAAAAAACTGAGGGGGACGGTTATTCGTGATTGCAGAAGCGGTAGGATTGCCTGGAATTTCAGAGTCCTCGACTTACAACGGAGCCCAGACTTCCCATTGTTGAGCGAGACCGTTGTTGAGCAGGTTTGTCCCCATTTTACAATCGTTTTGGCCCTGGCTGTTAAATAAATCCCCGCAACAGTTAAGTTAGCAACACGGTCGCAGAGTGAACCGGGCTTCGCTGGACAGGTGATCGCAAAAGGGGATCACGTGATCCCGGAGGACGGCACGACGCCGTCATAAGTCTGCGTCGGTCGCTGAGCCTCGAGCCTGAATTTTGATCGTGGGGCCATGGCGATGCGGCGACGGTCATGTGAAACATGGCGCTACTTTTTTTCAGCGCCATTCCGACTTCGAACGGCCAGTAACCAAAATGTCGTTAAGGCGAGGACTACCTACACTTCAGGGGTGGCGAGAGAAAAATGCCACCACCTGTTCGTCTAGAGCAGTGGTTCTCAACCTGTGGGTCGGGACCCCATTTGGGGTCGAACGACCATTTCACGGGGGTTGCCAAACAACACAGTCCGCCATTTTTTCCCCCCTTTTCCTTAGCTGTGCTACTCCCTTTTATTCTATTGGCTTTTGAAAGCCAATAGAATAGACTCTCTTGAATAGAGTCTAATTCTATTGGCTTTCAAAAGCCAATAGGAATTCTCCAGGCTGTCTCTGCCCTGCTGAGCTCGCCAAAAGTCCCAGTCTGCAAACGGTGCTGCACCAGTTGAGTAGTCCTCGACTTACGACCGGTTGAGTAGTCCTCGACTTACGACCGGTTGGGGGGTCACAGCATTAAAAAGGTTGAGAACCACTGGCCTAGAGATGCTCAGCCAGGTGGATGTTATCCAACTCTTTTTAACCTCTTCCCTTTTTAAAAAAAGTTACACTGAACTCTTTTTTTATTGATTTATTGTAAGGCCAAAACCCGTCAATCAATGTGAGGTCCCTAGTCCTCTCGGAGCTCGGGGGAGTTCCTTGCAGACGTCTCATGACCCAACTAGGGAACATCATCAGTGCTATAAGGAAGGAAGGAAGGAAGGAAGGAAGGAAGGAAGGAAGGAAGGAAGGAAGGAAGGAAGGAAGGAAGGAAGGAAGGAAAATGTTGTGGGTGGTTATTCCTTGCAGACGTCTCATGACCAAATAAGGGAACATCATCAGTGCTGGGAGGGGGCAGAGGAAAAGGGGAGAGGGAGGAGGAAGAGGAGGAAGAAAAGGACTATGGGATCCTTGGTGCTCTCCGAGCTGGGTGGTTTCCTTGCAGACGTCTCATGGCCCAACTAGGGAACAACATCAGTGCTAGAGAGGAGGAGGAGGAGGAGGAGGCAGGATGGATGGATGGGTGGATGGATGGAAGGAAGGAAGGAAGGAAGGAAGGAAGGAAGGAAGGGCAACATCATCAGTGCTAGAGGGAGAAGGGTGTGAAAAATGGAGGAGGAGGAGGACTCTGTGGCCCATGGTGCGCTCAGAGCTTGTTAGTTTTCTATAAAAAGTGAGCAAACTCCACACTCCCTCATACTGATGACGTTCCCCAGTTCGGTCACGAAACGTCTGCAAGAAAATCAAGCTCAGAAAGCCGCAAGGATACCACAGTCCTTCTCCATTCTGCACACCCCTCTCCCTTCCAGCACTGAGGATGCTACCTAGTCAGGTAATAAAACGTCAGAAAACAACGCAGCTCCCAGAGACCCCCCCCCATGGTGGAAGCCCACATGTCCTCCACTGGCCAAAATCGAAAAACTAACCTAAACTCATGAGCAGGGAGCTGAACTAGATGACCTCCAAGGTCCCTTCCGGCTCCATTCTATTCCGAGTTCTAAGTTCTAATGGATGAAACCCACACCCCAGATTAATTTTGGGAGGGGGGCGCGCGTGGGGAGAAGCTTACCGAGCAGAAGGAATTTCCGGCTATCCCCGTACAGATGCCTGAGGTTGACGCAGAACTCGTGCACGGACGACCCGTTGCGGTACTCGTGCAGCAGCATGGCGAACTGCTGGATCTCGTGCGACGAGAGCTTGGTCCGTAACTAGAAAGGAGGAAGCAACTCAATTAAATTAAATCAGAGGTTCCCGACTTTCCGGATCGGCGGCTCGGAGGCGGAGGATGGCGGAAAGCGGGAATCATTATGTGGGAGCTGGCAGGCGTGTGCGCAGCCCCGCGCTCCCGTGAGCGGGGCCGAGAGCACCGCGACGTTCGCGCGAGTGGGGCTATGCCAGCCACTAGCGCACACCCAGTTGCAAATAGGCAACGGAGGACTTACGGGGTGCGGCCCACAGATTGAGAACTCCTGAATTAAAGGAAAACGGGAACCAAACATTGGAAGTAAACCAGGTTTAAAGCAGATGATCAAAGGTAGACTGTCCATTTTTTTTTTAATTCTCCAAGAGCAAATTTATTTATGGTCTTTTAATGGAATCTAGAGCTGTCCTGTCCCACCACTCTTAAAGCATGCCAGCTGGGGGATTCTGGGAGTCGAAGTCCTCCCCTCTTAAAGCAGGCCGGCTGGGGGATTCTGGGGGTTGAAGCCCACCACTCTTAAAGCATGCCTGCTGGGGGATTCTGGGAGTCGAAGTCCTGCCCTCTTAAAGCAAGCCGGCTGGGGGATTCTGGGAGTCGAAGTCCTCCCCTCTTAAAGCAGGCCGGCTGGGGGATTCTGGGAGTTGTTGTCTTCCCCTCTTAAAGCAGGCCGGCTGGAGGATTCTGGGAGTTGACGTCTTCAAATTGCCAAGGTTGGGCAACCCAATCCTACACTGATCCAGTATCATTAGATAACAAAAGAAAGCAATTAAGATCTTAGCAAGAAGAAACTCATCAAGGAGAGAAGCAACCTGGAATTAAGGAGAAACCTCCTAACACTGGGGACAATTAGCCAGTGGAACTGCTTGCCACCAGAAGTTTTAGGTGCTCCAATATTAGAGGTTTTTAAGAAGAAACTGGACAGCCACTTTGTTTGCGAGAGTACAGGGTCTCCTACTTGAGCAGGGGGCTGGACTAGATGACCTCCGAGGTCACGTCCAACTCTGCCATTCTACAATTCTGTAAGGGTCTCCGGCTTCAGCAGGGGGGTTGGACTAGATGACCTCCGAGGTCCCTTCCAACTCTGGCCTTCTACGATTCCGTCAGGGTCTCCTGCTTGAGTAGGGGGCTGGACTAGATGACCCTCGAGGTCCCTTCCAGCTCTGCCCTTCTACGATTCCGTCAGGGTCTCCTACTTGAGCAGGGGGCTGGACTAGATGACCTCCGAGGTCACGTCCAACTCTGCCATTCTACAATTCTGTAAGGGTCTCCGGCTTCAGCAGGGGGGTTGGACTAGATGACCTCCGAGGTCCCTTCCAACTCTGGCCTTCTACGATTCCGTCAGGGTCTCCTGCTTGAGTAGGGGGCTGGACTAGATGACCCTCGAGGTCCCTTCCAGCTCTGCCCTTCTACGATTCCGTCAGGGTCTCCTACTTGAGCAGGGGGCTGGACTAGATGACCTCCGAGGTCACGTCCAACTCTGCCATTCTACAATTCTGTAAGGGTCTCCGGCTTCAGCAGGGGGGTTGGACTAGATGACCTCCGAGGTCCCTTCCAACTCTGGCCTTCTACGATTCCGTCAGGGTCTCCTGCTTGAGCAGAGGGCTGGACTAGATGACCTCCGAGGTCCCTTCCAGCTCTGGCCTTCTACGATTCCGTCAGGGTCTCCTGCTTGAGTAGGGGGCTGGACTAGATGACCTCCGAGGTCACGTCCAACTCTGCCATTCTACAATTCTGTAAGGGTCTCCGGCTTCAGCAGGGGGTTGGACTAGATGACCTCCGAGACCCCTTCCAACTCTGGCCTTCTACGATTCCGTCAGGGTCTCCTGCTTGAGCAGGGGGCTGGACTAGATGACCTCCGAGGTCACGTCCAACTCTGCCCTTCTACAATTCTGTAAGGGTCTCCGGCTTCAGCAGGGGGTTGGACTAGATGACCTCCGAGGCCCCTTCCAACTCTGGCCTTCTACGATTCCGTCAGGGTCTCCTGCTTGAGCAGAGGGCTGGACTAGATGACCTCCGAGGTCCCTTCCAGCTCTGCCCTTCTACGATTCCGTCAGGGTCTCCTGCTTGAGTAGGGGGCTGGACTAGATGACCCTCGAGGTCCCTTCCAGCTCTGCCCTTCTACGATTCCGTCAGGGTCTCCTGCTTGAGCAGGGGGCTGGACTAGATGACCTCCGAGGTCACGTCCAACTCTGCCATTCTACAATTCTGTAAGGGTCTCCGGCTTCAGCAGGGGGTTGGACTAGATGACCTCCGAGGCCCCTTCCAACTCTGGCCTTCTACGATTCCGTCAGGGTCTCCTGCTTGAGCAGAGGGCTGGACTAGATGACCTCCGAGGTCCCTTCCAGCTCTGCCCTTCTACGATTCCGTCAGGGTCTCCTGCTTGAGTAGGGGGCTGGACTAGATGACCCTCGAGGTCCCTTCCAGCTCTGCCCTTCTACGATTCCGTCAGGGTCTCCTGCTTGAGCAGGGGGCTGGACTAGATGACCTCCGAGGTCACGTCCAACTCTGCCATTCTACAATTCTGTAAGGGTCTCCGGCTTCAGCAGGGGGTTGGACTAGATGACCTCCGAGGCCCCTTCCAACTCTGGCCTTCTACGATTCCGTCAGGGTCTCCTGCTTGAGCAGAGGGCTGGACTAGATGACCTCCGAGGCCCTTGGCCTTCTAGATCTGGCCTTCTACGATTCCGTCAGGGTCTCCTGCTTGAGCAGAGGGCTGGACTAGATGACCTCCGAGGTCCCTTCCAGCTCTGCCCTTCTACGATTCCGTCAGGGTCTCCTGCTTGAGCAGAGGGCTGGACTAGATGACCCCCGAGGTCTCTTCCAGCTCTGTTGTCGTCCTCCTTGCCCACTTACCGTCATCATATAGTCCTGCAGGAGCTCCGTCGCCGTTGTGCTCAGCTCGCTGTCGCTGGCCGGCTGCGGGGGGGGAGACGGCTGGGCTGAAAAGGAGGTGGGGGAGTTGCCCCCCAGCTCCAGGGATTCCGGGAAGGAGCTGGAAAGACACGAGGGATGCGGAAGTGATTCCGGACTCTTCCAAACCGAGGCCGGGCCTCGAACCCGCCTCCCTGAAAACAGCAGGCCGCCAAAAAAGCCAACAAGGGCGGGACTTGGCCTCGCTACGGAACACGGCGCCCGAACAGGGGCTTATTAAGGACAGTGCTACGTTCCTGTAGAAATGTTAAGTTTGTCAAATCTCACTTAGCAACTTTTCTCGGCGATGCACACGCACGCGTGCACACACACACACCACCCCCAAGTTGTGGAGTCCGCCCCACGTGTGTGTGTGTTTATGTCGCCCCGGGACTCACAAAGTGCTGGCTTCCGTTTCGTAGGCATCTTTGACGTCCACTTTGGTCGAGGAATCGTCTGCGGGGAAGATTGGGAGAAAAGGGGTGGGGGGTCAGCAAAGCGGAGGAAGACGGAAGGGGGCTTTTCACACACCCATCCCGGTGGGCCCTGAAGAGCAGGAGGGGAGGAGGAAGGGGAGGAGGAGAGGAGAAGGAGGAAGAGGAAGAGACGAGAAGGAAGAGAGGAGGAGAAGAGGAGAATAAGAGGAAGAGAAAGAGGAAGAAGATCAGAAGGGGTGAAGGAGAATAAGAGGAGGAGGAAGAGGAGCAGGGGAGAGGAGAAGAGAAGGACGAGGACGAGGAAAAGCAGAAGAGGAGGATGGGAAAGAACAGGAGGAGAGGAAGAGGAGGAAGAGGAGGAAGAGGAGCAGGGGAGGAGGAGAAAGAGGAGTAAGAGGAGGAGGAGGAGAAGGAGGAGGAGGAAGAGGAGGAAGGACTGTGGGGTCCCTGGTGCTCTCTGAGGTGGGTGGTTTCCTTGCAGACGTTTCATGACCCAATTAGGGAACGTCATCAGTGCTAGAAGGAAGTGGGGATTGTGGAGGGGAGGAGGAGGGAGGGGAGGAGCAGGAGGAGGAGGAGGAGGAAGGACTGTGTGGGGTCCTGGGTGCTCTCTGAGCTGGGTGGTTTCCTTGCAGACGTCTCACGACCCAACTAGGGAACGACATCAGTGCTAGAAGGGAGGAGGAGGAGGAGAAGGAAGGAAGGAAGGAAGGAAGGAAGGAAGGAAGGAAGGAAGGAAGGAAGGAAGGAAGGAAGGAAGGAAGGAAGGAAGGAAGGACTGTGTGGGGTCCTTGGTGCTCTCTGAGCTGGGTGGTTTCCTTGCAGACGTCTCACGACCCAACTAGGGAACGACATCAGTGCTAGAAGGGAGGAGGAGGAGGAGAAGGAAGGAAGGAAGGAAGGAAGGAAGGAAGGAAGGAAGGAAGGAAGGAAGGAAGGAAGGAAGGAAGGAAGGAAGGAAGGAAAGTGGAGTCTTTGGTGCTCTCTGAGCTGGGTGGTTTCCTTGCAGACGTTTCATGACCCAACTAGGGAACGTCATCAGTGCTAGAAGGGAGGAGGAGGAGGAAGAGAAGAGGAGAAGAAGAGCAGGAAAAGGGGAGGAGGAGAATAAGAGGAAGGGGAGAAAGAGGAAGACGAGGAGGGAGAGAAGGAGGGGACAAGGAAGGAGGAGGGTAGGAGGAAGAGGCTTCCAGAAGAGCGGCAAAGGGGTCCCCAACCCTAGGGAGATACACGTCCTTTCCTCCTACCGCTGTGCAACGACAGATGCCGGGTGGGTGTGGTGGCCCCATCAAATATTGCTCTGTCCAGGAAGTCGATTGTAGACTCGGTGTAAACGATGTGGAAGACTTGGCTGAGGAGGGAGCAGAGTTCCTCGGCGGTGACCTGAAGGAAGGAAGGGATACACAAGCGAGACAAGGTGGGACAATCTTCCAGGAAGTCCTTCGGAAGCCAAGGAGAACTTCCAGGAGATGGGGAGTTCTAGTGCTAGCTTAGAAGTGAAAGCCAGCTGGGTGACTTTGGGCCACTCCCCAGGCGACGGTGAGTTCTAGTCCCGCCTTAGGCATTAAAAGGCAGCTGGGTGACTTTGGACCAATCACCAGGCGACGGTGAGTTCTAGTCCCTGTTTATGAGTGAAAGCCAGCTGGGTGACTTTGGGCCACTCCCCAGGCGATGGTGAGTTCTAGTCCTGCCTTAGGCATTAAAAGACAGCTGGGTGAGTTTGATCCAATCACTAGGCGACGGTGAATTCTAGTCCCACTTGAGGAGTGAAAGCCAGGCGGGAGACTTTGGACCAATCACCAGGCGACGGTGAGTTCTAGTCCCACCTTAGGAGTGAAAACAGCTGAGTGACTTTGGATGAGTCACCAGGCGACGGTGAATTCTAGTCCCAGTGAATAAGTGAACACCAGCTGGGTGACTTTGGGGCGATCACCAGGCGACGGTGAGTTCTAGTCCCACTTGAGGAGTGAAAGCTAGGCGGGAGACTTTGGACCAATCACCAGGCGACGGTGAGTTCTAGTCCCACCTTAGGAGTGAAAACAGCTGAGTGACTTTGGACCAGTCACCAGGCGACGGTGAATTCTAGTCCCAGTGAATAAGTGAACACCAGCTGGGTGACTTTGGGGCAATCACCAGGCGACGGTGAGTTCTAGTCCCGCCTTAGGCATTAAAAGGCAGCTGGGTGAGTTTGACCCAATCACCAGGCGACGGTGAGTTCTAGTCCCACTTGAGGAGTGAAAGCCAGGCGGGCGACTTTGGGCCACTCAACAGACGACGGTGAGTTCTAGTCCCGCCTTAGGCATTAAAAGGCAGCTGGGTGAGTTTGACCCAATCACCAGGCGACGGTGAGTTCTAGTCCCGGCTAAGGGCTAAAAGCCAGGCCGAGACGATGCCAGTGAGACGGAGGGGGAGGGAATGTCACAACTCAACCGTTCAAATAAATAAAAATATCCCAGGCGGATGAGGGGGGGACCATCCCCGTCGGCGGAAGCAGAAAGGAGAACCGGCCGGCCGCCGGGACCCGAGTGAGAATCTAACCTTGTTCTCCGTGGCCAGGATCACCAGGCAGCAGGCTTCGACGGGCGCCACCCCGCTCTCGGACAGGGACCCCGAGGTGAGCGCTTTCGAACTCTCGGCGCACAGACTCTGGCTGGGGGAGATGCCGGGGTCCTGAGCTAAGAGAAACGGGGGGGGTGGGGGCTGTTAGTGGGGAAGGCAGACCTCCCCCCCTCCTGCTCCCCCCCACCCGGGCTGAGCATCAGTGGCGTGTGGTTACTTAGTTAAATTAAATTAAATTAAAAATTAAATTACATTAAATTAATTACATTAAATTAATTAAATTAAATTATTAAATTAAATATTAAATTAAATTAAAAATTAAATTAATTAAATATTAAATTGAATTATTAAATTAAATTAAATTAAAAATTAAATTACATTAAATTAAATTAAAAATTAAATTAAGTTAAATTAAATTAATTAAATTATTAAATTAAATTATTAAATTAAATATTAAATTAAACATTAAATTAATTAAATTATTAAATTAAATTAAACTATTAAATTAAATTAAATTAAAAATTAAATTAAGTTAAATTAAATTAATTAAATTATTAAATTAAATTATTAAATTAAATTAAAAATTAAATTAAATTAAAAATTAAATTAAATTAAATTAAAAATTAAATCACATTAAATTAATTAAATTAAATTATTAAATTAAATTAAAAATTAAATTAAGTTAAATTAAATTAATTAAATTAAATTATTAAATTAAATTAAATTATTAAATTAAATTAAACATTAAATTAAATTAATTAAATTATTAAATTAAATTAAATTAAAAATTAAATTAATTTAAATTAAATTAATTAAATTATTAAATTAAATTAAATTATTAAATTAAAAATTAAATTAAATTAAATTATTAAATTAAATTAAAAATTAAATTAAATTAAATTAAAAATTAAATCACATTATATTAATTAAATTAAATTATTAAATTAAATTAAATTAAAAATTAAATTAAAAAGTAAATTAATTAAATTAAATTATTAAATTAAATTAAATTATTAAATTAAATTATCTTGCTTGTGAGTAGATTCTAGCTAACTATTATTAGTTTTAATTATTTTACTATTTTTGACTTAATTTGTTAATATTTGTTGGGGGAGTTAAAGGGTGTTATGGTTTTGATTGACAGTATGGTTGATTAATGTTAGTTAGATTATGTTTATTTTATTTTTTTATCCTGTAATCAGCTCTGGGAAGTGGGGGAGGGGGGAAGGGGTGGGGGGTTTATATTGTAGTAAATTTATAAAACTTTTAAATAAAATAAAAAAAATTAAATTACATTAAGTTAATTAAATTAAATTAAATTAAATATTAAATTAAATTAAATATTAAATTATTAAATTAAATCGGAAGGGGCCTCGGAGGTCATCTAGTCCAGCCCCCCGCTCAAGCAGGAGAGCCCCTGACAGAATCACACGAGTCAGAAGGGGCCTGGGAGGTCATCTAGTCCAGCCCCCTGCTCAAGCAGGAGAGCCCCTGATGGAATCCCGGAAGAGCAAGAGTCGGAAGGGAGTCGTCCCCCCCTCCGGAGGTCATCTAGTCCAACCCCAGAGAGGGGCTGGTTTTCAGGGCCGTTTTGCTCCTACATCGAGGAGTGCCGCTCAGAGTCCCCCATTCCCCCCCCCCCAACCACCACCACCACCACCTACCCGTCTTCAGCACCACCAGGTGTGAGGAGTCGTCCCGGATGTAGGAGACTGAGGCGATGTCGTGGATGGGGACCCGGAGGATGATGTCCTCGCCGTCCCGCCAGACCAGCTTGACGTTGTACGCCGAGAGGCTGATCAGGGCGTCGTGCTCGTGGCTCAGCTGGCCGGGCAGCTGGTGGGCCCGCTGGGGAGGGAGGGAGACATAAAAAGAGGACCGTCCGTCAGGACGACGGTCCCAAAAGGTGGAGGGCAGGAAAACGGGGGAGGGTGGGAGGAGGAAGAGAAGAGTCTGGAAGGGGAGGAACGGGGTCTCCCGGGATAAGGAGGTCCCGGGAAACGTGGGGGTTTCCTGGCAGACGTTTCGTGGCCCGACTAGGTAACATCATCAGGGCTAGAAGGGAGGAGAGGAGGAGGAGGAGGAGGAGGAGGGAAGGAAGGAAAGTGGGGTCTCTGGTGCTCTCTGAGCTGGGTGGTCTCCTTGAAGACCTCTCACGACCCAACTAGGTAACAGCATCAGGGCTAGAAGGACCTGGAGGAGGGAGGGAGAACAGGGAGAGGGAGGGGAGGAGGAAGGAAGGAAGGAAGGAAGGAAGGAAGGAAGGAAGGAAGGAAGGAAGGAAGGAAGGAAGGAAGGAAGGAAGGACTGACTGTGGGGTCCTTGATGCTCTCTGAGCTGGGTGGTTTTCCTTGAAGACGTTTCACAACCCAACTAGGGAACATCATCAGTGCTAGAAGGGAGGAAGGGAAGGGAAGGGAAGGAAGGAAGGAGGGAAGGGGAGGAGGAGGGAGGGAGGGAGGGGAAAGGACTGTGGAGTCCCTGGTGCTCTCTCTGAGCTGGGTGGTCTCCTTGCAGACGTCTCATGACCCCACTAGGGAACGTCATCAGGGCTGGAAGGAATTGTAGAGACGAATACAGAGCAGATCCCGCGTCTTTCTAGCCCTGAGGACGCTACATAGCTGGGTCATGAAACGTCTGAGAGAAAAACCTCAGTCCACCGCTTCCTATCCATACATACCTTCTACGACTGATAATGTTACGAAGCTGGGCCACGAAACATCTGCGAGAAGAAAAAAAAACAGCAACACCCCTCCCCAGTCCTTTTCCTCCTCCTCCTCCTCCTCCTCCTCCTCTTCCTCTCGTTTACTTCTCCTTCCCCCCTTCTGCTCCTCCTCCTTCCCCTTCCTCTCTATTTGCTCTGCTCTTCCCTATCTCCCTCCTCCCACCCTCCTCCTCTCCTCTGCTCCTCCTCCCCTGCTTCTCTTCTCCTCTTTACTTCTCCTCCTCCCCTCTTCCCCTCTAGTCTTTCCTCTCCCCCTCCCTATCTTCCTCCCCTCTTCCTCTCGTTTGCTCCTCTCCCTCCAGCAGAGAAGACAGCAATTCGGGCCGTTTTTTCGGACCCTTACAACCGCTGCAGCCTCCCCGTGGATCACGGAACACACACACACCCCGTGCCCGAACACCGTGACCGTCGTAAGGACGAGTCGGCCGCCAAGCAGCGGAGCTTCGATTCCGCGTTCGCAGCATGCGCCGCGACGTTCACTGAGGGCGCCGCGACGTTCACTGAGGGCGCCGAGCCGTCCGAAGTCACTTTTCCCCCCTCCCGGGGCCGTCGAAAGTGCGGGGACGGCACCACAACCAAACCGTCGTTAAGTCGAGGACTAGCAGAGGAACATCCCACCCACCCACCTTGGCGTTGTCGATTAAATGCAGAATTTCCGTCCGGCTGGAGGGATTCAGGTAGCCGGGAACCGTCAACTGGCCTAAGTACTGGAAGAAAGAAGAAGAAGAAAAAAATTAAAATGAAAGAGAAAAAAAGTCTTCTCGCGCAAAGCGCGCAACCCTCAGGCCGTCCTCGGACTTACGACCGCCACAATGAACCGGGGGGGGGGGACAGGTCTCCGAAACGAGTGACTTTTTTAAAAAAACTTCACAATTATTCAAAAGATCCTTTTCGTGCCACTGCTTCAAATCCGCGCGGCGGAGCGCGGCGGTCGTTAAACCAGAATCGGGCGGTCGTTAAGCGAAGCCGGCCGGCCGGTGTTTTGACTCGGCCAACCGCAGTGTCAATATCAGCAGCCAGGGAGTCCTCGCTTCGTGACCGGCGGCTGTCCCTCCTGGAAAGATTCACTTAACGACCACACAGTTTGGCGATTCCCTTAAGGACGGAGGCGAGAGAGTCTTAAAACGGGCCTAAAGTAACCGAATTGTCTCGCTCAGCAGCAGAAATGTTGAATTCCGTTGCGGTCATAAGTCTGTGTCTAAGGGTCTCCTGCCTGAGCAGGGGGTTGGACTAGATGACCTCCCAGGTCCCTCCCAACCCTTGTGATTCTCTAAGGATCTCCTGCTTGAGCTGGGGGTTGGACTAGATGACCTCCCAGGATCCCTTCCAGCTCTGCCCTTCTATGGTTTTGTAAGGGTCTCCTGTTCGAGCAGAGGGCTGGACTAGATGACCTCCGAGGTCCCTTCCAACTCTGCCATCCTATGATTCTGTAAGGGTCTCCTGCTTGAAGGGGATGGACTAGATGACCTCTGAGGTCCCTTCCCGCTCTCTCCTCCTATGATTCTGTAAGGGTCTCCTGCTCGAGCAGGGGGGTTGGACTAGATGACCTCCAGGATCCCTTCCCACTCTGCCATTCTATGATTCTGTAAGGGTCTCCTGCCTGAGCCGGGGGCTGGACTAGATGACCTCTAATGTCCTTTCCAACGCATTCTGCAATTCTGTAAGGGTCTCCTGCTCGAGCAGGGGGCTGGACTAGATGACCTCCGAGGTCCCTTCCGCCTCTGTCCGTCTATGGTTCGGTAAGGGTCTCCTGTTCGAGCGGGGGGGGGGGCTGGGCTGGATGACCTCCGAGGTCCCTTCCAGCTCTGTCCTCCCATGATTCTGCCAGGGTCTGCTGCTTGAGCTGGGGGTTGGACTAGATGACCTCCCAGGTCCCTTCCCACTCTGTCCTTGTATGATTCGGTAAGGGTCTCCTGTTCGAGCGGGGGGGGGGGGGCGGGCTGGACTGGATGACCTCCCGGGTCTCTTCCGCTTACCTTCACTTCCTTCTCGATGTAGTCGTTCAGCAGGACGTCCGGCTCGAAGCGTTCCGGGAATCCGGCCGACGACACGGTGTGAAGGGCCCTCCGTTCGGTGACCTTCTCCTGCGCCTTTTTGTCGCGCCCCTTCTCCCCTTTCAGGAACACCCGTTTGAACGGCGAGACGATCCCAGGCTGCAATCAAAAGGACAAGGGTGTGTTTGTGTGGCAGAGTGACCAATCAAAATGGGCGGCCCTCGACTTACGACGGCCGCGGATCCTCAAGTTTGGGTGACCGAGGGCGACATTTATGAAACCCATTTCGTTCTGTTTTGCCGTCGTGAAGCATTCGGTTTGAGTCCCGCACGGAATCGAAGCTCCGTTCGAGAAGAATCCCAACAGGCGTGTCCTCGACTTACGACAGCTGCAGGTCCCAGAATTTGGGTTGCTAAGCAGGACATTTAAGTCAATTTTGCCCCATTTCATGGGATCAAAATTCAGATGCTCGGCAACCGACTCGAATTTACGACGGTCGCAGCATCCGGGATCAAAATTCAGACACTGGGAAACTGACTTGTATTTATCACGGTCGCAGCATCTCAGGGTCACAGGATCCAAATTCAGATGCCTGTCAACCGACTCGTATTTATGACAGTTAAATGGGGCAGAGCTCACCTCATAGACGTCTCGCTTAGTGACCTAAATTTTGGGTGTTAATAGTGGTTCTAAGTGTTGAATTCTCTCAACCGATGCTTCAGTCAGTCCTGGAATTACACTAAACACTTAACAGCGTTGACTAGACAGGTCGTAAAAGCGGGGCAAACAGTGACTTCACACATGTCCCGCGTAGCGATACAAATTTGGGGGCAGAATTGTGGCCGTTATTTCGAGGACTAATTGGACTTTGCTTAGGTTGATCCCTGCAGTGACACGTTGACGCTGCTGGATATACGTAATTGAAATTTTCTCTACTAATTTTAATTATCTCAATTAATGTACTTGCGGAGCAGGGAGGGGTTGCACAATTAATTATGTCATGAATTAATTTATTTCCTTCCCCCAAATAAAAAGCTGGTTTCGTTGCCCAGCCCAGAGAATAAGTGAAAAGTAGACAGGCACTGAGTGATTTTCTTGAATCCGTCAATCATTTGATCTCCAGAACACAGCCTGGTCTACAACCAGTTTGGTGGCTAAGGCAATAGGTTACAAACCGGGTGACGGGAATTCTAGACCTGCCTTAGGCATGGAAGACTGCTGGGTGGCTTTGGGCCAATCACCAGGAGATAGGGAGTACTAGTCCCACCTTAGACACAAAAGCCAGCTCGTTGACATTCAGCCAATCACCAGGAAACACTGAGTTCTAGTCCCGCCTTAGGCATGAAAGCTCATTGGGTGACTGTGGGCCAATAGCCAGGAGACAGGGAGTTCTAGTCCCACCTTAGACACAAAAGCCAGCTCGTTGACTTTCAGCCAATCACCAGGAGACGGTGGGTTCTAGTCCCGCTTTAGGCATGAAAGCTGACTGGGTGACTTTGGGCCAATCACCAGGAGACGACGAGATCTAGTCCCGCCTTAGGCATGAAAGCTGACTGGGTGACTTTGGGCCTGTCACCAGGAGACGGTGAGTTCTAGTCCCGCCTTAGGCATGAAAGCTGACTGGGTGACCTTGGGCCAGTCACCAGGAGACGGTGAGTTCTAGTCCCGTCTTAGGCATGAAAGCTGACTGGGTGACTTTGGGCCAGTCACCAGGAGACGGTGAGTTCTAGTCCCGCCTTAGGCATGAAAGCTGATTGGGTGACTTTGGGCCAATAGCCAGGAGACAGGGAGTTCTAGTCCCGCCTTAGACATGAAAGCCAGCTCGTTGACTTTCAGCCAATCACCAGGAGACGGTGAGTTCTAGTCCCGCCTTAGGCATGAAAGCTGACTGGGTGACTTTGGGCCAATCACCAGGAGACAGTGAGTTCTACTCCCGCCTTAGGCATGAAAGCTGATTGGGTGACTTTGGGCCAATCACCAGGAGACGGTGAGTTCTAGTCCCACCTTAGCCACGAAAGCCGGCTGCGTGACTTTCGGCCAATCCGTAGGAAACGGGAAGGACAAACTGCCGGGCTACCGTGCGAGATAATTTGCTAGGCCGGCCGACCAACCCAACACAGAGGGGAAGTAGGAAAAGACGAGCGACTTGCTATTGTTCGCCGAGCATCTGTCCCGCCGAGAAAGACCCATCTGCCCCTACAAATTAGCCCAGGAGTGACCTGGGATCCTCCGACTTGCAATGGCGGTTAAGAAGTGATCGAGACGTATCTTACGGGGCAGCCAGCAAAAGAGAGGAATCTCGCCAGGCGTGGATCAAGAAGGAACCGTCTGAAGAATCGAGTCATACCATCTTCCGCCTCCGTTTGAGGAAATCAGAGAGAGCGGTTTTGGCGGGGAGGGGGAAGACGGGGAAGAAAAGCGGGTTGGGGGGCCACGAAGAGACCGAAACCCCGGCCGTGTGGGGGGGGGGCGATCACCAGCCCTTACCTCGCTCTCCATGGTTGTCGTTAGGACGTGGAACTACCTGGAAACGTCGGCTCACCGAGAGTCCCCAGGGTCACCTCGACAGCAATATAAGACTCGGGCATTAGCAGAAAACGAGGCCGCACGAGCGCCAATCCTCGCTCATAAGCGAGCGAGAACCGGAAGCAGACAAACCACAGTTTCCTCCTGAAGGAGGTGGTGGTACATGCGAGAACCAGCTGTTGATGAGAAGAGAAACACCCCCCCCCAGACACTCCGAGAAAAAACAGCTGGAGAGGAGAGACCGCTCACCTTTTTTGGGGGGGGGGGTCGGCACGTTCAAAACTTGGCCAAAGCCCGAAGGACAGGAACAAACATCTCGCCGAGCCCCCCACAGATTTAAACGCGACCGAACGAGGATCCCCAAGCGTTCAAAATGGTTTCAGAAGGAAGCTGTTCACTTGAGAGGTTACACAACCCTTGTGGCACGCCTGACCTTTCGACAAAACTCTGTCCAACACAACAACGTGGTGAGAGTAAAAAAAAAAAAAACCGCCGAAACTCAGGCAATTGAACGAATTGTGTAGACCAGCCAAGTCCAACCGGGAAGGAGACTTAATCTGAGGTGCGTGCGTGTGTGTGTGTGTGTGTGTGTGTGTGTGCGTGTCTGTCTGTGTGTAAAGGCTCACAAGTTCAGGCAGTCCTAACTGACGACCGCAACGGAGTACCAATATTTCGGCCGCTTTGCGAAGTGAATTTTTGCCCCGTCATCCAACTTTTCTTAACGACGTCGTCACGGGCGGGAAAACGGTCCCTTTTTTTTCCGCGCCGTTGTCCCTTTCCACGGTCGCTAAGCAAACCGTCGTAAGTGGAGGACCGCCTTTACCCCCAAAACATTCGGTGGGGTAGCTGTAGCTGAACTCGCTGAACGATTGTCTCTCTTGTCTCACAACGACAGAAATTTTGGGGGATCCAACGTAGTCGTCGGTCACAAATTCTCAGGCCGGCTGGCAGCTTTTTGTAGAAAAATCCCTTCCATTCGCAGCTGCGTCTCGACTTACGACAGTTGATTTAGTGATAGTTCGAAGTTATAACGGCACGGAAGAAAAGCTGACTTGGGACGCTTGTCACACTCAACGACCGTTGCAGCACCCCCATGGTCGCGGGATCGAAATGCGGACGCTTGGTAGCTGGCTTGTATTGATGACGGTGGCATCCCATCTGTGTATGTGTGTGTGTGTGTCTGTGTGTGTGTGAGAGAGAGAGAGAGAGAGAGAGATGTGATCCCCTTTGGCGTCCTTCCAACAAGCAAAGTCAATGGGGGGAGATTGATTCACTTAACGACCGTGTGACCGACTTAACATCTGCAGCGATTGGCTTCATTACAGTGGCAAGCAAGATTGCAAAATGAGGCAAAGCTCTCTTGGCGACTGTCCCTCTTAACGAGAGAAATTTGGGGCCCAGTTCCAGTCATTAAGTGGAGGATGACCTGTATATTGGAGTCACACTTGAAAAGTGAGAATAGAATAGAGAACAGTAGAGTAGAATAGAGAAAGGAGAACAAAATAGAGTAGAATATAGAACAGAATAGAATAGAATAGAGAATAGAATAGAATATTAGAGAGAATAGAAAATAGAGTAGAATAGAGAATAGAATAGAGAATGAAATAGAATAGAAAATAGAATAAAACATAGAATAGAATACAGTACAGAATAGAAGAATAGAATATAGAATAGAATAGAAAATAGAATAGAATATTAGAGAGAATAGAATAGAAAATAGAGTAGAATAGAGAATAGAATAAAGAATGAAATAGAACAGAAAATAGAATAAAACAGAATAGAATACAATATAGAATAGAAAATAGAATAGAGAAGAGAATAGAGAATAGGATAGGTTAGAATATAGAATAAAGAGAATAGAATAGAGAATAGAATAGTATATAGAACAGAATAAAATAGAACACAAAACATAGAACAGAAAAAAAAGAATATAGAATAGAATATTAGAGAGAATAGAATGGAATATAGAATGAAATAGAATAGAAAATAGAACATAGAATAGAATACAGAATATATAGAATAGAAAATAGAATAAAGAATAGACTAGGATAGAATATACAATAAAATAGAGAATAGAATAGAATAGAATAGAGAATAGAATAGAATAGAGAATAGAATAGTATATAGAATGGAATAGAATAGAATAGTATATAGAATGGAATAAAATAGAACACAGAACATAGAACAGAAAAAAGAATATAGAATAGAATAAAAGAATAAGAATAGAATATTAGAGAGAATAGAAAGGAAAACAGTAAATAGAGAATAGAATAGAGAATAGAATATAGAATGAAATAGAATAGAAACTCGAAAATAGAACATAGAATAGAATACAGAATATATAGAATAGAAAATAGAATAGAGAAAAGAATAGAGAATAGACTTTGAATAAATAGAATAGTATAGGATAGAATATAGAATAAAATAGAATAGAGAATAGAATAGAATAGAGAATAGAATAGAGAATAGAGTAGTATATAGAATAGAATAAAATAGAACACAGAACCTAGAACCTAGAACAGAACAGAAAAAAAAGAATATAGAACAGGAATAGAATAAGAATAGAATGGAATAGAACAGAATAATGAATAGTCGTAAAGCGAGGACTATCTGCAATTGAAAAAGAAGTGACTTCAAGCATGGAAAAATATCCACTGAGATTGGTTTGTTATCCGGAAGATCCTTCTCCATCCCCAAATATCATCCACAAACACAACACAACACAACACACACAGAGATAATTTCAATTCCACCGGGCAAAGCGGTAAAAAAAAATAGAATAATTGCAAAAAAATTAATTAGAGCGCTGCTCTTGGGAAGCGCCCTGGATTCATTCCGGATCGGGAAAAACTGAAATAAAAGCTATATTGGGAGACGTTTGTGCCATCTGCAAAAATGTGGGTCTGGAGTCTGCACTGACCGGGAACATTTTGTGCGTCTGTGTGTCTGTGTGTGTGTGAGTGTTGTGCAATTGCAGAGATAGATCCCTTAAACATTTGCAGGATGTGTCTTGGCAAATATCATTCGGAGAAAAAAAAAAACACCCGGCTTTGCGTTAAATTAAATTCCTGGGAAATGCCAGCACGTTTTTTTTTTTTTTTTAAAGCAGACAGTTGCGTTTATTTCTGGTGTCTTTCACCACAAAAAAAAAAAAAGTTGACAGGAAGCCTGCTGCAAAGGGTTGTCGGCGAATAGCACACCCTAAACACACACACACACACAAACTGTTTTCTACTTTTATGAAGACGCTATGAGATTTTTAGATGTGGGGTTGAGATGGGTGCAAAATATCCCGTTTAATACGTTAAAAAGTTAAGGGATAATGTGCTGACCGTGAAACCAGGAGACGGGGAATTCTAGTACCGCCTTGGGAATCAAAGCTGGCTGTGTGACGTTGGGCCAATCACCAGGAGGTGAGGAGTTCTAGTACCGCCTTGAGTATCAAAGCTGGTTGGGTGTGTTTGGGCCAATCACCAGGAGGCGGGGAGTTCTAGTACCACCTCAGGGATCAAAGCTGGCTGGGTGCCTTTGGGCCAATCACCAGGAGACGGGGAATTCTAGTCTCATCTTGGGGCCAATCACCAGGAGAGGGTGAATTCTAGTCCCGCCTTAGGCATGAAAGCCAGCTGGGTGACTTTGGGCCAATCACCGGGAGACAGAGAGTTCTAGTCCCGCCTTAGCCATGAAAGCCAGCTGGGTGACTTTGGGCCAATCACCAGGAGACTGTGAGTTCTAGTCCCGCCTCAGCCATGAAAGCCAGCTGGGTGACTTTGAGCCAATCAACACGAGACAGAGAGTTCTAGTCCCGCCTTAGCCATGAAAGCGAGCTGGGTGACTTTGGGCTAATCACCAGGAGAGGGTGAATTCTAGTCCCGCCTTAGGCCTGAAAGCCAGCTGGGTGACTTTGAGCCAATCACCAGAAGACGGTGAGTTCTAGTCCCGCCTTAGCCATGAAAGCCAGCTGGGTGACTTTGAGCCAATCACCACGAGACAGAGAGTTCTAGTCCCGCCTTAGCCATGAAAGCCAGCTGGGTGACTTTGAGCCAATCAACACGAGACAGAGAGTTCTAGTCCCGCCTTAACCATGAAAGCGAGCTGGGTGACTTTGGGCCAATCACCAAGAGAGGGTGAATTCTAGTCCCGCCTTAGGCCTGAAAGCCAGCTGGGTGACTTTGAGCCAATCACCAGGAGACGATGAGTTCTAGTCCCGCCTTAGCCATGAAAGCCAGCTCGGTGACCTTGGGCCAATCACCAGGAGACGGTGAGTTCTAGTCCCGCCTTAGCCATGAAAGCCAGCTCGGTGACTTTGGCCAATCACCAGGAGAGGGTGAATTCTAGTCCCGCCTTAGGCCTGAAAGCCAGCTGGGTGACTTTGAGCCAATCACCAGAAGACGGTGAGTTCTAGTCCCGCCTTTGCCATGAAAGCCAGCTGGGTGACCTTGGGCCAATCACCAGGAGACGGTGAGTTCTAGTCCCGCCTTAGCCATGAAAGCCAGCTGGGTGACTTTGAGCCAATCACCAGGAGACGGAGAGTTCTAGTCCCGCCTTAGCCATGAAAGCCAGCTGGGTGACTTTGGGCCAATCACCAGAAGACTGTGAGTTCTAGTCCCGCCTCAGCCATGAAAGCCAGCTGGGTGACTTTGAGCCAATCAACACGAGACAGAGAGTTCTAGTCCCGCCTTAGCCATGAAAGCGAGCTGGGTGACTTTGGGCCAATCACCAGGAGAGGGTGAATTCTAGTCCCGCCTTAGGCCTGAAAGCCAGCTTGGACTTTGAGCCAATCACCAGGAGACAGAGAGTTCTAGTCCCGCCTTTGCCATGAAAGCCAGCTGGGTGACTTGGGCCAATCACCAGGAGACGGTGAGTTCTAGTCCCACCTTAGCCATGAAAGCCAGCTGGGTGACCTTGGGCCAATCACCAGGAGACAGAGAGTTCTAGTCCCGCCTTTGCCATGAAAGCCAGCTGGGTGACCTTGGGCCAATCACCAGGAGACGGTGAGTTCTAGTCCCACCTTAGCCATGAAAGCCAGCTGGGTGACCTTGGGCCAATCACCAGGAGACGGTGAGTTCTAGTCCCGCCTTAGCCATGAAAGCCAGCTCGGTGACTTTGGGCCAATCACCAGGAGACGGTGAGTTCTAGTACTGACCTACGCATGAAAGACAGCTGGGTGACCTTGGCCCCATCTCTCTCTCTCTCTTACTCAGCCCAACCCACCTCACAGGGTTGTCGTTGTGGCACAAATAAGAGGAGGAAGGAGTGTAGGATATGTTCATCGTGTTGTGTTATGTGTCACAATAACACAACTAAAGATAGTCTCTCCTTTCCAACGATAAGCGACGCTTCCCGAAAGCCGGAATCCACCGCGAACACAACTTAGGAGTAGGTTGGGACCAACCTACCCATGGAGTAAACCTTTAGTAAGGTAGTCCACCATCATTGAGGAACATAGGCTCCATAGTGCAACAGCTATTGGGATGATAGGCTGTGTAGTCCACCCCCATTGAGGACCACAGGCTCTGCCATCCATCACTTATTGGAATGACGGAGCCTGTCGTCCAAACCCCTTGAGGACCCCCTAGGCTCCGCAGACCATCATCTATTAGAATGATGGGCTCTGTAGTCCAAAGCCATTTGAGGATCATACACTCTACAGTCCAATCCCTATTGGAATGATTGGTTCTGTAGTCACCCCCCATTGAGGACCATAGACTCCGCAGTCCATCACCTATTGGAATGACGGGCTCTGTAGTCCACCCCCATTGAGGACTACAGGCTCCGCAGACCATCACCTATTGGAATGATGGTCTCTGTAGTCCATCCCCGTTGAGGACCGTCGGCTCCGCAGACCATCACCTATTGGAATGATGGAGTCTGTAGTCCATCCCCATTGAGGACCATAGGCTCCGCAGATCACCTATTGAAATGATGGGCTCTGTAGTCCACCCCATTGAGGACCATAAGCTCCGCAGACCAACCCCTATTGAAATGATGGGCTCTGTAGTCGATCCCCATTGAGAACCATAGGCTCTGCAGTCCAACCCCTCTTGGAATGATGGGCTCTGTAGTCCACCCCCTTGAGGACCCTAGGCTCCGCAGTCCATCACTTATTGGGCTGACGGACTCTGTAGTCCAAAGCTATTGAGGATCCATAGACTCTGCAGCCCATCATCTATTGGAATGATGGGCTCTGTAGTCCAAGGCTATGGAGGACCATAGGCTCTGCAGCCCAACCCCTATTGGAATGATGGGCTCTGTAGTCCACCCATTGAGGACCATAGGCTCTGCAGTCCAACCCCTATTGGAATGATGGGCTCTGTAGTCCACCCCCTTGAGGACCCTAGGCTCCGCAGTCCATCACTTATTGGGCTGACGGGCTCTGTAGTCCCAGCCCCTTGAGGACCACAGGCTCCGCAGCCCATTCATATACGGGAGCGATGGGCTCTGTAGTCCAGCCCGCTTGAGGAGCCCAGGCTCCGCAAGCCCACCCTCTCCTGGAATGATGGGCTCGGTAGTCCAAAGCCTCCGCCTTCAGGGGTCCCGCTCTCCCAGCGACGCCCCGCCCCCATCTCCGCAAACCCCGCCCCCTCGGCCCAGAAGCCACGCCCACTCACCTTTTTGCCCCTCTTGCCTTCCTCCTCCATGGCTCAGGCGGAGCCCGGAGGCATCTCGCTCCCCTCCGGGTCGCCCCGCCCTTCACTGCGCCGCCATGGCCGCCTTCGCCTTTCAAGACGAGCCCGGGAAGGAACTGCAGCCGCCGCCGCCGCCGCCCCGGCAACAACTTTTCAATCCTGCCGCCATCTTGGGCGTCGGCGGCGTTCCCGGCGTGCCCCGCGCGCCTTGCCCTCCTTCCCGCCCTGGCCGACATTCGGCTCCGGAGGACTGACGTCAGTCCTCCGGAGGAGAAGAGACGAGGACGACGACGAGGCGGCTTTTAGTTGGAGCCCGAGGCGCATGCGCGAAGGAAAAAAAGTCCCAAAGGCATGAAGCTAGAATTATAAACGGAAAAGAGGAGTGCTTAATGGAGTAATCTTAATGTTTCTCCGAAGACATAGATCTATGAACTGTAGAAAGGTTCCGGCGGGTTATATAAATAGAGATAAAGGAGAATATGAATGTTCATCCGAAGACACAAATCTATGAAAGAATAAAAAGGTTCTGGGGAATAGAAATGTTCATTCGAGCACATAGATCTATGAAGGAATAGAAAGGTTCCGGGAAACATAAATGTTCATTCGAACACATAGATCTATGAAGGGATAGAAAGGTTCCGGGAAATATAAATGTTCATTCGAACACATAGATCTATGAAGGGATAGAAAGGTTCCGGGAAATATAAATGTTCATTCGAGCACATAGATCTAAGAAGGGATAGAAAGGTTCCGGGAAATATAAATGTTCATTCGAACACATAGATCTATGAAGGGATAGAAAGGTTCCGGGCAATATAAATGTTCATTCGAACACATAGAACTATCGAAGAATAGAAAGATTCCGGGCTAGGGTTAGATCTATGATAAAATAGAAAGGTTCCTTTGGTGGTAGAAAGGAGAATTGTATAAATAGTCATCGAAAGTTTTAGATCGATGAAAGAAGAGAAAGGTTCCGGGGAATATATTCACCAAACCCATAAATCTATGATGTTGTAGAAAGGTTCCGGGCCAGTACAAATACTCATTCGAAGACATAGATCGATGAAATGAGAGGAAGATTCCGGGAAATATAAATACTCATTCGAAGACAATTGTTCCTCTTGTGGTGGTAATGATGATGATGATGATGACGACGACGACAATAATAATAATATACAGTTGGGAGGGATCTTAGAGGTCATCTAGTCCAACCCCCTGCTCAGCCAGGAAACCCTATAATAATAACAATAATAATAATAGTAAAGTTGGAAGGGAGCTTGGAGGTCATCTAGTCCAACCCCCTGCTCAGCCAGGAAACCCTATAATAACAATAATAATAATAGTAAAGTTGGAAGGGAGCTTGGAGGTCATCTAGTCCAACCCCCTGCTCAGGCAGGAAATCCAATAATAATAATAATAATAATAATAATAATAATAATTAAAAAACAACAACAATAACATTGGCATTGACAAATTTGCCATTAGTCAATTGCAAAAGGCGGCCTTACTAGGAACTGCGACGATATCTGTAATACCATCAAACATCCACATCTGCCTATCCCAGGTCCTGGGTAAGGACTCGATAGGTAGACAAAATGCCAAATCCAGTCTGAACATCTGGCTGACTGTGCGATGATCCATAATAATAATAGTAAAGTTGGAAGGGACCTTGGAGGTCATCTAGTCCAACCCCCTGCTCAGGCAGGAAACCCAATAATAATAATAATAACAACAACAACAACAACAACAACAATACTAGTAGTAGTAGTAGTAGTAGTAGTAGTAATAGTAGTAGTAGTAAAGTTGGAAGGAACCTTGGAGGTCATCTAGTCCAACCCCCTGCTCAGGCAGGAAAACCTATAATAATAATAATAATAGTAAAGTTGGAAGGGACCTTGGAGGTCATCTAGTCCAACCCCCTGCTCAGGCAGGAAACCCAATAATAATAATAGTAGTAGTAGTAGTAGTAGTAGTAGTAGTAGTAGTAGTAATAATAATAATAATAATAATAATAATAATAGTATGGAAGACAAAGCACTACATGGCCAATACATGAAAAAAATAGCTGGGAAAGCAGATAATAATAAAATCTGGCAATGGCTAAGAGCAGGAAAATTGAAGAAAGAGACCGAGGGACTAATTCTGGCTGCACAAAACCAAGCCTTAAGGACAAATGCATACAAAGTCAAAATTGAGAAGACAGCAACAGACAGTAAGTGCCGCCTATGCAAAGAAGCTGAAGAAACAGTGGACCACTTGGTAAGCTGTTGCAAGAAGATTGCACAGATTGATTACAAGCAGCGGCATGACAAAGTAGCAACAATGGTGCATTGGAAGATCTGCAAAAAATATCATTTGCCTGTAAGCAAAAACTGGTGGGATCATAAAATAGAGAAAGTCATAGAAAATGATAAAATTAAACTGCTCTGGGACTTCAGAATTCAAACAGACAAGCACCTGCAACATAACACCCCAGACTTAACAATTGTCGATAAGAAAGACAAAAAAGTCTGGATAGTGGACGTGGCAGTGCCTGGAGACAGCAGAATAGAAGAGAAAGAACTGGAGAAGATAACAAAATACAAAGACCTACAAATAGAAATAGAAAGACTGTGGCAAAAGCAAGCAAGGGTAGTACCAATAGTCATAGGCGCCTTGGGTGCAATCCCAAAACATCTGGAGCACCACTTGAACACCATTCGCATTGACAAATTCGTTATTAGTCAAGTTGCAAAAGGCGGCCTTATTAGGAACTGCTTCCATCCTGCGACGATATCTGTAATACCATCAAACATCCACATCTGCCTATCCCAGGTCCTGGGTAAGGACTCGATAGGTAGACAAAATGCCAAATCCAGTCTGAACATCTGGCTGACTGTGCGATGATCCATAATAATAATAAAAGTTGGAAGGGACCTTGGAGGTCATCTAGTCCAACCCCCTGCTCAGGCAGGAAACCCAATAATAATAATAATAATAATAGTAGTAGTAGTAGTAGTAGTAGTAGTAGTAGTAGTAGTAAAGTTGGAAGGGACCTTAATAATAATAATAATATAAAGTTGGAAGGGACCTTGGAGGTCATCTAGTCCAACCCCCTGCTCTGGCAGGAAACCCTATAATAATAGTAAAGTTGGGAGGGACCTTGGAGGTCATCTAGTCCAACCCCCTGCTCTGGCAGGAAACCCTATAATAATAATAAAGTTGGAAGGGACCTTGGAGATCATCTAGTCCAACCCCCTGCTCAGGCAGGAAACCCTATAACAACAATAATAATAAAGTTGGAAGGGACCTTGGAGGTCATCTAGTCCAACCCCCTGCTCAGGTAGGAAACCCAATAATAATAATAATAATAATAATAATAATAATAATAATAATAATAATAAAGTTGGACGGGACCTTGGAGATCATCTAGTCCAACCCCCTGCTCAGGCAGGAAACCCTATAACAACAATAAGAATAAAGTTGGAAGGGACCTAGGAGGTCATCTAGTCCAACCCCCTGCTCAGGTAGGAAACCCTATAATAATAATAATAAAGTTGGAAGGGACCTTGGAGGTCATCTAGTCCAACCCCCTGCTCAGGCAGGAAACCCTATAATAATAATAATAGTAAAGTTGGAAGGGACCTTGGAGGTCATCTAGTTCAACCCCCTGCTCAAGCAGGAAACCCTATAATAACAATAATAATAAAGTTGGAAGGGACCTTGGAGGTCATCTAGTCCAACCCCCTGCTCAGGCAGGAAACCCTATCCCATTTCATACAAACGGCTGTCCAGTCTCTTCTTAAAAACTTCCCGTGTTGGAGTATCTCCTATCTCTCATGGTCCCACCCCCTCGCTTCCTGATTGGTTGAGTGCCCGCTTCATTCCGACTTCGAACGCTGCCCTGAGCGCTGGAGATAAAACACATTGAGCGCGTGGACAACTAGGTCCACGCTTCCTTCTCGGTCCCGCCTCCTCGAGTCCTGATTGGTTGGCTGCCGGAGCCAGTCCCGACGTCGGGCGCCTGAGAGCGGTAGAAAAAAAAAAAAAATCAGAAGGCCATTGAGGGCGGCAAGGTCACATGAGCGGAAGGGGGCGGAGCGATGGAAGGGCGCCGAGGGAGAAACGGCGAGGCGGGAGGAGCTGCCGGGCGGCCTGCAAACGTGGATCCGCCTCCATCCGCAGCGGAGTAGCGCTGGATGCAGCCCAGGTGGGTGAGTCTCCGGTGGGGCCGCGCCAGAGAGTCTTCGCCCCGGGAAAAATTGCGCCTTTCGACCTCGCGTCCGAGGCCGCTTGGCCCGGGCTTAGGCCGCCGAACTACAACCCCCAGCAGGCCGCGCGCCGCCATTGCCCGCAGCCCAGCCGGCTTGCAAACTCGTGGGATTTGATTTCACGGTGGAGCAATTCAGGGGGGGGAGTCTTCAAACTTGGCTCTTTTCGGAGCTCGTGGACTTCAACTCGCAGAACTCCTGAGCCAGCCGTGCTTGCTTAGGAATTCTGGGAGTTGAAGTCCACGAGCTCAGAAAAGCGCCAAGGTGGCCTACCCCTGGTTGAGCTACTTGTCTGGAGCCCGGGCAGATGGCCACGTGGCCGGGGGTGGGGGGAAAAGAGAGAGAGCGCGCTAGCAGAGAACACACTGAGGACTAGTGACTTGATAGTGAATGGGAAAGTTCCAGAAAGTTTAAAATTTTCTTATTCAACAGCAGGCTCACTGAGCATGTGCAAGAAACATGAGTAGGTGCTTGAAACTAAGCAGAGAACACCCACATTCGGTGAACCAAGAATATCCATATATGGTAAGGTTAGGACAATTGTGTTGTTTGATAGGTTTGTGACCTGCCACGTCAGCTATGTAGGTATAGGAGGAGTTAGGGAGGGTATAATTGCTGTTACGCAATTACGTAAGGGGTGTGGCTCTTCCTTGTGACTCTTGTGAGTGCATGGTTGAGTTCCACCACGCTTTGCAAACCGTCTTTTTCTACTAGACTTGAGTTTTGATAATAAAAGAAACTTTATTCTGCTACTCCGAACCTCGTCTCTGAATTTCTTTCAAGGAATTCTACAAACAAATTGGGGGCTCGTTCCGGGATCCAATCTGCGCTGGGACTCTGAGGGGTCCTCCTTAGGTGCACCCCTTTCCTTTTGAAAGGAGGGGAACCACCCAGAGGACTGCGGAGCTCTTGGAAACCCGTAAAATTTCAATCAAGACGAGTATTAGGAGAAGGGTGAATAAAGTGCGGAACAGCCTGAAGACAGACTGGGTAACATCTGGGCGCAGACCCTGGTGAGTATTGGTTTGAAAACACCAGAACACAAGAGTCCAGGGCGGTCCGGATAGAGTGTGTGGATGTGAGAACTGGCAACGGGGCCGGGTGGAAGTCCTTTTGAGGGAGGTCTGCAGGACGGAGTGAGTGAGGGGGATATTATTGAATATCCAGAGACGGTGACGTGTGGAACTGAAAGGAGTTGCTGGGAGGGACACAGGCGCACATACTCAAGATAGGCTGACCCCCCCATAAGAGAGATGGGGGGTAATACAGAGTCGACTGAGTCAGGGAAGAAGTGTGTTAAAAGGATCCGGAAGAACCCCAAACTCAAAATCGACCCGAATGGCCCTTTGGGCAGAATATTGGCTGGATGGGGATCCCCGCCCTATAACCGGGAGATTTTGAGGTTGGGGTTGAACAAAGAAGATATGGTTAATTTGTGCTGTTTTATTTGGTGGGAGGATGATAATGTGGAGTGGCCAAGGGATGGCTCCACAGATTATTTTCAGTGTCACAATTTATATAATTATGTGAAGAAAAAGAAATGTAAAAGTTTGGATAATGAATTGGATTATGCACTAATTTGGGTCCCGGACCTTTGGAACCCAAGGAAGCACATCCTTGTGACAAAAACAGATGATGAGGAAGAAGAAGAACAAGAGCAAGGGAGGGATCTCTTGAAGAGTATTCCACCCCCCTATAATCCTATTTGTACCCCAAATCCTCCTCATCCAGTAAATGTGGTGACACCACCATTGTATCCAGAATTACCAGGGGGAATAAGTCAGTTGACCCCAGGACCATGGTCTAGTCAACCTATGCCGGTCCTGAGTCCACAAGATCGGGATCCATACTGGACCCCGACATACCCAACCCCGCCTACCCCTGTGTTAACTCCCTATACTGACCCAAGAACTGGGAATAAAACAAAACAGTTCGGGAATGTGACAGGAAGCACTAAAAAGGATCTGATGACGCAAATGGAAGAAGGGGAGGAGGTTCAACGATTCCCCTTGAGAGAGACACCGAATGGGGTGGATGCTCAGGGGGCCCCAATTATAGCTTATGTGCAGGAACCCCTTAAGGCATCAGAAGTCCGAGCATTTAGAAAGGAAATGAAGAGTTTTATTGAGGACCCTCTTGGGGCCAGTGACCAACTAGACTCTCTGTTAGGGCCCAGCATTTATACTTGGGAAGAAATGCAAAATATAATGGGAATTTTATTTAGTCCTGAGGAAAGGAACTTAATCAGAGTAGCCGCCATGGCGGTATGGGAACGGGAAAACCCTGTGGTGGCTGGAGGGAACCAAGATAAAGGGGAGGCTAAATATCCCCTTGTAAAACCAGATTGGAACAACAACGAGGCCGGGGGGAGAAGACATATGCAAGATTTAAGGTCAATAATTATAAAAGGAATGAAGGAAGCTGTTCCCAAAACCCAAAACATGGCTAAAGCAATAAATATAGAACAAGAAAAAGAGGAAGCCCCAGCAACGTTCTTGCAGCGTCTTAAAGATGGAATGCGGAAGTATGCAGGGGCGGATCCTGACGAGGCCTTAAACGTCCAACTCGTTAAGATCCAGTTTGTGACGAAGGCGTGGCCAGACATCGCCAAGAAATTGCAGAAGAGGGAGAATTGGACTGCAGAATCTCTGGAAGTATTGTTGAGAGGAGCCCAGAAAATATATGTGAATAGAGAGGAAGAGAAACTGAAAAGAGATGGTCAAAGGACAAGTAGGATGGTGGCGATTGCAGTAAAAGAAGTAATGCAAGCGCAGCCAGAGAGAGGAACAGGGCGAGGCTGGGGGCCACGAGGAAGAGGAAGTGTTGGGTTTAGAGGAAGACCAGGAATGAGAAGCAGGAGCGGAATGACCAGAGGAAGAATGATAGGAGAGAGAGGAACTTGCTTTCACTGCGGCAAGATGGGACATTTTAAAAGAGAATGCCCTGCTCTGGCCTCAGGAGAGCAAATTAATAGGTTGATGGAGGAGGATGAAGACATCTACTAGGGAAGTCGGGGGCCCCTGATTAGGAGTTCCTGCCGGGAGCCCTTGATAAACTTGGAGGTGGGAACCCAGGAATACACCTTTTTGGTGGATACTGGAGCATCTCGCACCTCTGTGTGTGTGATGCCAAAGGAAGGAAAATTTGACGATCAGGCAAAAATCAAAGTTAGTGGGGTAAAAGGGGAAGCTTTCAATGTAAAGCAATTGGAACCAATGAAAATAAAATATGGGGCGAATGAAATTCGGACTTTAAAATTGTTGTATGTACCTGAGGCAGGAATTAATATTATGGGAAGAGATTTGATGTCTGCACTGGGACTTATAATAAGTTTTGATCAAAATGAAACAGTTTATGTTTTAACGGAAGAAAAAGAACAAAAGATTGATCCTTTAGTTTGGGTGCAACCAGGAAATAGAGGCGGATTAGAGATAGAGCCTCTAAAGATAAAATTGAAACCCCATAGTGAAGTAGTGAGTCAGAAACAGTATAATATTTCAATAGAAGGAAGGGAAGGTCTCCAACCAGTAATAGATCAGTTAGTAAAAGATGGGCTGTTGGAAGGGACTATGTCACCTTACAATACCCCCATACTACCTGTGAGAAAACCTGATGGTACTTACAGAATGGTGCAAGATTTGAGGCTCCTGAACCGGATAGTAGAAACTAGACATCCGGTGGTTCCAAACCCTTATACCATTCTGAGTAAAATACCTGTAGAACACAGATGGTTTAGTGTGATAGATTTGAAGGATGCCTTTTGGTCTTGTCCTTTGGACAAAGACAGTAGAGCATTATTTGCATTTGAATGGGAAAATCCTTTCACTGGAAGGAAACAACAATACCAGTGGACTGTATTACCCCAAGGATTTACAGAATCCCCAAATTTGTTTGGACAGGTGTTGGAGCAAACTTTAGAGAAATTCAAATTGCCAAAAGGCATAAAAATGATTCAATATGTAGATGACTTATTAATGTCAGGCAAAAAGAAAACAGATACTGAAGAGGGAACAATTGCCTTGCTAAACTTTCTAGCCCAGCAAGGTCTGAGAGTGAGCAAGGGAAAACTTCAGTTTGTAGAACAGGAAGTAAAGTATTTAGGACATTTGATCAGCCAAGGTTCTAGGAGAATCAGTGCTGAAAGAATTCAAGGGATTGTGGAACAATCGAAGCCTAAAACGCAAAAAGAATTAAGAAAATTCTTAGGATTAATTGGATATTGTAGATTGTGGATAGAAGATTATGCCAAGTGGACGAAAAGGTTATATGAACAATTAATCCAAACCAAACCATTTAAAATTGGATGGACTAAGGAACTGGATGAAGACTTCCAAGGACTAAAGCATCTGCTGGTTAGTGCTCCTGTCCTTAGTCTTCCCAATTTGGATAAGCCATTCCACCTCTTCGTTTCAGTGGAGGGAGGGGTAGCTATAGGAATTTTGACACAAAATTGGCCGGGGCAAAAGAAACCGGTGGCATATTTGTCAGAAAACCTTGACTCTGTGGCCCAGGGGTGGCCCACTTGTATTCAAGCAATAGCAGCAGTAGCCTTATTGGTGAAAAAGAGTGAGAAAATTACAATGGGAGGGGCGCTGATTGTCAGTAGTCCTCACCAAGTAAGAACTCTACTGAAACAGAAAGCAGGAAGATGGCTAACTGATTCAAGGTTGTTGAAGTATGAAGGAATGTTACTGGACCATGCTGACCTAGTTCTGACGACTGATTCAGCATTGAATCCGGCACAATTCCTAAATAAGACTAGCTCATCTGAAAATGAAGAAACTGAACATTGGTGTAATGAGATAGTGGATTTAGAAACAAAAATCAGACCGGATTTACAGGATACTCCTTTGGAAAAAGGGGAAAGATGGTATATTGATGGTTCTTCACGAGTAGTGGAGGGAAAAAGACAAAATGGATTTGCCATCATCCAAGAGGGAACATGGGCCCTGTTGGAGGGGGGTAGATTGCCAAATCATTGGTCTGCACAAGCAGCTGAACTATATGCTTTAAAAAGAGCTTTAATATTGGGAGAGAAATTGAATTTAACAATTTACACCGACTCTAAGTATGCCTTTGGAGTGGTGCAAACCTTTGGGAAAATTTGGAAAGAAAGAGGGTATGTGACAAGTCAGGGGAAAGATCTGATACACCAACAACTAGTGGAGGAGGTGTTATCGGCCCTTGTATTGCCACATAGAATTGCTGTAGTACATTTGAGAGCACATCAAAAAGGGGATGAAATTGAGAAAAAGGGAAATAGATTGGCAGATCAGGAAGCTAAAGAGGCTGGCATGAGTGAAATTATTGAACAAATTAAACTCATGATCCCTCATGTAGCTAAAATAAAAGAAATCCCAACTTTTAATGAAAAGGAAGAAGACAAAATTAAGCAGATTGGAGGAATCAAGGATGAAGAAGGAAAATGGTGGTTACCAGATGGAAGACAAATTCTTAATTATCCCCTCATGAGACAAATCTTTGAAAGATTACATGAGGGGAGTCATTGGGGAACTCAAGCTTTGATTGATGAAGTGCTAAAAAGGTATGCAGGAGTGAAGGTTTACACTGCAGCGCAACAAGTAACTCAAAAATGTATAATTTGTCGAAGAGCGAATAGAAATCAATTGAGAGAAAAACAAAAGGGAGGAAGGCCTTTGGCCCTTTCCAAAACATACAAAAATATTTGCTGGTAATTGTAGATCACCTAACAGGATGGGTGGAAGCTTACCCTTGTTTTGATGAAACTACTAGAACTGTTAGTAGATTGTTGTTAGAACATATTATACCAAGGTATGGGATTGTTCAAAGAATTGATAGTGATCAGGGAAAACACTTCACCGGAAAAATCACTCAAGGGATAGCTAATGTGTTGGGAAATAAAATGGGATTTGCACAGTCCATGGCATCCGCCCTCTAGTGGAAAAGTGGAAAATATGAATGGAAAGATTAAAACTATGTTAACGAAATTGTATTTGGAAACAGGAATGAATTGGATGAAAACTTTGCCCATAGCCCTGTTTAGGATAAGAACACAACCTAGGAGGGATGTTGGGATTTCACCTTATGAAATGTTATTTGGCATGCCATTAAGGAACGCTGGTATACAAATGGGGAATTTACCTAGTAAGGATAAGGGACTGATTCAATACTTGCAAATACTGTCCCAGACTTTTGATTCTTTCAGAAAAACTGGCTATTTGATACAAACCCCTCCTCTAAGCTTCAAAGTCCATTCCATAGGAGTGGGAGACCAAGTGTGGATAAAGACGTGGAAAGACGATTCCCTCAAGCCGAAATGGGATGGACCGTTCTTGGTGTTGTTGACCACAGATACTGCCATTCGGACACAAGAAAAGGGTTGGACTCACTATACCCGAGTAAAGAAGGCTAATCTTGAGGAGTCGGAAACATGGAAAGCCTTTCAAAAAGAACCATTGAGACTGGTATTAAAAAAACAATGACTTATATCCTTTTGAATATAACAATAGTGGCGATTGGGGGAGAATTATGGATTGAACCGCCTAGGATCTTTGAACCTGATGAAACTTGGACACAAATTCGGTGTTATAATGACAAAGAGAGTGAGTATTGTCCCATGAATTGGATCTTTGAACCCAAATTTTGGTGGTATGAATCTAAGTTACAACCAAACTGGCAACAAGTAGGTCAGGAGGAAAGTTGGATAGTGGTAACACAAAAGAAAGGGGGTTAGTGTCAAACTATATTTACAAGTAACCCGAGAGACTATAGGAAGATATACCTGTACCATGTGGGAGGGGAAGACCTATTTGACCAGTCGCTCTTTAGTGGCCTCCCCAGACTCTTTCGAGTTTCCTCCTATTCCCTCGTGGATATTGACGGCTTCGGCTATTAGGAGACGCTCCCTGCGAAGAGGAAAGAGAGCAATTAGTATGATCATCTGTCTGAAAGGTGGGGGGGCACCAAAAAGGGGAGTTTCAATACTGGAAAACAACCCAATATGGATGTAATCTGACTCTGGAAGTAACACCAAGGCAAACTCAGAGAGATCCAGCTTGGTCTTGTACGGATCAAAGTGGAGAGTGGATGAGTGGAATCACCCAGATGTGTGAAAACGCAACCATGGGAGACCCGAGGTGTTGTGGTTCAGTGGTTGTGGCACGAAAGGGGAAAGCACTGATAATCTCCACTTTCTATGTAATAATACTAGGAGTCAGTATTTACAACCCGGATGGGAAGGGTTGTGTGAAGTATTATGGGAAGAACCTGTTCAGACTCATCAGCCTGTCCATCCCTTATCCCCTCCCATTAGGAAGATAAGAGCTACTGCTACTACAAAACAGGCCACAACGAAGTTCGGACCCTGCCAAGAGTGCAAAGAATGTATCAAAAAGACTAAGCAAGGAAATAGGGTTACTAGTACCTTATTATATCATACCCTAAAACCAGAGTGTAATGCTACTAAAGTGCAACCTTGTGTGTGTAATCAAACCCAATATTTTAGGTGTTATACAGCCCAAGGGATACAGTGTTATGAACCAAAAGCAGTAGGCCCAATCACTACTGCTAACATTTATGTATATGGATATAAAGGGGGAGTTACCGGAACAGAAGGGTTATTTGCTATAGCTCAAACTAAGGGAGGATACGTTGCCCACAATACCACAAGAGGAAATACCAAGCTGTCTGTGTGCTTTGACACTTGTAAAGCTATAAGAATAGGACAAGGACATGATGATAGATATGGAGTAAAATGTGGTAACTTTGAATGGGAAAAAAGTTACATGAGGGAACAAACATATCTATTTCAGGTTGTAACGCCCACCGCGAGTACAGGCCAGGTGGCTTTTGCTCCAAGCCATACTTATTGGTATACCACCAAAAACCCTTGGGGATGAAGGGACCCCAGGGGTTCAACTTGTCTATGGCCTCAGTATCAACAGATTGTAAGTCAGAACAGTGTACACAGATTTGCTTACAAACCAAGGTATCTGAAACCCCCTCTACTAGTTTTTATTATTTTGGTATTGGTATAAATGGGGAAGGAAGAGACCCATATGGATATATTATAGTAAAGGTGAGTTCAACAAAGTTAACTTCAGACCCAGTAAAAGTATATTGGGAATATCAGGAAGAGATCGCAAAATTTAATAGTCTCCCAGTTCCACCAAAGGCTAAAAATATGTTTTATCGCTTTAGCCCAAGAGGTTGCACAGAAGCTAATGCTGAAAAATAGCTTCGTGTGTGGGGGAACCAATATGGGAGATGAATGGCCATGGCATGCTAGAGAAGCTAATTATACTGAAATTGAGAAATGGAGAGGAAATTTCACTTATCAGGACACTTATAATGAAACTTGGAGGATGTCCATTAACCTGGTAGGCAATATATGTTACTCGAGGAGCAACCATAGTGGGAGAACTAAACCTATGGGGTTCATGCGCTGTCTGAACACCTGGGAAAACAATACTTGGATATCACAAACGAATCAAAGTGTCCCTAACAACTCCTTATCTTTAATTCTCGAGCTTGCCTTCCTGAAAGATCCTGAAAACGATACCCTCCCCTGGACTACTCCTGATGGGTTATATTGGATTTGTGGAGCATTTGCATATAATATTCTTCCTGCTGGGTGGTTTGGGTCTTGTATTTTGGGTGCTATACAACCCTCTTTCTTCCTCCTGCCCTTACAAAGAAGACAATTATTGGGTGTCCCTGCCTATGAACATGTGGGAAACCTGGTAAAGCGATCTGTGGCTAAAGTGGGAGAAGGGTTAAAAATTGGGAGTTGGAAGGATGATGAATGGCCACCCGAGCGAATAATTGCTTATTACGATCCAGCTACTTGGGCCCAAGATGGGAGTTGGGGGTATAGAACCCCAATTTATATGTTAAACAGGATTATCCGATTACAAGCAGTAGTAGAAATTATAACCAACAGAACGGCTGCCGCTTTAACTAAGTTGGCCAAAGAAAGTGTTTTGTCTAGAACATATATTATGCAAAATCAATTGGCTTTAGATTATTTATTGGCCAAGGAAGGGGGTGTCTGTGGAAAATTTAATTTAACTAATTGCTGTATACAAATTGATGATTCAGGCATGGTAATTAACCAGATAACGAGAGATATGGTTAGAATTGCACATGTGCCTGTACAAACCTGGACACAGATATTGGATGATGAAGGATTCCTAGGAGGAATATTTAAAAATTGGAAACAGGCCCTGTTTATGGTGTGTATCATATTCATTGGTATAATGATGTTGCCTTGCCCGATCCCAGTAATAAAGAACCTAGTGAACAGTTCAGTCCACGGTATATTACAAGCCCAACAGAATGCTAAGTCTATAATGGTATTAAAAGAAATTGGGGATCAAATCCAATTGTTGGAAAGTATGGATACCTTACATCCAATGAAAACTACCAAGGAAGAAACTATTAGGTTAAATGAAATAAAAGAAAATATTAAACAAATGACCAAATAAGGAATGGGGGAATTGAATGGGAAAGTTCCAGAAAGTTTAAAATTTTCTTATTCAACAGCAGGCTCACTGAGCATGTGCAAGAAACATGAGTACGTGCTTGAAACTAAGCAGAGAACACCTACCTCAGGTGAACCAAGGATATCCATATATGGTAAAGTTAGGACTATTTTGTCGTTTGATAGGTTTGTGACCTGCCACGTCAGGTATAGCTGACGTAGGTATAGGAGGAGTTAGGGAGGGTATAATTGCTGTTACGCTTCTGTAAGGGGTGTGGCTCTTCCTTGTGACTCTTGTGAGTGCATGGTTGAGTTCCACCACGCTTTGCAAACCGTCTTTTTCTACTAAACTTGATTTTTGATAATAAAAGAAACTTTATTCTTCTACTCCGAACCTCGTCTCTGAATTTCTTTCAAGGAATTCTACAAACAATCTAGTCCAACCCCCTGCTCATCCAGGAAACCCTATAATAATAATAATAATAATAATAGTAAAGTTGGGAGCTTGGAAGTCATCTAGTCCAACCCCCTGCTCAGGCAGGAAACCCTATAATAATAACAACAATAATAGTAAAGTTGGAAGGGAGCTTGGAGGTCATCTAGTCCAACCCCCTGCTTAGACAGGAAACCCTATAATAATAACAATAATAATAGTAAAGTTGAGAGCTTGGAAGTCATCTAGTCCAACCCGCTGCTCAGGCAGGAAAACCAATATTATTATTATTAATAATAATAATATCTGAAGAACAATGATGAAGATGCACTGAAATTAGTATATCAGGAAGGCTTACTAACTACTGGAGAGACCAAACTGGCCTACAAGAAAGACCAAATGAAGAACAGAATAGAGGCATGGGAAGACAAAGCACTACATGGCCAATACATGAAAAAAATAGCTGGGAAAGCAGATATTAACAAGACCTGGCAATGGCTAAGAGCAGGAAAATTGAAGAAAAAGACCGAGGGACTAATTCTGGCTACACAAGACCAAGCCTTAAGGACAAATGCATACAAAGTCAAAATTGAGAAGACAGCAACAGACAGTAAGTGCCGCCTATGCAAAGAAGCTGAAGAAACAGTGGACCACTTGGTAAGCTGTTGCAAGAAGATTGCACAGACTGAGTACAAGCAGCGACAGGACAAAGTAGCAACAATGGTGCATTGGAAGATCTGCAAAAAAAGTCATTTGCCTGTAAGCAAAAACTGGTGGGATCATAAAATAGAGAAAGTCATAGAAAATGATAAAATTAAACTGCTCTGGGACTTCAGAATTCAAACAGACAAGCACCTGCAACATAACACCCCAGACTTAACAATTGTCGATAAGAAGACAAAAAAGTCTGGATAATGGACGTGGCAGTGCCTGGAGATAGCAGAATAGAAGAGAAAGAACTGGAGAAGATAACAAAATACAAAGACCTACAAATAGAAATAGAAAGACTGTGGCAAAAGCAAGCAAGGGTAGTACCAATAGTCATAGGCGCCTTGGGTGCAATCCCAAAACAACTGGAGCACCACTTGAACACCATTGGCATTGACAAATTCACTAGTAGTCAATTGCAAAAGGCGGCCTTATTAGGAACTGCTTCCATCCTGCGACGATATCTGTAATACCATCAAACATCCACATCTCCCTATCCCAGGTCCTGGGTAAGGACTCGATAGGTAGACAAATGCCAAATCCAGTCTGAACATCTGGCTGACTGTGCGATGATCGATAATAATAATAGTATCTGAAGAACAATGATGAAGATGCACTGAAATTAGTATATCAGGAAGGCTTACTGACTACTGGAGAGACCAAACTGGCCTACAAGAAAGACCAAATGAAGAACAGAATAGAGGCATAGGAAGACAAAGCACTACATGGCCAGTACATGAAAAAAATAGCTGGGAAAGCAGATAATAACAAGACCTGGCAATGGCTAAGAGCAGGAAAATTGAAGAAAGAGACCGAGGGACTAATTCTGGCTGCACAAGACCAAGCCTTAAGGAAACCCTATAATAATAATAATAGTAAAGTTGGAAGGGACCTCGGAGGTCATCTAGTCCAACCCCCTGCTCAGGCAGGAAACCCTATAATAACAATAATAATAAAGTTGGAAGGGATCTTGGAGATCATCTAGTCCAACCCCCTGCTCAGGCAGGAAACCCTATCCCATTTCATACAAACGGCTGTCCAGTCTCTTCTTAAAAACTTCCCCCGTTGGAGCATCTCCTATCTCTCATGGTCCCACCCCCTCGCTTCCTGATTGGTTGAGTGCCCGCTTCATTCCGACTTCGAACGCTGCCCTGATCGCTGGAGATAAAACACAACCACATTGAGCGCGTGGACAACTAGGTCCACGCTTCCTTCTCGGTCCCGCCTCCTCGAGTCCTGATTGGTTGGCTGCCGGGGCCATTCCCGACGTCGGGCGCCTGAGAGCGGTAGAAAAAAAAAAAAATCAGAAGGCCATTGAGCGCGGCAAGGTCACATGAGCGGAAGGGGGCGGAGCGATGGAAGGGCGCCGAGGGAGAAACGGCGAGGCGGGAGGAGCTGCCGGGCGGCCTGCAAACGTGGATCCGCCTCCATCCGCAGCGGAGTATCCCTGGATGCAGCCCAGGTGGGTGAGTCTCCGGTGGGGCCGCGCCAGAGAGTCTTCGCCCCGGGAAAAATTGCGCCTTTCGACCTCGCGTCCGAGGCCGCTTGGCCCGGGCTTAGGCCGGCGGACTACAACCCCCAGCAGGCCGCGCGCCGCCATTGCCCGCAGCCCAGCCGGCTTGCAAACTCGTGGGATTTGATTTCACGGTGGAGCAATTCAGGGGGGGAGTCTTCAAACTTGGCTCTTTTCGGAGCTCGTGGACTTCAACTCCCAGAATTCCTGAGCCAGCCGTGCTTGCTTAGGAATTCTGGGAGTTGAAGTCCACGAGCTCAGAAAAGAGCCAAGGTGGCCTACCCCTGGTTGAGCTACTTGTCTGGAGCCCGGGCAGATGGCCATGTGGCCGGGGGTGGGGGGAAAAAAGAGAGCGCGCTAGCAGAGAACACACTGAGGACTAGTGACTTGATAGTCTGTTAAAAAAAAAAAAGAAGGCTTAGAAGCCACTCGTTCGCTCTTTGGCTGCAGCAGGGAAGAGCGTCTGTGCAGTATTGTGGTTTTTTTTGGGGGGGTGAAAGTGTGTTGTTACCTTGGTGAATAATAATAATAATAATAATAATAATAATAATAATAATAATAATAATAATAATAAAGTTGGAAGAGATCTTGGAGGTCATCTAGTCCAACCCACTGCTCAGGCAGGAAACCCTATACCATTTCAGTCAAATGGCTGTCCAGTATAATAATAATGAAGTTGGAAGGGACCTTGGAGGTCATCTAGTTCAACCCCCTGCTCAGGCAGGAAACCCTATACCATTTCAGTGAAATGGCTGTCCAGTCTAATAATAATAGTAATAATAAAGTTGGAAGGGACCTTGGGGGTCATCTAGTCCAACCCCCTGCTCAGGCAGGAAACCCTATACCACATTTATATGCAGAAATGCACGTGTGTGTGTGTGTGTGTGTGTGGTATGTGTATATGGTATATGTGTATAAAACACACACATACACACACACATCATAAGTCGCTTTCCCCACAGCCATTTTAACTTCAAATAGTCCCAAAATGAATGATTTTAAACCAAGGATTAGCTGTGGCGGTCGTACGTCCGAGGATTCATCATAAGTCGCTTTTTTCACTCCCATTTTAACTTCGAATAATCCCAAAATGAATAGTTGTCCATCAAGGATTATCTGCGACGGTCGTAAGTCCAGGGACTGGTCATAAGTCACTTTTTCCCATTTTAACTTTGAATAATCCCAAAATGAATGATTTTATATCAAGGATTTAACTGCAACGGTCGTAAATCCGAGGACTCGTCATAAGTCACTTTTTTCACTCTCATTTTCACATCAAATAGTCCCAAACCGAATGCTTGTCAGTCAAAAGATTTGCTATCATTTTGCCTGAACTGATTCTTTTTCCAACGAGGGGATCTTTTCGGAGAAAGAACTTGACAACGATACCGCAATAATTGTGTGGACCAGAATTGAGCCCCAGGGTGTGTATGCCAAGCCACCACACACTTGCATTTGTTGTGCCGTTTTTCTCATTTTTTGTCTCCCTGATGTTTTTGTAGAATTAGATTTCCCCACCCCCCAGAGTGTCTCTTCGAGTAGGATTCGCACTCGTGTCGGACAACATCGCAACGACGCAAACCTTCCAGCGTGGCTGGGTCTGGTCGGTGACCCTGATCATTCCTGTTGTGTTTGCGAAAGCAACCCGGGACGGTTTGAGGCCTCCCCCCGCTCTCTTTTTTTCGGGGAGAGGTTATAGAAATCCCGGACAAGATTATATTTAAAAAAAAAAGGATGCTAGTCCTCAACGTACGACGGTGATTGAGCCCAAAATTCCTGCTACTGTTACTAAGTGAATCAACTGTCATATTAGTAACACGGTTGTTAAGTGACTCTGCCTTTCTCCATTGACTTGTTAGAAGGTTCCAAAAGAAGGAATCGTGTCACCACTGTGACCGTCGTAAATACGAATCAAATTTGGGGGACGCGAGTGTGAGAAACGGTCTAAGTCACTTTTCCGTTGGCATGGTGACTTCACGCGGTCACTAAACGAATCGTCGTGTAAGTTGGGGACGACTAATTCAGTCCGGAATTATTTCTCCCTTCTATAACTGAGATTTCTCTCCTGCTTAGGAAGAATCTGCCATCTCTCCTCACCATGGTGCTAGTCCACTTGAAGGAAGAGGTGCCTTCAGGATGCTCGGGACACCGGATACCATCCTCCCCGGCCGTTTGGCTCCTTTTTCAGGTAAAGGCTTGGTGGAAGTTTGGGGGGGGGGGCGGGAAGAAAATCTATCCTGAATTTTGCTCAGCGTCTTGAAGGGAGTCCTTGACTTACGGCGGGAAGTAAGCCTGGCGTGAACGGTCATAACGTAAGACATCGTACGACCCGATCTGATTATTCTGTCACTCTTTGGGACAGTTTGTTAAATCAATCACTTTGTTTGTGTGCCATAAGCTACATTTAAATTCAGCCTTAAAAAACTGAGGAAATATAGGTAAATATGCGGGTGTATGTGGTCCTCGTTTTACGATGATTCGTTTAGTGACCGTCGGCACGTGCAACAGCACCAAAAAACAGGGAAACGGTCCCTAACCCAATCGTTTTAAGAGGAGGACCATCTATCTGGGCATGATCGTGTGTGTGTGTGTTGTCGTGCCCACATAAGTACTGGTCGCCCGGCGCCCTCATAACGTCGGTCGCTAAACGAGGACACGATGCATCTAGGAGGAGAGAAAAAGGATGAAAAGAAAGGAATCCATCTAGACCTCAAATCTTCTCTGTCTTTTGTCTCCTAGTTCTTACGGGGGCCTCTTTTCACACAATCCCCGGAAACCGGTTGTGAGTTTGTGTCTGGCAATCCTGGATGAAGATGGTTTGTCGGACAAGCCAGCTTTGATGTTTGGACTCTGCATCTCGGCCTAATCGTGCTGCTCCGGCTTACCAAGCATTAGAGCAATGTTTCCCGAACTTGACAGGTGAGTGGACTTCCACTCCCAGAATCCCCCAGCTGGCGTGCTTTAAGAGAGGTGAACTTTGGACCAATCACCAGGAGACTGGGAGTTCTAGTCCCGCCTTAGACAGGAAAGCCAACTAGGTGACTTTGGACCAATCACCAGGAGATTGGGAGTTCTAGTCCTGCCTTAGACACAAAAGCCTAGCTGAAAGCCGACTAGGTGACTTTGGACCAATCACCAGGAGACGGGGAGTTCTAGTCCCGCCTTAGGATAGCTGACTAAGTGACTTTGGACCAATCACCAGGAGACTGGGAGTTCTAGTCCTGCCTTAGACAGGAATGCCAATTAGGTGACTTTGGACCAATCACCAGGGGACTGAGTTCTAGTCCCACTTTTGGCATAAAACCCAGCTGGGTGACTGACCAATCACCAGGAGATGGGAGTTCTAGTCCCGCCTTAGACAGGATAGTCGACTAGGTGACTTTGGACCAATCACCAGGAGACGGGGAGTTGTAGTCCCGCCTTAGACAGGAAAGCCGACTAGGTGACTTTGCACCAATCACCAGGAGACGGGGAGTTTTAGTCCCGCCTTAGACAGGATAGCCGACTAGGTGGCTTTGGACCAATCATCAGGAGACTGGGAGTTCTAGTCCCGCCTTAGACAGGAATGCCAATTAGGTGACTTTGGACCAATCACCAGGGGACTGAGTTCTAGTCCCACCTTTGGCATAAAACCCAGCTGGGTGACTGACCAATCACCAGGAGATGGGAGTTCTAATCCCGCCTTAGACACGAAAGCCGATTAGGTGACTTTGGACCAATCACCAGGAGACGGGGAGTTCTAGTCCCGCCCTAGGTGTGAAAGCTCGCTGGGTGATTTTGGGCCAGTCCCTCCCTCTTGGCTTGTCCCACCTTGCAGGGTTGTTGGGGGGAAAAGTAGGAAGAAGGGGCATTATGTTACTTACAAAGTACTACTACTAGTAGTCTAGTAGTAGTAGTAGTAGTAGTAGTAGTAGTCATGAATTTTCAGAGCACCTGGCTTTGAACGTCCCGCCTCTCGTCTTCTAGGTGGCCCCAAAAAGACGCCTGACTCTCTACGCCGCTGCTCGGTGCCCATCATCCACTCCCACGCCTCTCGCCTCAAAGAGGAAGCGGCCGTGGGCATCCCGGCCGCCACGATGAGTCACCTGCAGCCGGGCTAAATTGAGACCAACGAAACAAGGAAGTGGGCCGACGGAAAGTTTGCCAAGGAGAAGATGACGAAGCCCATGCTTCTCTTGTGACTCCCCCCCAGGGGGAGGGGGGATGATGGGCTTTCCACTGCTACAAATTTAGACTTCCGGAATGAGATTAAAAGTCATTAAAGGTCTCCCTGTCTGTCTCTTCTCTCTCTACCTTGGAGGTCATCCAGTCCAACCCCCTGCTCAAACAGGAGACCCTAATAGAATAACAAGAGCTGGAAGGGACCCTGGAGGTCATCTAGTCCAACCCCCTGCTCAAACAGGAGAGCCTGACAGAATCTCAGACGAACAAAGAGCTGGAAGGAACCTTGGAGGTCATCTACTCCAACCCCCTGCTCAAAGAGGAGACCCTAACAGAATAACTTGGAAGGGACCCCCGGAGGTCATCTAGTCTAACCCCCTGCTCAAACAGGAGAGCCTTACAGAATAATAGAATAACAGGGTTGGAAGAGACCTTGGAGGTCCTCTAGTCCAACCCCCTGCTCAAACAGGAGACCCCAGTAGAATAAGAGCTGGAAGGGTCCCTGGAGGGCCTCTAGTCCAACCCCCTGCTCAAGCAGGAGACCCTTACAGAATAACGGAGTTCGGACCTTGGAGGTCCTCTAGTCCAACCCCTTACTCAAACAGGAGACACTGACCATAACAGGTGGAAGGGATCTCGGAGGTCATCTAGTCCAACCCCCTGCTCAAGCAGGACACTGACAGAATAACAGTTGGGACCTTGGAGGTCATCTAGTCCAACCCCTTACTCAAGCAGGACACCCTGACAGAATAATAGGTGGAAGGGACCCTGGAGATCCTCTAGTCCAACCCCCTGCTCAAACAGGAGACCCCAGTAGAATAAGAGCTGGAAGGGACCCTGGAGGTCCTCTAGTCCAACCCCTTACTCAAGCAGGAGACACTGACCATAACAGGTGGAAGGGATCTCGGAGGTCATCTAGTCCAACCCCCTGCTCAAGCAGGACACTCTGACAGAATAACAGTTGGGACCTTGGAGGTCATCTAGTCCAACCCCTTACTCAAGCAGGACACCCTGACAGAATAATAGGTGGAAGGGACCCTGGAGATCCTCTAGTCCAACCCCCTGCTCAAACAGGAGACCCCAGTAGAATAAGAGCTGGAAGGGACCCTGGAGGTCCTCTAGTCCAACCCCTTACTCAAGCAGGAGACACTGACCATAACAGGTGGAAGGGATCTCGGAGGTCATCTAGTCCAACCCCCTGCTCAAGCAGGACACTCTGACAGAATAACAGTTGGGACCTTGGAGGTCATCTAGTCCAACCCCCTGCTCAAGCAGGAGACGGCCTAGACCCTGTCGGACCCGACGGCTGTCCAATCCTGTCTTAAAAACCTCCAGTGTCAGGCGCAACCTGCTTTATCTTCCTCCCGCTTGCCACCTCCAGAATATATTGAATTAATTGGCATTTTAATTCCGTACATCTTGAGGAGATACTCCCCACTTGCTCTCGGGCTCAGCCTCTCCTGGTGCGAGGGGGGGGGTCTTCGTTCCCTGCAGACCCCGCCTCCGAAGCCCCTTGGCAACCCCCCCCCCATCCAGCGGGCTTGAGGGTGGGGCAGCCCGCCCGTCTCTGGCCAGGAAGAGGAAGCGACGTTGCCGCCCACAAGCCAAACCACAATAATTGTGGCAAAAGACGGTGGAGTGGAAGATGGGCAGGGCGAGAGAACAGAAGTAAAACTGCTCCCTGTAGAAGAGACTACGATTGGGTAGCTCCGGGTTGAACTGTGGGGGTCCTGGGTGCTCTCTTGAGCTTGGGGGGGGGGTTGTTTCTGCGCAGACGTCTCGTGACCCAACTAGGGAACATCATCAGTGTTAGGAGGGGGTAGGCTTTGCCGAGAGGGAGGAAGGAGAAGAACCGTGGGATCCTTTATGTTCTCTGAGCTGGGTGCTTTCCTTGCAGACATCTCGTGACCCAACTAGGGAACAACATCAAGGCTAGAAGGAAGGGGGGGAGTTATGGAGAAGAGGAGGAGGAAGAGGGAGGGAGGAAGTAGAGGGGGAGGAGGAGAGAAAACACAGGGAAAAGGAGAGGGAGGAGAGGAAGTGGAAAAGGACTCGGTGCTCTCTCAGCTGGGTGGTTTTCTTGCAGACGTCTCGTAGCCCAACTAGGGAACGTTATCTGTGCTAGAAGGGAGGAAGGAGATGGAGGAGGAGGAAGGGAGGAAGGAGAGGGGGAGGAGGAAGGGAGGAAGGAGGGGGGAAAGGAGAGGAGGAGGAAGGAAAGTGAGGTCCTTGGTGCTCTCTGAGTTGGGTGGTTTCCTTGCAGACGTCTCATGACCCAACTGGGGAACAACAACAAGGCTAGAAGGAAGGGGGAGAGTTATGGAGAAGAGGAGGAGGAAGGGGAGGAGGAGGAGGAGAAGAAAGAGGGAGACGAGAGGGAAAAGGAGAGGAGGAGGAAGGACTGTGGGGGTCCCTGGTGCTCTCTGAGCTGGGTGGTTTCCTTGCAGACGTCTCATGACCCAACTAGGGAACGTCATCAGGGCTAGAAGGGGGGAGGATTTGTGGAGAGGAGAAGGAACAGGATGGTGGGGTCCTCCGTGCTCTCTGGCCTTTATTACTGAGGACTACCGACATTTCGTCGGTCTGCACGGTGTCGCTTCGCCTGCAGGATGGTGTGTTTGTGCGCCCGTCCATCCTTGGGTCTGTCCGGGAAATAGGTACGAGTGCGGTTTCTACATCTAGCTCTACAATATAGTCTACACCAGAGGTCCTCAAACTTGGCCCTTTTATGACTTGGTGGACTTCAACTCCCAGAATTCCTCAGCCAGCATGCCTGGCTGAGGGATTCTGGGAGTTGAAGTCCCACCAGTCATCAAAGGGCCAAGTTGGAAGACCCCTGAGAGTCTGGATCTAAGCCCCCTGTTTCATCAAAATGGCCGACTGAGGAATTCTGGGAGTTGAAGTCCACCAGTCATCAAAGGGCCAAGTTGGAAGACCCCTGAGAGTCTGGATCCAAGTCTGCAGGTTCATCAAAATGGCCGACTGAGGAATTCTGGGAGTTGAAGTCCACCAGTCAGAAAAGGGCCAAGTTGGAAGACCCCTGAGAGTCTGGATCTAAGCCCGCAGTTTCATCAAAATGGCCGACTGAGGAATTCTGGGAGTTGAAGTCTCACAAGTCATAAAAGGGCCAAGTTGGAAGACCCCCTGGTCTGGATCCAAGCCTGCAGTTTCATCAAAATGGCCGACTGAGGAATTCTGGGAGTTGAAGTCTACCAGTCATCAAAGGGCCAAGTTGGAAGACCCTTGAGAGTCTGGATCCAAGCCTGCAGTTTCATCAAAATGGCCGACTGAGGAATTCTGGGAGTTGAAGTCCTACCAGTCATCAAAGGGCCAAGTTGGAAGACCCTTGAGAGTCTGGATCCAAGCCTGCAGTTTCATCAAAATGGCCGACTGAGGAATGCTGGGAGTTGAAGTCCACCAGTCAAAAAGGGCCAAGTTGGAAGACTCCTGGTCGCGGGATCCACATTTAGACCCTTGGCAACTGTTTCATATTTACGACGGCCACAGGGTCCCCAGTGTGTGTGTGTGTGTGTGTGTGTGTGTTTGTGTGACGGAATTCCCTTCCGCGACTTTCGGACACAGAAAAGTCAACGGAGGAAGCCCGATTGTCTTCATGACCCTGTGACTCACTTAACGACGGGAGGAAATTCCCTTAACGGGGGCTCCGTCGGGGCAAAACCAGAAATGTTGGGGCTCAAAATTGCGGTCGTAACGTTGAGGACTAGTGAACTGACACATAGAAATGCCTTCTGCTGATTGTTTGGATGAGCCACAACGCCGCAAGGTTGCACAACTGCCAAAGTTGTTTGGCTGTGTGGAAGCGGGTTGCGAGGGAGGAATTGGGTGGAAGTGGACGGACCTGCCAACGGTGGAGAAATCAAGGAGGTTTTTGAGTCGTCATCTTCTCCTTCTCGTCGTGTCCTGGGAGAGGGTGTCCGCTCCCCCTTAATTTCGTGGTTGTGGGTTCCTCGTCACAACTTTGTGCTGTTTTGGGTCCAACCTCCTAAATCATGAAGCCACAACGAGGAGGAAGGAGATGGGACCTCCATCCATCCTATACGCCTTCTCTGGTGGTCTCCTATGAAGTTCTCCAAGTTCTCCAGGATTGAGGGTAGAGGTGCTCCATGGAGGTCTTTGGGACCCACTTCTCCAGGAGAATCCATCTATCCTATAAGAGTCATCCTCTGGAAGACCTTAGATGCCTTTTCTAGTGGTCTCCTATGAAGTTCTCCCAAGTTCTCCAGGGTTTAGAGTTTAAGTTTTCCATGGAGGATTTTGGGACCCTCTCCTCCAGGAGAATCCATCTGTCCTATCAGAGCCATCCTTGGAGGACATTTGATGCCTACTCTGGTGGTCTCCTATGAAGTTCTCCAAGTTCTCTGGGGTTTAGAGTTTTGGTTTTCCATGGAGGATTTTGGGACCCTCTCCTCCAGGAGAATCCATCTGTCCTATAAGAATCATCCTCTGGAGGACCTTAGATGCCTTCTTTGATGTTCTCCTATGAAATTCTCCAAGTTCTCCAGGGTTGAGGGTTTCGGTTCCCTATGGAGGACTTTGGGACCCACTTCTCCAGGAGAATCCATCCATTCTATCAAAGCCATCCGTTAGAGGCCCTTAGATGCCTTCTCTGGTGGTCTCCTATGAAGTTCTCCCAAGTTCTCCAGTATTTAGGATTTCGGTTCTCCATGAAGGACTTTGGGACCCTCTCCCCCAGGAGAATCCATCCCTCCTGTGAGATCCGCCCTAGAGCAAATAACAATCCAGGAAGTGGAACCTGCAAGGAAGCGGTGAGCTTTGCTAACCACAAGCTCCACCTTCTCACTCCGACGGAAACTCCCCGGCTTGACTCACTCGTCTTCTCTCTGCTGAGCGAGGACGGTCGTCTGGGCTCCCCCCATCCCGGAAAGCGGACTCCCTTCTACCAGGAAACCATGGCCGAGCAAGAGAGTCTGGAGTTTGGAAAAGCTGACTTTGTTCTCTTGGACCAGGTGACCATGGAAGACTTCCTGGACAACCTGAAGCTCAGGTAAGCATCGGAAACGGGGAAGGAAGTGAACGATGGGTCTCGGGCAAGGCGTGTTTGAGCAGAGGTCAAGTGGACGGGGATCTTAGTCGCTTCGAGACCTTCGGAGGGACTCGATCCGGCCTCGGTGGAGATCTTTCTCGTCTGGTGGCTCTCCAGATGATCTCCATCAGCTGGACCTTCAGAATCGGGGAGCCTGACAAAGCCTTACATACCCTAACGGGAAGGTCTTTCCTTCGCTAGAACGGAAACAGCTCTGTGGTGGAAGAGGCAATCAGGCCTAGCGGTAAACGCCCCAGGCTACAAACGGGGCGATGCTGAGTTCGAGTCCCGCCCTCGGCACAAAAGCTGGCTAGGTGACTTTGGGCCAAGCGCCAGGCGAGGGTGAGTTCTAGTCCCGCCTGAGGCACGAAAGCCTGTTAGGTGACTTTGGGCCAATCACCAGGAGACGGTGAATTCTAGTCCCGCCTTAAGCATGAAAGGCAGCTGGGTGTCTTTGAGCCAATCACCAGGAGACGGTGAATTGTAGTCCCACCTTAGGCATGAAAGCCTGTTAGGTGACTTTGGGCCAATCACTAGGAGAGGGTGAATTCTAGTCCCGCCTTAGGCATGAAAGCCTGTTAGGTGACTTTGGGCCAATCACTAGGAGAGGGTGAATTCTAGTCCCGCCTTAAGCATGAAAGGCAGCTGGGTGTCTTTGAGCCAATCGCCAGGAGACGGTGAGTTCTAGTCCCGCCTTAGTCATGAAAGCCTGTTAGGTGACTTTGGGCCAATCACTAGGAGAGGGTGAATTGTAGTCCCACCTTAGGCATGAAAGCCTGTTAGGTGACTTTGGGCCAATCACTAGGAGACGGTGAATTCTAGTCCCGCCTTAAGCATGAAAGGCAGCTGGGTGTTTTTGAGCCAATCATCAGGAGACTGAGAGTTCTAGTCCCGCCTTAAGCATGAAAGGCAGCTGGGTGTCTTTGAGCCAATCGCCAGGAGACGGTGAGTTCTAGTCCCGCCTTAGTCATGAAAGCCAGCTGGCTGACTTTGGGCCAATCACCAGGAGATGGTGAATTCTAGTCCCGCCTTAAGCATGAAAGGAAGCTGGGTGTCTTTGAGCCAATCACCAGGAGACGGTGAGTTCTAGTCCCGCCTTAGTCATGAAAGCCCGTTAGGTGACTTTGGGCCAATCACTAGGAGAGGGTGAGTTGTAGTCCCGCCTTAAGCATGAAAGGCAGCTGGGTGTCTTTGAGCCAATCGCCAGGAGACGGTGAGTTCTAGTCCCGCCTTAGACATGAAAGCCTGTTAGGTGACTTTGGGCCAATCACCAGGAGACGGTGAGTTCTAGTCCCGCCTTAGTCATGAAAGCCAGCTGGCTGACTTTGGGACAATCACCAGCAGAGGGTGAGTTGTAGTCCCGCCTTAAGCATGAAAGGCAGCTGGGTGTCTTTGGGCCAATCACCAGGAGACGGTGAGTTCTAGTCCCGCCTTAGCCATGAAAGCCTGTTAGATGACTTTGGGCCAATCACCAGGAGACGGGGAGTTCTAGTCCCGCCTTACGCCTGAAAGCCAACTGGGTGACTTTGGGCCAGTCCCTCTTTCTCAGCGAACCCACCTCACACGGTTGTCGTTGTGGAGAAAAGAGAAGCATAACTGAGGTCATAAGTGGAGGACTCCGTTCATTCTTCAAGTGGAAGATTTGGACACTTTTCTTACCCCTTGCTAAAGTGGCGAAAGGCCGTTTTATTAAGTGAGTCATGCAGTCCAGTTTGCCCCAGTAGCTTTGCTGGTCCGAGGTGAGCTGGGAAAGTCGTGCGTGTCCGTTGCATGACTTGGGGTGCTGCAACGGTCACAAATACACGCCAGTTGGCCAAGCGAGCAAATTTTCATTCTGTAACCTTGGGGACTTCAACTCCCAGAATCCCCCAGCCGGCCTGCTTTAAGAGGGGGGGACTTCAACTCCCAGAATCCCCCAGCCGGCCTGCTTTAAGAGGGGGGGACTTCCACTCCCAGAATCCCCCAGCCGGCCTGCTTTAAGAGGGGTGGACTTCCACTCCCAGAATCCCCCAACCAGCCTGCTTTAAGAGGGATGCATTTCGACTCCCAGAATCCCCCAACCAGCCTGCTTTAAGAGGGGGGGACTTCACCTCCCAGAATCTCCCAGCCGGCCTGCTTTAAGAGGGGGGGACTTCAACTCCCAGAATCCCCCAGCCGACATGCTTTAAGAGAGATGGACTTCCACCCAGAATCCCCTAGCTAGCCGTGCTTTAAGAAGGGCAGGCTTCCCCTCCCAGAATCCCCCAACCAGCATGGTTTAAGAAGGGAGAGTTCAACTCCCAGAATCCCCTAGGTGACATGCTTTAAGAGGGGAGCAACTCCCAGAATCCCTCAGCCGGCATGCTTTAAGAAGGGAGACTTCAACTCCCATAATCCCCCAGCCAGCCTGCTTTAAGAGGGGCGGACTTCAATTCCCAGAATCCCTCAGCCGGCATGCTATAAGAGGGGAGGAACCAGTCCGAGAATCCTCCAGACAGGATGCTTTAAGAGGGGTAGCCTTCAACTCCCAGAATCCCCCAGCCGGCATGCTTTAAGAAGGGAGACTTCAACTCCCATAATCCCTCAGCCAGCCTGCTTTAAGAGGGGCGGACTTCAATTCCCAGAATCACCCAGCCGGCATGCTATAAGAGGGGAGGAACCAGTCCGAGAATCCCCCAGACAGGATGCTTTAAGAGGGGTAGCCTTCAACTCCCAGAATCCCCCAGCCGGCCTGCTTTAAGAGGAGAGGACTTCCACTCCCAGAATCCCCCAGCTGGCCTGCTTTAAGAGGGGGGGACTTCCCCTCCCAGAATCCCCCAGCCAGGATGCTTTAAGAGGTAAGGACTTCCACTCCCAGAATTCCTCAGTCAAGCTGTGTGCCCTTCGTGCAGGCCAGGGGATTCTGGGAGTTGAAGTCCACCTCCCCTAAAACGGCTGCTCTTTGACCACAAAGAAGCCCAGATCTAACAAACCCCTTTTTCTAACTGACCAGGTTTATTTCCCAGCTGGAAGGCGTGGTGAAGTCACTTCTTTGAGGCAGGAAGTGGTTGGTTCTCATGTAGGAGGGAGCAGGGAACCGAGGCAGGATCGGAATGACTCAAGGCCCAGCTCATTTCGAAAGCCGGAAACGCACCACTCGCACACGAGACCCGGCTGCCCTCGCTTCTCCTTTGCCTGTTTATTTTGAATATTCCTTCCTTCCGCCATTTGGACACCTTCACCCCCGTCTCCCCCGTATGGGCCGCAGCCGGTTCTCGAGTTACAACAGGGAAATAAGCCGACTTGGGGTCGTTTTTTTCCACACTGACGAGCCTCTGAGTTGGCAACGGACTTGTATTTATGACCGTTGCTGCGGCCTTCACTTATGAACCAAGTGTCTTAACTTATGAACTTGGCCACTCTGCCAAGGCAGGTCGTAAAACGCGGCCAAACTCACCTCACGCACGTCTCGCTTAAGGACAGAGGCTTGGGGCCCGTGGAACTGCTTGCCACCAGAGGTGGCGGGAGCTCCATCGCTGGAGGGTTTTAAGAAGAGACTGGACAGTCACTTGCACTGATGTGGTATAGGGTCTCCTGCTCGAGCAGGGGGCTGGACTAGATGACCTCCAAAGGCCCCTTCTGGGCCCTAGGATTCTATAAGGCAGGAGAAAGAGACAGAGGGAGGGAGGGAAGGAAGGAAGGAAGGAAGGAAGGAAGGAAGGAAGGAAGGAAGGAAGGAAGGAAGGAGTGTAAAGGGGTAGTGGAGAGGGAGGGAGGAAAGAAGGAAGGAGAAAGGCAAGAAAGAAGGAGAGAGGGAGAGAAGGAAGGAGGGAGAGGAAACAGTGAGATGCGGTGGGAAGAAGGAAGGAAAGAAGGAGAAATTGAAAAGGAGGGAGGGAGGAAGAAAGAAAGAAGGATGGAGAAAGACAAGAAAGAAGGAGGGAAGAAAGGAAAGAAAAACAGTATGAAGAGCTGGGAGGGAGGGAGGAAGAAAGAAAGGAAGGAAAGAAAGAAAGAAAGAAAGAAAGGGAGGGAGGGAGGGAGGGAGGAAGGAAGGAAAGAAGGAGGGTGGGAGGGAGGAAGGAGTGAGAAGGGGTAGGAGGGAGGGAGGAAAGAAGGAAGGAGAAAGGCAAGAAAGAAAGGAAGGAATGAAGAAAGGAAGGAAGGAAACAGTATGAAGAGGAGGGAGGAAGGAAAGAAAGAAAGGGAGGGAGGAAGGAAAGAAAGAGAGGGAGGGAGGGAGGTGAGAAGGTATGGGAGGGAGGGGGAAGGAAAGAAGGAAGGAGAAAGGCAAGAAAGAAGGTGAGAGGGAGGGAAGGAGGAGGAAGGGAAGGAAGGAGGGAGGAAGGCAGGAAGGAAACAGTGAGATGGGGTGGGAAGGAGGAAGGAAGGAAAGAAGGAGAAAGTCAAAAAGGAGGAAGGAAGGAAGGAAAGAAAGAAGGAAGGAGAAAAGCAAGAAAGAAGGAGAGAGGGAAGGAAGGGAGGGAGGGAGGCAGGAAGGAAAGTGAGATGGGGTGGGAAGGAGGAAGGAGGAAGGAAGGAAAGAAGGAGAAAGTGAAGAAAAGGAGGGAGGGAGGAAGAAAGAAAGAAGGAAGGAAGGAGAAAGGCAAGAAAGAAGGAGGGAAGGAAGGAAGGAAGGAAAGAAACAGTATGAAGAGGTGGGAGGGAGGGAGAGAGGGAGGAAAGAAAGAGGGAGGGAAGGAAGAAAGGGAGGAAAGAAGGAGGAAGGGAGGGAGGGAGGAAGGAAGGAGTGAGAAGGGGTAGGAGGGAGGAAAGAAGGAAGGAGAAAGGCAAGAAAGAAGGAGAGGGAGGGAAGGAAAGAAAGAAACAGTATGAAGAGGTGGGAGGGAGGGAGGGAGGAAGGAAGGAAGGAAGGAAAGAGAGAGGGAGGGATGAAGGAAGGAAGGAGGGAGGGAGGAAGGAAGGAAGGAAGGCGAGAAGGTATGTGAGGGAGTGGGAAGGAAAGAAGGAAGGAGAAAGGCAAGAAAAAGTGAGAGGGAGGGAAGGAGGGAGGGAGGGAGGGAGGCAGGAAGGAAACAGAGAGATGGGGTGGGAAGGAGGAAGGAAGGAAAGCAGAAAGTCAAGAAAGGGAGGGAGGAAGAAAGGAAAGAAAGAAGAAAGGAAGGAGAAAGGCAAGAAAGAAAGGGAGGGAAGAAATGAAGAAAGGAAGGAAGGAAACAATATGAAGAGGTGGGAGGGAGGGAGAAAGACGAGAAAGGAGGGAGGGAAGGAAGGAAACAATGTAAAGGAAGGAAGGAAGGAAGAAAGGAAGGAAGGAAGGAAGGAAGGGGATCCACCTACCCTCCAAAGCGCCCAAAGGCAAGACAAGAAACAACGGATGGAAACTTATCTAGGAGAGAAGCAACCTGGAATTAAGGAGGAACTTCCTAATGGTGAAGACAATTCACCAATGGAACTCCTTGCCACCAGACGTGCAATAGGTGCTCCATTCCTGGAGGCCTTCAAGAAAAGATTGTCCCGCCTGAACTTATCCGACAATTAAAAACGTTGTCCCCAAGGGCCAGGCGTTCTGAGTTCTCTCCCCACCCCACCCCACCCCACCCATGATCCTTCAACTCCGACGCTCCCCATGTTATCGAGATGTCTTCTGAACCCCGGTCTCCTCCTCGCCACGCCAGGTTCGAGAAAGGACGCATCTACACCTACATCGGCGAAGTGGTGGTCTCCGTGAATCCGTACAAACCCCTCTCGCTCTACGGGAAGGAGATGATCGAACATTACCGGGGCCGGGAACTCTACGAGAGGCCACCTCACCTTTACGCGGTGGCCGACGCGGCCTACAAAGCCATGAAGAGGCGGGCCATGGACACCTGCATTGTCATCTCCGGTAGGGTCTCCCATCGCTCCATTCCCCCCCCAAAAAAGGCCAGTGGTGGGATACAGCCGGTTCTCACCAGTTCGGCACAACCGGGAGCTAAATTTTGGCTGAGTTTGGGGAACCAGCTTAATGCACAGTGCTTCCGGAAGTCCAGCCTGGAGGAGACCTCCCAGGCCTAGAACGGCCCGCCGGAAGTGTGTGGATGCCACTTCCGGAAGTCCGTTCTAGGCCTCGGAGGTCTGGAGGAGGCCTTCCAGGCTTAGAACAGCCTGCCGGAAGTGCATGGATGCCACTCCCGGAAGTCCGTTCTAGGCCTCGGAGGTCTGGAGGAGGCCTTCCAGGCTTAGAACAGCCCGCCGGAAGTGCATGGATGCCACTTCCGGAAGTCTGTTCTAGATCTCGGAGGCCTGGAGGATTCCTCCCAGGCCTAGAACAGCCTGCTGGATGGGCATGGATGCCACTTCTGGAAGTCCGTTCTAGGTCTCGGAGGCCTGGAGGACACCTCCCAGGCTTAGAATGGCCTACCGGAAGTGCGTGGATGCCACTTCAGGAAGTCTGTTCTAGATCTCGGAGGCCTGGAGGATTCCTCCCAGGCCTAGAACAGCCTGCCGGATGGGCGTGGATGCCACTTCTGGAAGTCCGTTCTAGGCCTCGGAGGCCCAGGCCTATACATCCAATAAGAGAACCGGTTGTTCAGGTACTTGAATCCCAGCACTGGAGGTGACTTCAAGTCAACTGAAGAGTTGAAGTTGCTCCTTACCTTCTTCTCTTTCCAAAATTCATTGCACGGACTCATTCCCGCCGCCTGTCCTCTCCGTGGGTGGGATTACAAGCCCCATAAGTTAAGACCAGGAGTGGGATTCAAATACCTGAACAACTGGTTCTCTTATTGGATGCAGGCCTCGGCCTTTGAGGCCTAGAATGGACTTCCGGAAGTGGCATCCATGCACTTCCGGCGGAGCATTCTAGGCCTGGGAGACTTGCAGTTGGCCTCCGAGGCCTAGAACGGACTTTCGGAAGTGGCATCCACGCACTTCCGGCAGACTGTTTTAGGCCTGGGAGGCCTTCTCCAGACCTCCGAGGCCTAGAACAAACTTCTGGAAGTGGTATCCATGTACTTCCGGCAGGCCATTCTAAGCCGAGGCCTCCTCCAGGCCTCCGAGGCCTAGAACAGACTTCTGGAAGTGGCATCCATGTACTTCCAGCAGGCCGTTCTAAGCCTAGAAAGCCTCCTCCAGGCCTCCGAGGGCTAGAACAGACTTCTGGAAGTGGTATCCACGCACTTCCGATGGGCTGTTCTAGGCCAGGGAGGCCACCTCCAGGCCTCCAAGGCCTAGAACGGACTTTCGAAAGTGGCATCCACGCACTTCCGGCAGACTGTTTTAGGCCTGGGAGGCCTTCTCCAGACCTCCGAGGCCTAGAACAGACTTCTGGAAGTGGCATCCATGTACTTCCGGCAGGCCGTTCTAAGCCTAGAAGGCCTCCTCCAGGCCTTCGAGGCCTAGAATGGACTTCCAGAAGTGGCATCCATGCACTTCCGGTGGGCCGTTCTAAGCCTAGAAGGCCTCCTCCAGGCCTTCGAGGCCTAGAATGGACTTCCGGAAGTGGCATCCATGCACTTCCGGTGGGCCGTTCTAGGCCTGGGAGGCCTCCTCCAGGCCTCCGAAGCCTAGACTGGACTGGAAGCAGTGTCAATTCAGTTGGTTCTCTGAACTCAGCAAAATTTAGCTACCGGTTCTCCCGAACCGGTGCGAACCGGCTGAATCCCGCCACTGCTTAAGACCCACGTGGGACACGATGGGGCCCATCTAGACAGGGCATCGAAAGAGACCTGGTGGTCCCCAAAGTGCTGTTTTTTTTCCCCCACGCGGCAACGGGACTTTCTGGTTTTTCCTCGGAAGAGGTTTCGCTCCTCATCCGAGGAGCTTCTCCACCTCTACAGAAGGAGATGGACCAATTCCATCTGTGGGGTCAACTTCAGGACGTTCGTCCAGTTGATTCGCCCTTACGGCGTGGTTCTTTTATAAGTTGCATGCCGTTATTGCTGACCTTGATAATGATGATGATGATGATGAGGAGGAGGAGGAGGAGGAGGAGGAGGAAGGACTGTGGGGTCCTTGGTGCTCTCTGAGCTGGGTGGTTTTCCTTGCAGACGTTTCACGACCCAACTAGGGAACGTCATCAGTGCTGGAAGGGAGGAGGAGGAGAAGGAAGGAAGGAAGGAAGGAAGGAAGGAAGGAAGGAAGGAAGGAAGGAAGGAAGGAAGGAAGGAAGGAAGGAAGGAAGGAAGGAAGGAAGGAAGGACTGTGGATTCCATGGCGCTCTCTGAGCTGGGTGGTTTTCTAGCAGACGTCTCATGACCAAACTAGGGAACATCATCAGTGCTAGAAGGAAGGAGGAGGAGGAGGAGGAGGAGGAGGAAGGACTGTGGGATCCTTGGTGCTCTCTGAGCTGGGTGGTTTCCTTGCGGATGTTTCATGACCCAACTAGGGAACGTCATCAGTGCTGGAAGGTAGGAGGAAGGAAGGAAGGAAAGAAGGAAGGAAGGAAGGAAGGAAGGAAGGAAGGAAGGAAGGAAGGAAGGAAGGAAGGAAGGAAGGAAGGAAGGAAGGGACTGTGGGGTCCTTGGTGCTCTCTGAGGTTGGCGGTTTTCTTGCAGACGTCTCATGACCGAACTAGGGAATGTCATCAGTGATAGGAGGGAGGGGGGGTTGAAAGGGAGGAGGAGGAGGAGGAGAAGAAGAAAGAGGAGGGGGAGGGAAGGGGGAGTAGAATGACTATGGGGTCCTTGGTGCTCTCGGAGCTGGGCGGTTTTCTTCCAGACGTTTCACGACCCAACTAGGGAACGTCATCAATCCCAATCGCTGAGGATGTTTCGTAATTGGGTAAAGAAACGTTTACAAGGAACCAACAAGCTCAGAAAGCACCAAGAATCCCCCCCTCCTCCTCCTCTTCCTCCTCTCCCTTCCAGCACTGATGATGTTACCTAGTTGGGTCATGAAACGTCTGGCGAAAAACCACCAAGCTGAGAGAGCACAAAGGACCCCACGGTCCTTTTCCTCTTCTCAGTCTACTGCCTCCTCCTCCTCCTCTTCTTCCTTCTCCTCCTCCTCCTCCTTCAAATCCCCCTCCCTTCCAGCACTGGTGATATTCCTTAGTTGGGTGATGAAACGTCTGCAAGAAAGCCACCAAGCTGAGAGAGAGCATAAAGGACCCCACTGTTCATCTCCTTCCTCCTCCCCCTCCTCCTCTTCTTCCTCCTCTTCCTCCTCCTCCCCCCTCCTCCTCCTTCAAACCACCCTGTCCCTTCCAGCACTGATAAGGTTCCCTAGTTGGGTCATGAAACGTCTGCAAGAAAACCCCCCAGCTCAGTGGCCACCCAGGACCCCATAATCCACCCATCAATCCCAAAACCCAGCTCCCTTACGGACACTCCGCAATGCTGGGAAGGGGGGGGGGAGGAAAGAGTAGGAGAGGACAACTGTGCCGGAAGGTGGGTGGACGCCGAGTGGTGATGGGGACACCCGGTGAGAAGACGTGGCGACGCGGGAGATCGGATCGTCCTCTGAAGAAAGATCTCCCCGTGCGCTGGAGGAGAACTTGCATCCCCTGGACGTCGCGGGATCGATCCAGGCCGCCGAGCGGGAGCCGAAGCAGAAACACGCCAAGGCACAGACACACAAACCCGCAAGCGCACCCCGCCGCCCCTTCTCACCGAGCGTCAGTCGTCCCGGCTGACCGACGATCGACTTCGCCGATCGAAAAATATATCGGTCCCTTGCTTCTCATCTCGGTCTCTTTTAGGAGAAAGCGGGGCCGGGAAAACGGAAGCCAGCAAGTATATCATGCAGTACATCGCCGCCATCACCAATCCCAGCCAGCGGGCCGAAGTGGAAAGGTAAGCCAGTCCCGAGTGTCCTCGGCTTACGACCGTTTCATTTAGCGACCCTCCGAAGTAACGGCGGCGGCGAGCAAAGGAAGTTAGGCCGTGATCAAAATTTCAAGGTTACGTGATCACAATGCAGACCCTGGGCAACCGACTCGTGTTTACGACGGTCGTAGCGTCCCGGGGTCACGTGATCAAAATTCAGACAATGGGCAACCGACTCGTATTTACGACGGGTCGCCGCATCCGCGGGTCACGTGATCCCCGTTTGCGACCTGCTAACAAGCCAGGTGGACTGTGAGTCTCTTAATAGCTGCAGGGATTCACTCAACAACGGTGGGAAGAGAGGTTGTAAAACGGGGCGAAACTCACTTAACACACGTGTCACTTTGCAAGGAAATGTTGGACTCCATTGGGGTCGTAAGGCAAAGCCATCCATCCATCTGTGTCTCAACTCTGGCAATTTTAAAACTGTGGACTTTCATTCCCAGAATTCCCCAGCCAGCATGCTTTAAGAGGGGAGGACTTCCACTCCCAGAATCCCCCAGCCGGCATGCTTTAAGAGGGAATGACTTCCACTCCCAGAATCCTCCAGACTGTATGCTTTAAAATGGGAGGACTTCAACTCCCAGAATCCCCCAGCCAGCGTGCCTTAAGAGGGAAGGACCAACTCCCAGAATCCTCCAGACTGTATGCTTTAAAATGGGAGGACTTCAACTCCCAGAATCCCCCAGCCAGCATGCTTTAAGAGGGGTGGACTTCAACTCCCAGAATCCCCCAGCCAACATGCTTTAAGAGGGATGAACTTCAACTCCCAGAATCCCCCAGCCGGCCTGCTTTAAGAGGGGTGGACTTCCGCTCCCAGAATCCCCCAGCCAGTCTCAAAATTGCTCAGGTCACAAACCACCACACAAGGCCTGGGAATCCAGGAAATAAATGAGCTATCTGATACACACACACACACACACACACACACACACACACACACACACACACACCCCTTTACATCGTCTTCCTAACGAGGCTGCGAGGTAGGATCGTCAAAGAGAAAGGAGAAGAAAAAGCCAGCGGAGGGCTTCATTGGGGAGGGGGGGGCCAGGAAGACCCCCCTAACTCCCCCCTCCAAGTAATTCTTTTGCGTTTCTTCCACCTTCTCCAGGGTCAAAAACGTCCTGCTCAAGTCCAACGGCGTGCTGGAGGCCTTCGGCAACGCAAAGACGAACCGCAATGACAACTCCAGCCGCTTCGGCAAATACATGGACATCAATTTTGACTTCAAGGGGGATCCCACCGGAGGACACATCAGCAACTACTTGTTGGAAAAGGTGGGGAAGGTGTCTCAAAGCAGGAGTTATTTTGGGGGGGGGTCACGTTCCACTCACGGGGTCATCTAAAATCCACATTTATGGCGGCGAGGGACTTGCCACGGCCCAGTTTGTCGAGAAACATACAAATGGAGCCTGGGGGGGGGTTAGGGTTTCAAACTGGACAACTGAAAGAGGGAGGGACTTCAGCTCCCAGAATCCCCCAGCCAGAAAGCTTTCAGAGGAGTGGACTTCGACTCCCAGAATCCCTCAGCCGGCATGCTTAAAGATGGGTGGACTTCAACTGCCAGAATCCCCCAGTCAGTGTCCTTTTAGAGAGATGGACTTCAGCTCCCAGAATCCCCCAGACAGTATGCCTTATGAGGAATGGACTTCAACCTCCAGAATAGCCCAGTGAGCATGCTTTAAGAGAGGTAGACTTCAACTCCCAGAATCCCCCAGACAGTATGCCTTATGAGGAGTGGACTTCAACTCCCAGAATCCCCCAGTGAGCATGCTTTAAGAGGGGTGCACTTCAACTCCCAGAATCCCCCAGTGAGCATGCTTTAAGAGGGGTGCACTTCAACTCCCAGAATCCCCCAGTGAGCATGCTTTAAGAGAGGTGGACTTCAACTCCCAGAATCCCCCAGTGAGCATGCTTTAAGAGAGGTGGACTTCAACTCCCAGAATCCAACAGTGAACGTGCTTTAAGGGGGATGGATTTCAACTCCCAGAATCCCCGAGTGAACATGCTATAAGAGGGGTGGACTTCAATTCCCAGAATTCCCCAGTGAGCATACTTTAAGAGAGGTGGACTTCAACTCCCAGAATCCTCCAGTGAGCATGCTTTAAGGGGGATGGACTTCAACTCCCAGAATCCCCCAGTGAGCATGCTTTAAGAGTGTTGGACTTCAACTCCCAGAATCCCCCAGCAGGCATGCTTTACAAGGGATGGACTCCAACTCCCAGATTAGACCCTCAGAAGGTGGTTCTCCTACATGGGTTCCAATAGCTGCTCCGTCTTGTAGGAAGGCTTTGGGTATCAAGGCATCTGTCCACCCGGGTCCTCCAGATGACCTCACGTTCTCCTTCTCTTGCAGTCGCGGGTCCTCAAACAGCAACCTGGGGAGAGAAACTTCCACGTCTTCTATCAGGTGGGTTGACTTCTCCTGCTGGAGGACCCGCCAATGTCCTTCTTTTTTCTCGTTTTGTTTCTCGGAGGTCATCTGGGCAGCCGTTGAGCGAGACGGGTCACGGTGAAGCACCAGATCCTAGCTGGATGACCACCACGATCTACGTTGAGATGTTCTGAGGTCTTCCTCAATTGGAGCATGGACTTGCCTCTTCAACGGAGCGTCCTTTGAGGACACTCAAGGCTAGGGAACATTGTCGTGTCCGGGAAAGATCTTGTCGCGTGTCCGCTAGATCAGGTGGCCCCAACCTGTGGGCTGCGGCTCACTTCTGCGTCACGGTCTGTTGGCCACCAGGCCGCGTGAGCGGCCGGCTGTTGCCAGGTGCGCACGCATGCGGACTGCCCCACTCGTACGAGTGTCGCTGCGAGTGTCACTGATGTTTGCAGCCCCACTCATGCGAGCGTCGCTGCGAGTGTCACTGATGTTTGCAGTCCCACTCGTGCGAGCGTCACCGGTATTACGGCCCCACTCGTGTGCACATTGCGGGCATTCACAGCCCCGCTCGTACAAGCGTTGCAGGCGTTCGTAGCGCCATTCGTTTCAGTGTCGTGTGCTATCCTGCCCCCCGCTTGCGTGAGTATCGCGGATGCTCACGGTCCCACTCGTACGAACATTGCCATGAGCGTCACAGGCGTTCCAGACCCCATTCGTGCGAGTCTCACGAGCGTTCACCTTTCCACTCAGGGCGAGCATCAGAGGTTTTCGCGGCCCCACTTGTGCAAGCGTCACAGGGGTTCACGGCCCCCCTTGTGCGAGCGTTGTGGGTGTCCGCAGTCCCACTCGTCCAAGCATCATGGGCGTTCATGGTCCCACTCGCAGAAGTGTTGTGGACACTCGCGGTCCCACTCATGCAAGCTGTTCATGTGCAGACAGTTGTTTTATGAGTTTTGTTCCATTTTACAACCTTTCTTGGCCCGGTTGTTAAGTGAATCGCTGCAGTTGTTGAGCTAGTCACACAGTCGTGAAGTGAATCTAGCTTTCCCTTTGAAGGTCGTAAAAGAGGATCACATCACCCCAGGACACTGCAACCGTCATCGGTGTGAATCAGTTTCCAAGTGTCTGAATTTGATCCCGCGATCACGGGGATGCCGCAATTGTCATAAAGTGTGAAAAACGGTCAAAAGTCACCGTCGAAACTTTGAAAGGTCACTAAAGGAAGGTTGTAATTGGGGACTCCCTGTATTGTGCCTCACCTATAGGGAGAATCTTGCTGAACGAAAGCAGACGAACTTGCCGTGTAAAATATTTACATTGGGAACCATTGAGGAGGTGCTGTCTTCACCCTCATTCTCACACACAAAGTCTCTAAAATGGCTGTTTCTTGCTCCTCTGATCTGCAGCCCCTCCCTCCTACCTGGAAACCCGGACCGTGTTCCCTCGTGGTCCACCTTTCCCATCATCCTGAACTTTACCTAATGGTTTGATCTGCCCCTGGAAAAATTCTCTTTATATTTTAGCTTCCGATTCACTTAACAACCATGGGATTCCTTGAACAACTGCAGGGAACCCAACATTTCTGTTGCTAAGTGAGACATTTTGTTAAGTAAGCTTTGAGCCCTTTTTACGACCTTTCTTGCCGCATCTGTGAAGCATATCCCTGTCGTTGTTAACTTAGTGACCTGGTTGTTAAGTGAATCCAGCCCCCTTATTGCTTGTCAGAAGGTCACTAAAAGGGGATCACGCGGCACTACGCACTCGTCGTAAATAGGAGTCAATACCAAATGTCTGAATTTTGATCACATGACCACGGGGATACGGTAACGGTTGTAAGTGCGAAAAACAGTCATAAGTCACTTTTTTCGATGTTGTCCCTAAACGAATCGTCGTACATCGAGGGCTATCAAATTATTATTTGATATTTTTTTCCCCAGTTGCTTCTTGGTGCCTCGGACACTAAGCTGAAATCTCTCCACCTGGTTGGAGACCCAACGGCCTACAGGTTTACCAAGGAGGGTGGTAGTAATAACAGGGTAAGTAAAACACAGTTTAATCCGTGGCAACTCGTCCTTCTAGTCATAAGAAGAAGCAGAGAAGCATGGATTGTCACAAAGGAAGTGGGGGAAAAACAAAGAAAATTAAGTTTATTGGAAGATGTTATGAAGAGGCAGATTATGTACAGTTATTCCACGATTGAGCCCTGAGCGTAAAGTGGTTCATAAGTAGAGTGAATATCCAAGCCCCCACCCCCACCCCGATTAATTCTTGCTTTTATTTTACCCCTTTGGTTGTTCTCCATTGTCTGGCCTTGCACCTTCTGCCCTCCCAAGTCTTTGGACAGTGAGAAAACCACCTATCAATCCGTCCTGGATGCCATGAAAGTGATCGGTTTTATTTCTGAAGAGATCGATTCCGTGCAGAAGATCCTGGCAGCCATTTTACACTTGGTAAATGACATTGATTTGATATTTTACTGGCCCACCCTTCGATGGCTTGTCGGAGTTTTTGTAACGTTTCACAGTAGACTTCCGAATTGATGGTCCATAAACTTCGCTAGCCGTACTCCTTTGCCATCGTCACATTTGGCGGGAAGGGGTGCCATAGAAAATCCCGCCAAATGTGAAGATGCCAACAGAGTACAGCTAGCGAAGTTTATGGAGTCTGGTTCGACCATCAATTCAGACACCTACTGTGAAAAGTTACGAAAACTCAAACGAGCCCTCCATAACAAGTGTCGGCGCATGCCGACTTCCGGTGTGGTGTCGGTTCGTGACAATGCTCGCCCACACAACGCTAGACGCACCCGAGAACTTTTGAAGCCGCCTCCGTTGGGATGTTTTTGATGAAGGATGACCTGTATTTGAGGTCTGATGGATCCTTTTGTCCACTGACTTTCCAGGGCAACGTGAATTTCACCTGCTCCGGCGACGAGGTGGCCGTCGAGGACCCACAAATGGTCTCTTACCTTGCGGAGTTGACTTCCACCAAGAGGGAGAGTCTCCTCAACACGCTCCTATACCGGATGGTGGCTACGGGCAGTGGCGAGGTGATCCAAAAAGGCCACAGTCATGATGAGGCCAACTACGTACGGGATGCCTGCGCCAAGGTAACGCCGAGATTCGGCTGGATACAAGACCATCCGTGGTCTGATGGGGTTTCGGGTGGATGTTGACCTGGTTGCGCAACTGCCTGCTTCATGTTAGGCAGAAATGTTTTTTTTCCCCTCAGGATGTAAGAGAGCAGACTTGTATAGAGGTCTCAGGAATAAACAGATATTTGGTTTGGTTTTTTACTTCATTTTCATTTTATTTCACTTTACATTATCTATCTATCTATCTATCTTTATTTTATTTATTTTATTTTATTTTATTTTATTATTTTATTTATTTTTTATTTTATTACTTTATTTATTTTTTATTTTATTTTATTTTATTATTTATTTTATTTTGTTTTGTTATTGTATTGTATTTTGTTTTATTATTTTATTTTATTTTTGTTTTACTTATTTTCTTTATTTATTTAAATTTCATTTCCTTTTCATTTGACTTTACTTATTATTTTATTTTATTTTATTTTATTTTATTTATTTATTTATTACTATTTTATAGTATTTTATTTCATTTCATTTCATTTTTGTTGTACTTATTTTATTTATTTAAATTTCATTTCCTCTTCATTTTACTGGAATTATTTTAGTTATTTATTTCATTTTTATTTTATTGTTTTCATTTCATTTTACTTTTACTTGACTTATTATTTTATGTGTTTATTTTAATTTTATTTGGTTTCATTTGACTTTCACTTGACTTATTTTGTTTCTTGATTTAAATTTAATTTCATTTTTTTCATTTTCATTTTACTTTGTTGTTTTATTTATTTCTCTTAATTTTATTTTATTTCGTTTTCAGTTGACTTGACTTATTATTTTATTCGTTGATTTATTTAAATTTTATTTTGTTTCGTTTTATTTTACTTCACTCATTGCATTGACCTTCATTTTATTTTATTTCCTTTTCATTTTACTTACTTATTTATTCATCGTAATTTCAATTTATTTCATTTTCCTTTCCCTGTTATTTAATTTATTTATGTATCTTCATTTCATTTGACTTTATTTTGCTTTGTTAATTTATTTATTTTTATCTGGGTCTTTTTTAAAATTTTCCTTTATTTTACTTTATGGTTTTCTTTATTTTTTTTACTCCTCTTCTTTTAATTTGATCTCACTTTTATTTTGTTACTTGATTTGATTTTTATCCTTTATTTTATTGTATTTTTATTATTTTTCTATACCCCTCCTTTCATCATTTTTATAAAATGGGTCAAGTGGCAAAGGTATCTAATGTTCCTTCTGCCTCTTATTTTCCCCACAACGTACTCTGTGAGGTGGGTTGGGCTGAGAGAGATGGACGGGCCCAAAGTCATCAGATTCGCTTTCATGCCTAAAGCGGGACTAGAACTCACAACATCCCGGTGATTGGGCCAAAATCATCCAGCTGGATTTCAGGCTCAAGGCAGGACTAGAACTCACCGTCTCCCACTTTCTAGCTTGGTTCCTTCGCCACGGCACCAAACTAGCTCTGAAATCCAAACTCTTGTGCTTCCTCGATCTTCCCCAATTTCGGTGTCTGACTTCACCGCATCTTAAAGAGGACACGTTTCGCGTCCTTCAACCCGATTCGTCCCCAGCACGACGACTGTGCGCTCTTGTCCCCGTGTTTGTCCACACAGGCTATTTACGAGCGGCTGTTTTGTTGGATTGTGAACCGCATCAACGCCACCATCGAGGTCAAGAACTACGACCCGCGAATCCATGGCAAAAATACGGTCATCGGGGTCTTGGACATATACGGCTTTGAGATTTTCGGCAGCAACAGGTAGAAGACCCCAGGAGAATTCTCTGGATCAGGAGTCCTCGCTTAACGACCACCATTGGGCTTGGGATTTTTGGCCGTCAGTTGTTGTTAAATGGGCCGTCGCTGGCCGACTGGCCAATTTTATGACTGTGTTGTGATCCTATAGCACAGCGGCTCTCAACCTATGGGTTGCGACCCCATTTGGGGTCGATCGACCATTTCATGGGGGTCGCCAAGCAAGGCTGTCCGCCATTTTTTTCCCCTTTTCCAGCAGGTTCCTTACCTCCCTTGGGCTGGGCCAGCCGGTGGCCCAGGCAGTGGTCGGCTTGCTCCGTCTCTGCCGCTTGCCAGCTACGCCTTGGCCAGCGCAGGGAGCGGCACCACGCATGTGCGGCGCTCCCGGGCAGGGAAAGTCCTCGACTTACGACCGGTTGGGTAGTCCTCGAACCGCTTGGTTGTTAAGTGAATCCTTATTAAGCTCACAAGGAGAAACCCCTCTTCCAGCAAGCAGGCTGGAACCGCAGGAAAAAAACCAATCCCCTTTTATTATTCACAGACCTGAGTCAATCTCCGAGGCAAACAAAACGCAGTTCACAGAATCTCGATGCCTCAACACAAACAGTTGCCTTCGGCAACCAGCACCTCCCACCCCTTCCCTTTTATAATTCAGCCAAGGCGTGGCTTGCTAATGCCTTCTCCTTTGCCTCTGGAGCCGCCCCATTGCATTCCTCTGTCCTACACGCTTCTCTTGCCGGCGCTTTCGTGCATCCTGGATTTGTCCCAGCTGTTCCTCATCACTGTCCAAATGAGGCTCCCAGCACAGCTGTGTCTCAGCCTGAGCGCGAGTAGAGGGGCCAGGCTCCTCATCCGACTGTAAGTCTTGGAGCTCCTCAGAGCCTTCCTCCTCCTCTGATGTCACTCCAGGCCCTTCTTCCTCCTCCTCTGATTCCTCAGACTCAGCTGCCAGGTCCACTGGCTGGCGAGGAATCACAGCACTGACAAACTAATTCAATGGGGATGCCAGATTTAACAGTCGTCTTACTAGGTTAACAATTGCAGCGATTCACTTAACAACTGTGGCAAGAAAAGATTGTGAAACAGGGCAAAACTCAACAACTATCTTGCTTAGCGACAGAAATCGGAGGTTGTAAGTTGAGTACCTATAGGAAGAGCATCATAACGAGAGTATGTCTTATCTTAACTTTCTTTGAGGATGTCGTAATTTGGAACGGGGGTTCAGCGAACGGTCATGAAACAAGGATGGATGGGTACTTGGGTGTTTTTTGTTGGAGAGCGATCCTGATCTTCTCAGCCTCTTCTTCCAGCTTCGAGCAGTTCTGCATCAACTACTGCAACGAGAAGCTGCAGCAGCTGTTCATCGAGCTGATCCTCCAACAGGAACAGCAGGAATACCAGCGCGAGGGGATTGAATGGCAGCACGTGAGTCCCTTAAACTCTTCCTCAGTTAGCGTCCCGGTGGGAAAGAGAGGGGCAGGCGTCGTATGTGCACATGCGCAAATGTGAGCGCAGCAACAGTTCTGAGTGCGAGGAATGATCCTAAGTCCCTTTTGATCAGCATTGTTACAACTTTGAGCCATCATTAAACGAATGGTTGTAAGTCAAGGACTGGCCAGCAGTCCTTTTTTTTCACCACTGTCGTAACTTGGAATGGTGATTAAACCAGTGGTTCTCAACCTGTGGGTCGGGACCCCATTTGGGGTCGAACGACCATTTCACGGGGGTCGCCAAACAACGCAGTCCGCCATTTTTTCCCCCTTTTCCTTAGCTGTGCTACTCCCTTTTATTCTATTGGCTTTTATAAGCCAATAGAATAGACTCTCTTGAATAGAGTCTAATTCTATTGGCTTTCAAAAGCCAATAGGAATTGTCCAGGCTGTCTCTGCCCTGCTGAGCCTGCCAAAAGTCCCATTCTGCAAACGGTACTGCATCAGTTGAGTAATCCTCGACTTACGATCGGTTGAGTAGTCCTCGACTTACGACCAGTTGGGGGTCACGGCATTAAAAAGGTTGAGAACCACTGGATTAAATGAAAGGTTGTAAATCAAGGACTACCTGTACCTGGGTTTTCAAATCTCACACTCTCTAGAGTGGTCTTTCTCAACCTGTACAACTTTTCAGAAGTGTGGACCTCAGCTCCAGAATTCCCCAGCCAGCATGGTTGGCTGGGGAATTCTGGGAGTTGTAGTCCACACACTTTAAAGCAGCCAAGTTTGAAAAAAAAATCTGCTTTACCTTCTCTTGCCAAGCAGCACTTCTGCCTTCTTTTGACAGATTGAATATTTCGACAATCAAATCATCGTCGATCTGGTAGAAGAGTCGCACAAGGGTATTATTGCGATATTGGAAGAAGCTTGCTTGACCGTGGGGAAAGTCACCGATGCCCTTTTCTTGGAGAGCATGGATGCCAGGCTTGGCAAACACCCCCATTATACCAGCAGGAAGGTAAGAGGATTGTAGGAGTAATATCCCGTAACAAAGATAATCCGAGAATCCTTTTCCGCTGGCGCCAAATACGAGGAACAAAATTTGGCGATCACGGGGGGATGTTTTTCTTTTTCGTTTTTCCTGAATAACCTGGGTGACACGGTAGCAGGGTGGGAAATTCTAAAATTTAAAGAAAGCAACAATGTGGTTCAAACCCAGGGCATACATAGGGAGAGAAGGGAGTGGGCTATTGACGACAGACAGTCCTCGAGTTACGACGACAACGCGGGCCAGAATCTCTCTTACTAAGCAAGGTGGTTCTTAAGTGAGTCGCCCGACTCACATTTCAATTCAGTGAATTGCTGCTGTTGTTAAGTGAGTCACATCATTGTTAAGTGAAACCAGCTTCCTCAATTGATTGCTTGTCGAAAGCCGGCTGGGAAGGTTGCAAATGGCGATCATGTGACCTCGAGATGTTGCAACCATCGTAAATACATGCCGGTAACTAAGTGCCCAAATTTGATCACATGTTTGCGGGGAATGCTGCAATGGTCATAAGTGTGAGGACTAGTCATAAGTCATGTTTTTTTCAGTGCCATTTTAACTTTGAACAGTCACTAAACGAATGGTCGTATGTTGACCACACGTTATTATAAAGCTTTCAGAAAACTGTACTTTAGATTTATTTAGCTTTAGCTTTAGCCAAAAATTCACTGTTGTCCTTTCTTTTACCGTACAAATGATGTTGCCGAATGCAGTTTTTCACATCCATGGGAAAAATATAGAAATTAAGATTGCGTTTTAAAAATAAACAATATATACCTTTCGATTTCTTGATATTTTTATTAATATACGTGGATGTATAAACTTCTTCATGGTTTTGCTCTTGAATTTTCCTTTAAAAAAGCAAAGTGATGAACATAAACAATTACAGGTAACCAGTGGTGGGATTCAGCTGGTTCGCACCAGTTCATGAGAACCGGTAGCTAAATTTACCTGAATTCGGAGAACCGGCTGGCTGCTGGAAGTCCAGTCTAGGCCTCGGAGGCCTCCCAGACCTTAGAACGAGCCACCGGAAGTGCATGGATACCACTTCTGGAAGTCCATTCTAGGCATCGGAGGCCTGAAGGAGGCCCCCCAGGCCTAGAACGGCCCACAGGAAGTGCGTGGATGCCACTTCCGGAAGTCTGTTCTAGGCATCAGAGGCCTCCAGGCCTAGAACGGCCCACAGGAAGTGCGTGGATGCCACTTCCGGAAGTCTGTTCTAGGCATCAGAGGCCTCTAGGCCTAGAACGGCCCACAGGAAGTGCGTGGATGCCACTTCCGGAAGTCTGTTCTAGGCATCAGAGGCCTCCAGGCCTAGAACGGCTCACAGGAAGTGCGTGGATGCCACTTCCGGAAGTCTGTTCTAGGCATCGGAGGCCTCTCAGGCCTAGAATGGCCGACAGGAAGTGCATGGATGCCACTTCCGGAAGTCTGTTCTAGGCATCGGAGGCCTCCCAGGCCTAGAACGGCCCACCGGAAGTGCATGGATACCACTTCCGGAAGTCCTTTCTGGGCATCTGAGGCCCAGGCCTGCATCACACAATAGAACCGGTTGTTCAGATATTTGGATCCCACCACTGCAGGTAACCCTTGATTTAAGCCTACAGTTGGATTTGGAATTTTGGTCATACCTTGGGGTGTTCATTAAGTGGCTGATCATGTGACCTGACTCGATTGTACGATCAAGTGAGTCACGGCAATAGCTAAGCAAACCACGTGGTGAATCCGGGGTACGCAATCCCGCCCCCCTTTTTTTTGCTGTTTACGGCTTCATCACTTGAAAACAAATGGGGCAAGGGAAAGGATACATCCACCACACAACTCGACCATGAACGATTCCGGCTTGTGTGTTCCCCCAGCTCAATTCCGCCGACAAATCCATGGAGTACGGACGGGATTTCCGGATCAAGCATTACGCAGGAGACGTTACGTGAGTGTTTTTCCTGAATGGTTCCCCCCTTACTTCCACTTCCTCTCGATGAAGAAGGTATGCTGGGTGTTGGGGAATCCTGGGAAGTGAAACCCACCCCTCTTAAAGCATGGTGGCTGGGGAATTCTGGGAACCGATCCATCCATGCTGGCTGGGGAATTCTGGGAGTTGAAGTCCACCCCTTCTTAAACCATGGTGGCTGCAGAATTCTGGAAGTTGAAGTCCACCTCTCTGAAAACACGGTGGCTGGGGAATTCTGGGATTTCATCCATCCATGCTGGCTGGTGGATTCTGGGAGTTGAAGTCCACCTCTCTTAAAGCACGGTGGCTGGGGAATTCTAGGATTTCATCCATCCATGCTGGCTGGGGCATTCTGGGAGTGGAAGTCCACCTCTCTTAAAGCACGGTGGCTGGGGAATTCTGGGATTTCATCCATCCATGCTGGCTGGGGCATTCTGGGAGTGGAAGTCCACCTCTCTTAAAGCATGGTGGCTGGGGATTCTGGGAGCTGAATTCTTCCCCTCATAAAGCATGGTGGCCGGGGAATTCTGGGAGTTGAAGTCCTCCCCTCTTAAAGCACGGTGGCTGGGGGATTCTGGGAAACGATCCATCCATGCTGGGCGTTGGGGAATTCTGGGAGTCGAAGTCCACCCGTTTTAAAGGGATCCATTTTGCAAAAAGATGTCCTTTGACTGAGTTGAGCCCGAGGATCACGCTGCACAAAATGGCCGTTACTTTCTGCCTCAGATCTACCCCGCTCACTGCATGTCTGAATCTGGTGTTTCAGGTATTCCGTGGAGGGATTCCTAGACAAGAACAAGGATTTTTTGTTCCAGGATTTCAAGCGACTGCTGTTCAACAGGTATGTCAGACGGAGGCCATGTGGGAGAGCTCTGGATTTCAAAAAAAAAAAAACCCCCCAAAAAACCCCAAACTGATTTGGACAATTTGACCACCAACTTCAGGGGACCGAGAATCCTCCACTTACGACCGCGGTACAGCCCCAACGTTTCGGTCGCTAAGCGAGACAGCCGTTGAGTGAGTTTTGGCCCCCGTTCGATGACCTTCCTCACCCTCTCACTCTGCAGTTCTTCCGTTAGCCAGAAGTTGGTTATGTCAATCTGGCTTCCCCAGCTAACCTGGTTTGTCAGAAAAGAGCTCAAGAAGTCATGTGGTCGTTAAGCAAACCTGGCTTCCCATCGGTTTGGCTTGTCAGGAGGTCAGAAAAGGGGACATAGCACGACCCCCAGGGGACACTGCGACCGTCATAAAGGGGAGTCCGTCGCCGAGCGGGTGGATTTTGATCCCGTGACCGTTGGGGAATAGAGAATAGATTCTATTATTGCGTAAAGGTCTCCTGCTTGAGCAGGGGGTTGGACTAGATGACCTCCGAGGTCCCTTCCAACCCTGTTACTCTATGATTGTGTAAGGGTCTCCTGCTTGAGCAGGGGGTTGGACTAGATGACCTCCGAGGTCCCGTCCAGCTCTTGTTATTCTGTTCGGGCCTCTTGCAACGGCGATTGTCATTGTGAAAAGCGGTCCTAAGGCATTTTTTTTTCAGGGCCGTCGTAACTTCGAACGGTCACTAAATGAACTTTGACACGTTGAGGAGTGCCAGCATTAGTCTGTTTTTTTTTTGTTTTGTTTTAATGACCTTCCCTGATCTTGGCGTCGAGTCAGTTTCAGGGTATTGCAGGCCTCCGAAGGCGTCGGACTACAACGCCCATCGTGCTGAGCCAGCACCTAGGACCCCTGACGGGAAGAGGCCCCCCGACCGCCCCTTAGAGGCGACTTCAAAGTCTCCACGGTCGTCGGTGGCAAATAACCCCCCCCAACCTTTTCCACCGTCGTCCTTTCCTCCCGGCCGCCATCTTGACTTTTTTGACCCCCTCGGGGGGTGTCTTTTCCCAGCGCGGACCCCATCCTTCAGGAGATGTGGCCGGAGGGCAAGCAGAGCATCACGGAAGTCACCAAACGCCCCCTGACGGCGGCCACCCTGTTCAAGAACTCCATCGTGGCCTTGGTGGAGAACCTAGCTTCCAAGGTACGTCCCAGGCCTTCCTTCTCCTCTAGTCTTCCTCAGCCATGGCAACCTGAAGATGGGTGGACTTCAATTCCCAGAATTCCCTAGTGCTGGGAGCGGGGCTCCCAAAACAGAGACGGAGGTCACTGGAGGACCTTGGTAGGTAGTCGAGTTGAAAGTCAGTGGACAGTGGAGTTGAAGTCCACCCATCTTCAAGTAGCCAAGCTTGAGAAGCATCGTTCTACTTCCTGTTCTTCGTGACGTCAACCAACCTTCTGTGATCTGGATCTTGATTTTGGCCAACCTGAAGACAGATGGACTTCAACTCCCAGAAGCCTCCAGTCCTATGAACAGGACTCTGAAAGAGGGAGACTGGGCCTAACAAGCCTCAGTAGCAGTGGTTGGATTCAGCTGGTTCACACCAGTTTGGCAGAATCGGTAGATAAATTTTGCTGAGTTTGGAGAACCGGCTTAATGCACAGTACTTCCAGAAGTCCAGTCTAGGCCTCGGAGGTCTGGAGGAGACCTCCCAGGCCTAGAATGGCCCACCGGAAGTGCATGGATGCCACTTCCGGAAGTCTGTTCTAGGCCTCGGAGGTCTGGAAGAGGCCTCCCAGGCCTAGAACAGCCCGCTGGAAGTGCGTGGATGCCACTTCTAGAAGTCTGTTCTAGCCTTCGGAGGCCTGGAGGAGGCCTTCCAGGTCTAGAACGGCCTGCCGAAAATGCATGGATGCCACTTCCAGAAGTCTGTTCTAGACCTCGGAGGTTTGGAGGAGGGCTCCCAGGCCTAGAACGGCCCGCTGGAAGTGCATGGATGCCACTTCTGGAAGTCTGTTCTAGGCCTCGGATGCCTGGAGGAGGCCTTCCAGGCAAAGAACGGCCTGCCGGAAATGCATGGATGCCACTTCCAGAAGTCTGTTCTAGGCCTCGGAGGCCTGGAGTAGGCCTCCCAGGCCTAGAACAACCCGCTGGAAGTGCATGGATGCCATTTCCGGAAGTCCGTTCTAGGCCTTGGAGGCCCAGGCCTGCGTCCAATAAGAGAACCAGTTGTTCAGGTATTTGAATCCCACCACTGCTTCCCAAGTATCTCAGAGCCTCCTTCTATGTTCCTCAACCGTGGCAATTTGAAAATGGGGGACTTCAACTCCCAGAATTCCCTAGCCTTCCGAATTGTGCTTTTAAAGAGTGAGATAGGGACAAGCCAGCATCTGGGGCTCCTTTCCGGTTGGAGAAGGAGGAACTCCGGATGGGGAGGGCGTTGCGACTGTCGCCCGTCTATTTTCAGCTTCGCTGGCAGCTAAAATGAGAGGGCTGCCAGAGGGCGGCTTGTGCATGACTGGTGTGCTATAAATAAGCCACACTGAGATGCAGATTATGGTTAGTTTTAAAGGTTTATTACGCAACACCCCCACAAATACACAGCAAGCGCCGAAGCATTTAAGGCTCTAAAATCTTGTAAAAGTCGATATATCGGAGTCAGACGTCAGCTGAAATCCTCTTCAGTATAGGTGACACAAACACACTCCTTCTGGCTGTTAGCAAGTTTTTACAGGTAGTCCTTGATTTAGGCCCACAACTGAGCCCCCAAATGTCCGTTGCTAAGTGAATTTTCCCCCTTTTACGACCTTCCAGGCAATCATTGTTAAGTGAGTCACTGAGGCTGGGCAAGAGTAACCCGCAAAAAGGGGATCGTGTGACCCCTGGCACATGGCAACTGTTGTAAACACATGCTGGATCATGTGATTGTGAGAATGCGACAATAGTCGTAAGTCTGAGGACCGGTCGTCAGTCACATTTTTCAAGGCCATGGTAAACTTGAACAATCCCTAAATGAATATGGTCGTTAAGTTGAGGACTGCCTCTAGCATTAACGTCCCGTTTATGAAACCACAGGTGTATCGGTGATCCTCAGCTTACGACCGTTCACAGTGAACATTTCAAGTGACAACGGCCATGAAAAAAGCGACCAGGGACTGTTTCTCACACTTACGACCATTTCATCATCATTGAAATTCAGATGCTGGGCAACTGACTCATATTTATGACAGTGGCGGTGTCCCCTGCTGATCAGAAAGTCAGTGGGGAAAACAGATTTACCTCACAACGGTATGACTCACAACGGCAGGGCAACCACCACTTAACAAATGTCTTGCTTAGCAATGGAAGTTTGAGGTCGTAAGATGAGGGCTACCGTCCTATCGCACTTAGCAAGACCTGCCTGGTTTCAAATCTAGCGTCAGTTCTCGTGTCACCCGAGGAAACTTGATCTTATTTCCAACCCGAAATGCAATTTTAGCCGACGGGGCAAACTGGAGTCATGAGATGGGTCCTCTCCTTACTCCACATGTGCTCCTTTCTCCGCAGGAGCCCTACTACGTCCGTTGCATCAAGCCCAACGATCACAAGTCCCCGTTGCTGTTTGACGAGGAGCGTTGCCGTCACCAAGTGTCGTATCTGGGCTTGCTGGAGAACGTGCGGGTCCGAAGGGCCGGCTTTGCCTACCGGCAACCGTACCACCGTTTCTTGCTCCGGTAGGTTGACGGCAAAGTCTTGGCGCGCTTCCGGAAGGAACAAAAGACCCAGTGTTCTCTTAGGCAGCGTCCGGTGCCCTCGGGGTCTTCGGCCCTTCGTTTGAGCAGGGGGAGGAAGGTGCCGGATGCAGCTGGGAAATCTGATGGGCATCGTAATCCCCTCATCATAATCACGTCTTCTTTAACCACACTCTCTTCTAGCACGGATGATGTTACCTAGTTGGGTCATGAGATGTCGGCATGAAAACAAGCAAGCTCAGAGGGCAGCAAAGACCCACAGTCGTCATCGTCTTCCTCCTCCTCCTCCTCCTCCTCCTCCTCCTCCTCCTCCTCTTCCTCCTCCTCCTCCTCCTCCTCCTCCTGTCTGCAAACCCCACTGCCTTCTAGCATGGATAATGTTCCCTAGTTGGGTCATGAAACGTCTGTAAGAAAACCACCGAGGACAGAGAGTACCAAGGACCTCATAGACCTTGTCTTCTTCTTCCTCCTCCTCTTCCTCCTCCTCTTCCTCCTCCTCCTCTCCACAAAGCCCCTAGCACTGATGATGTTCCCTAGTTGGGTCATGAAACCCCCAAGATCAAAGACAACACCCCACCACCACCTCAAGGGCCGACCAAAAAGAAAAAAAGGGATACAAATCCGAACGATCTGCTAGCTTTCTCCCTGTAGGGTCCCGTCTGCGGGGTTTTCATTTTGCAACGGCGAGAAACGTCCAACGGAGGAACGATTTGTCGCCGGACAAAATACCCGAGCGTTGCGCTCTGGAGCGGAAACGGACCCGTTGACTTTGAGCCGCCGAACCTCCGACGGTCTTCTGAAGGCCCTGTACACGCCGGTCAAAGCAAGCCCAGCTCTCAAACCTTCTTCTTCGCCCTCCCCACCAGGTACAAAATGACGTGCGAATACACCTGGCCCAACCACCTGATGGCCTCGGACGGCGCGGCCACCCAAGCCCTGATAGAGCAACACGGCTTCCAAGACGACGTGGCGTACGGGCAAACCAAGATCTTCATACGGACGCCGCGCACCTTGTTCGCCCTGGAGCAGGAGCGGGCCAACCTGATCCCCATCATTGTGTTGTTGTTGCAGAAGGTATCAAGGGGTTGTGGGCAGGGGTGGGATTCAAATCCCTGAACAACCGGGTCTCTTATTGGATATAATCCTGGGCCTCCGAGGCCTAGAACAGACTTCTGGAAGTGGCATCCACGCACTTCCGTGGGCTGTTCTAGGCCTGGGAAGCCTCCCCCAGGCCTCCGAGGTCTAGAACAGACTTCTGGAAGTGGTATCAATGCACTTCCGGCGGGCCATTCTAAGCCTGGAAGGCCTCCTCCAGGCCTCCCAGGCCTAGAACAGACTTCTGGAAGTGTCATCCACGCACATCCCGTGGGCTGTTCTAGGCCTGGGAGGCCTCCTCCAGGCATCCTAGAATGGACTTCTGGAAGTGGCATCCATGCACTTCTGGCAGGCTGATCTAGGCCTGGGAGGCCTCCTCCAGGCCTCCGAGGCCTAGAACGGACTTCTGGAAGTGGCATCCATGCACTTCCGGCGGGCCGTTCTAAGCCTGGAAGGCCTCCTCCAGACCTCCCAGGCCTAGAACAGACTTTCAAAAGTGGCATCCATGCCCTTCCGGCGGGCCATTCTAAGCCTGGAAGGCCTCCTTCAGGCCTCCGAGGCCTAGAATGGACTTCTAGAAGTGGCATCCACACACTTCCGGCAGGCCGTTCTAAGCCTTGAAGGCCTCCTTCAGGCCTTCGAGGCCTAGAACAGACTTCTGGAAGTGGCATCCACGCACTTCCAGCGGGCTGTTCTAGGCCTGGGAGGCCTCCTCCAGGTCTCCCAGGCCTAGAACAGACTTCTGAAAGTGGCATCCATGCATTCTGGCAGGCTGTTCTAGGCCTGGGAGGCCTCCCCCAGGCATCCGAGGCCTAGAACGGACTTCTGGAAGTGGCATCCACGAACTTCCGGTGGGCCGTTCTAAGCCTGGAAGGCCTCCTTCAGGCCTCCCAGGCCTAGAACAGACTTCTGGAAGTGGCATCCACGCACTTCCGGCGGGCCGTTCTAAGCCTGGAAGGCCTCCTCCAGACCTCTGAGGCCTAAAACAGACTTCGGAAGTGGCATCCACGCACTTCCAGCAGATGGTTCTAGGCCTGCCGAAGTGGTGCGAACCGGGTGAATCCTACCACTGGTTTGAGGTCAGCAATTGGTGGGCAAAGGCGGTGTGTCTGGTCCTCTCGTTCCAATGATAACTCAATCCATGAAACGGGCAGCGTACAGCACATTTAGCGTCCTGAAACGAAACTGTTGGAATTCTGGGTGGTCCTTGATTTACAACAGCGACTGTTCAAAGTTATAACGGCAGTGGAAAGACCTATGCAGCAGTCTTGCGAAGGAAAACTACGGATCCTGGCTTAACGCTCAGTATAACCATGTTACCGGAAGATGCTGGTTTCCAATGTCCTTATAGGTAAAGGTAGTCCTCAACTTACAACGGTGCATTTATAGTGACCGTTCAAAGTTACAACGGCAGTGGAAAGACCTATGTAGAAGTCTTGCGAAGGAAAACTACAAATCCTGGCTTAACGCTCAGTATAACCACTTTACCGGCAACGGTCGGTTTCCGATATCCTTATAGGTAAAAGTAATCCTCAACTTACAACGGTGCATTTATAGTGACCAGTTCAAAGTTACAACAGCTCTGAAAAAGAGTTATGACCATTTGTCCCGCTTAACAACCGTTGAAGCCTCCCGACGGTCACGTGGTTGAAATCCAGACACTCGGCAGCCAACTCGTACTTACGACCATCGCAGTGCCCTGGGATTACGCGATCCCCTTTGGCGATCTTCTGACGAATCAAGTCAAGGGAGGGAAAGCCCAATTCGCTTAACGACCGTGCGACTAAATTAACCCCCCGCACAACTTCACATGTGGCAAGACAGGTCGTAAAACGGGGCAAACTTAGCTTAACCAGCACAGATTAAGGTTGCTGTCGTAACACGAGGACTGCCTCTACAAGTGGGAGTATTAAGACGCCCTTGTATGCGTCTTCCTGATGTGGTTGTGCAGTGGTTGCGTTCTCCTAAAGAGGGAAACGTTAACAGGTCACAGGACTGAGGTGGTCCTCGCGTTACGACCACCACGGAGTTAACATTTTGTGTTCCGTGTTGTGAGTTCGAGTTCTGCTGTGCCTCTTATACCCAGGTCTGGAGAGGAGCCCTCGCCCGCAAACGGTGCCGGTACCTGCGGGCCATCTACACCGTCATGGCCTACTACAAGCGTCACAAAGTGAGGTCGCACCTGCTGGAGCTGGTAGAACGCTTCCAAGGGGTGCGCAACATGGCCGACTACGGCAAAGCTGTGGTGTGGCCCGAGCCTCCCGCTGTGCTGGCCCAGTTCCAGGAGACCAGCAAAGTCATCTTTTGCAGGTAAATCCTGCGGGATCCCTTTCCAGTTCTCCGTAATCCCGTGTTTTCGCAACCTTAGTGACGATCAAAGGGGTGGACTTCAACTCCCAGAATTCCCCAGCCTATATCCGTTCAGGTGAATACCAGCCTTCTTAAAGCATGCCAGCTGGGGGATTCTGGGAGTTGGTCCTCCCCTCTTAAAGCATGCCAGGTGGGGGATTCTGGGAGTGGAAGTCCTCCCCTCTTAAAGCATGCCGGGTGGGGGATTCTGGGAGTCGGAGTCCTCCCCTCTTAAAGCATGCCGGGTGGGGGATTCTGGGAGTGGAAGTCCTCCCCTCTTAAAGCATGCCGGGTGGGGGATTTTGGGAGTGGGAGTCCTCCCCTCTTAAAGAATGCCGGGTGGGGGATTCTGGGAGTGGAAGTCCTCCCCTCTTAAAGCATGCCGGGTGGGGGATTCTGGGAGTGGAAGTCCTCCCCTCTTAAAGCATGCCGGGTGGGGGATTCTGGGAGTGGAAGTCCTCCCCTCTTAAAGCATGCCGGGTGGGGGATTCTGGGAGTGGAAGTCCTCCCCTCTTAAAGCATGCCGGTTGAGGGATTCTGGGAGTTGGTCCTCCATTTCTTAAAGCATTTGAAGTTATTGACCGTCTCAATTTCGATGGGGGGGCATGGTCTTAAAAAGAAAGTCCCTGGTCCAGGGCTAGGCAACCTTGGCTCTTTCATGACTCGTGGACTTCAACTCCCAGAATTCCTCAGCCAGCCTGGCTCAGCTTGGAAACCTCTCCCTTTCCCCTCAGCATGCCTGGCTGAGGAATTCTGGGAGTTGAAGTCCACCAGTCATAAAAGAGCCAAGGTTGCCTATTCCTGGTATAGGGTGCCATGCTAGCAGAGGAATTCTGGGAGTTGAAGTCCCCTCATCTTCCTAGTAACTCAGGGGTAGGCCACCTTGGCTCTTTTATGACTGGTGGACTTCAACTCCCAGAATTCCTGAGCCAGCATGGCTCAACTTAGAAACCTGTCCCTTTCCCTTCAGCGTGGCTGGCTCAGGAATTCTGGGAGTTGAAGTCCACGAGTCATAAAAGAGCCAAGGTGGCCTACCTCTGGCCTAGGCCTAGGCCGCTTTATGACCCGTGGACTTCAATTTCCAGAATTCCTGAGCCAGCCTGGCTCAGCTTGGAAACCTCTCCCTTTCCCCTCAGCATGGCTGGCTGAGGAATTCTGGGAATTGAAGTCCACGAGTCATAAAAGAGCCAAGGTTGCCTATTCCTGGTATAGGGTGCCATGCTAGCAGAGGAATTCTGGGAGTTGAAGTCCCCTCATCTTCCTAGTAACTCAGGGGTAGGCCACCTTGGCTCTTTTATGACTCCTGGACTTCAACTCCCAGAATTCCTCAGCCAGCATGGGGGAAGTATGGGCCCTTCATGACTGGTGGACTTCAACTCCCAGAATTCCTGAGCCAGCCTGGCTCAGTTTGGAAACCTCTCCCTTTCCCCTCAGCATGGCTGGCTCAGGAATTCTGGGAGTTGAAGTCCACGAATCATAAAAGAGCCAAGGTGGCCTACCCTTGGCCCAGTCCCTTTCGGGAGGGCCGCTGCCACTTTGGAACGGTCACTAATTGAACCATCGTATATCGAGGACGACTTGTAACACACACACACACACACACATACACACATACATGTGTCTTGTGATTGTGTCGCTAACAGGTGGCGAGCGAGGCAGCTGGTCACCAACATCCCTCCGTCGGAGATGGGCCAAATCAAGGCCAAAGTGGCCGCCTACGACGTCCTGAAAGGCCGGCGGACAAACTGGGGATGTTGTCGCAACTGGAGACAAAACTATTTGGCCTTGGTAGGTGCTTCGTTAAAAAGGTCACACAATCGCACAATTCTTTTGTCCCGTCCACGTTTGCCTCTGTTGGGGGGGAAAAAAAAATCAAAATTCAGACGTATTTGCGATGGCCGTAGCGTCCCGAGTTCACGTGATCCAAATTCAGGTGCTGGGCAACCAACTCGTATTTACGACGGTCGCAAAGCTCCCTTCCCCAATTTCTCCCTTAGCGACTAAAAAGTCTGGCGTCTATTGTCGTAATTCAAGGACTAAACCTGTAGAAT